AAATTTTCCTGTCCTATTCAGTAATAAACCGTTAACGAATTTAACCGATGTGGCATAAAATATGAAATAAAACTCGGCCAGATTTAAAACGGTTTGTTGAAATTATTATTATTTTGATATCGATCATAAAGCATTACTTAACAAAAAGCGCATTAAATCAGCTTTAACAAATACCTAGTAGGTACCAAAAAAGTGACTGCAGAAGGAAAGTTTTTAAAGTGTTAGAAAACAATTATGTAACAATGTTATATTTTTACCAACTGAAGGTCAAAACAATCGGCAAGGTAAACATGAAAATTGACTCATAGTATTAAATAAATTGCATAAAACATCGTTTATTTTTGTCAAATAATTGTTAGGTACCAAAACAAAAGACACACAAACGCAATGCAATGCAAATATTTTAATAACAATTCAGGTTTCGTATCTAAGAATGGGTATTTTTTAAATTTTGTGAAAATAGTATTGTCACACAATTTTAGGTATTTTTTAAAAATACCTCCAAAAAGAAAGGTTTTTATAGAATAACGAATGTTCAGAAGAAGCCAAATTACAAAGCGAGTGCGGACACATTTGGTTTCAGCACATAAACAAATAGTCTTACAAAAGTCTAGATAGAGCCTGGAAAAGTGTTGCAATAATTTGGTATTGATTCACCCGTTTCCGTTCCGTTTCACTATGAGAAAATCGAGTGGAGAAGTTTTCTTACTGAACATTTATAATTCCTACTGGTCTTTAGTAAAATAGTACCTACTGGGAGTATTTATAACTAAAACTACATTATTAGATCTGCATAGATACGCGTGTCTCCAAAAATACTTTGATCAACCACGTTGGAGGCACGTGTCGCAGATCGTCAGATAAATTTGGCTTGACCGTTTTAACGTAGGTACAGTCAGCGTCAAATAATTCGTGACACCCAAAGTGGCCAAAAAGTCGGCAACACAACCTTATTCCAATAGGGATTATCGAAATTCTATTTAGTCCGTCAGACATATAATAAAAAAAATTGGACACATATTTTTTTATTGTTTCCATAATCGAATAATTACAGTATTATATTGAGTTGAAATGTCGCATGACGTCAGTTTTGAGTAAAAAATCTACTCAAGCGTGACGTAACGCGCCATTTCAACTCGATATAGCATTGTTATTATTAAATTATGAAAGAAAATAAAAAATATGAGTCTAATATTTTCTAATTATCTGTCTGACGGACAAATAATTGAAATTTTGTCATCTAGCCTATTGTAATAAAGACGTGTTGCGAACTTTTTGGCTTCTAGGTGCCACGAAATTTTTGATACTGACTGTACATAGTAAGCTATAAACTCCTAAGAATGTTTATCGGCTGGCTCCTAATCATCACGTAGTAAAATTACTTAGTAGGAGCACGCGCCAACGTGATTGTAAGGTGTAAGGGGAGACTTAACCTACGTAGGATCGTCGATCGTAGTGTGTGAAATTTTCTAGTCTATATTAGTAGGTGTGTTGTATTGTATTAAGAATACCTTAGGGACTATTGATTTTTATATCTACCACCTCGATGAATTTGAATGGTTTTTGGATGATTTTAAAACATAAGAGACAATACGGAGAGACTACAACTACCAGGAGAGAACGCATCTGTAAATACAGCAAACATAGAAAATCCCCCTGTGTCTAAACAAAGTAATTCCAATACGATTAAACATTAGTTTTACTAGGAATCCTTATTTGAATTGTCAAAATCTGTTGCCGGTGTAGGATTTTCAGCATGAAATAAAATATTAAATACCTAAGTAAGATAATAACACTAAGTAGTCATAAGCTTAATAGACCAATCGTAGTCTGAGTGATAAAGAAATTTGAATATACCAAATTAAAAAGATAACGCGATCATTTTCTGTGAGTGACCGACGACCGTTTGCTGAGAGGAGCTCGCACTTAACGCCCGTATTCACAAACGATGCTTGCTTAAGTGAAGCAGCAAATCGAACGCACAGCGTTTAAACGCTCTATTAATAGAGCTCTGTGATTGGTTCGTGTGTCACCCTGTGCGTCCACGCGCACTGTGAGACCTCATAGTAATGTTTGTGATAAGAGCGTAAGAAGCAGTTTCCGTGAGCATGTGGAATCACAATCACAATCATTTAGCCATTAGATGACAACTTCCGCTACGATTGTAATCGAGGCACGTGGCACAAGGTTGCGGTTCACGTTTTCTTGTACGGTTTCATGTTTCGCAGCACTTTCAGGCATTGGAAACCTATCTAAAACAGACTTTCGTTAACGGTATTGTGTACCAGGTAAAAATATAGAGTAGAGAACTCTACCATACCTACATAGTATAAAACAGTTGCTCTCGCTGTCTTCTCTTAAATCTTTTAAACTACGCAACGGATTTTAATACAGTTTTTAACAATAACTAGGTAGAGTGATTCAAGAGGAAGGTTTTTATGTCCGAGTATAATACATACCACCCATGCGAAGTTGGGTTCGCTTCGTTGGTAGCTAGTTGAGAATATAATAAAGAAGCAACCTTTTTTAATCCCTGCTTGTCTAAGATATTTCATATCTACTTACTTAGGTAAATCTTAAATGCTCGAGTGAAATTACTGCTAGAAATATTACTACCTGGTAGGGCCAGATGAATATCGCTTTCAACTTCAAGAAACATGATCCTAATGATAAAACTTCCGCATGATCCTAATGAGCAAACTTTCCTTCTGTTTAAGATATACCCTTCCTGCTTGTATATCCAGATACCCGTTATAGGTGAAATCTGACCTTAGGTATGTTACTAGCATCATTATATTAATATTGCATTAATGATTCATCAGATGTCGTCATTGTTCTATGCAATCAACATAATAAGAAACTTAACCGCGTTCATAGATTATCTTACTGAAACGAAAAAATGTCGTTGACCCCATTCGCAGCTAGTGATAAAATTAAAGAAGTGATAATACTCGTAGTAAAAGCTCATTTAGGTTCAATAGACAAAATCCTAAGTCCCTTCCATTATATCAATTCTGAAATGGAAACAAATCTTTTTGATATTCCTGTCTCTTTCTGAAGATCAGAACCTCCCGAAATAGCTTGTACCATAGACCAGCGTGAACCCTCAAGGCTACCGAAGATAATTGTGGCTCTCGCAGCGAGCCAACTCCGTCTGTAATTAGCGAAGCGAATACACTCTCTGCGACACAGTCTCGTAAAACGTAGAAAGAAACGGGCTTCGAACAAGTATCTGTCTAGACTTAGCACAACTGCATTTTCTACTTTAAAATGTGAGTGGCTCTAACATTATTAAGTGGATTTATTAATGTAGTCTCGCATTTTAAATTACGAGTATGCTTCTCCCAGTAGCGCCACGGCGCCCTTTCTTTGCTTGAGGCATTGGAATTTTATGCACTGCATTGCATTACATACTCAGTGTAGAGATACATCACACGCTCTAACAGCTTGTTTTGTGTTGTCGTCACGCTTATTACTGCTTTTGCCATAGCACGCTTTCGTTAGATCAATAAGTACCTAGTCGTTGTTAGCGGCTGGCTGTCTTAAAGCCTATAGTTTTTAGTCATTACTGATATTGGCTCCAGAATGACTACGTAACGAGCTTCTGATGACAATCTAGCATCGCTTGAACACTGCGATTGGCAATGAACGGGCTGACAGTGACAACGCTTGGCAAAAAGCCTGTACGGATCACTTTGTTTTTAGACACCACAACGCTCAGGTCATTGCATTACCAAACCTGTTTCTTTTCATCAATATTACATTTTTGTGGCGAGACTGTCTGTCTGATCAATTTGGTATCGAATGGTCCTCGGCAAATAATGTTTTTGATCATGAAAACGAACCGCATTTACTATAGCAGCAAAAAATCGCCAAAAATTCAGACGGGTCATAAATTACTCGGCCATAATTTACTGTCGTTGAGGCACGGCACAGAATCGTATAAATGAAAAGTCTTTCGGCATTTTAGTAGTAGTTCGTTTTGATAAAATAAACCATCAGTAAACTAATCACTATCGATTGGTGCAGTCATAGCTCACTTTAAAACTGCAGATACCGCCTAAATTATGCCGTTTTGTACTTATTTAAAGAAATACTCTTTTGTTAGTCAGTTATGTGTGGTATGGATTAAAGAGTAGACCGTAGGTGTATTTTAACTGCTCCTTATCATCAACCGACTTCTCTATCAATTTGGAACTCGGACTCTATCTCGAATTCAGAACTCGAGTCGGCCACTCCGGAACTGAAACCGTTGGGCTATTGTCCCCTATTTTGGCTTCCGTACCCTTTACTTATATAGACTTATCGTAACTTTTGTCTCCAGCCGGACTAGGATGCGTGCCGTGATAAAATCTTATCGATGATTTTAGACGACAAATGTATGGGCTTATCGCGTAAAATCGATAAAACGGCGTGATGAACGCTTATTGCGGCGCGCATCCTAGGTCTACAGGACCACGTAGCTTTTCCATACACTCTCATCATCATAATCATCATTTCAGCCATAGGACGTCCACTGCTGAACATAGGCCTCTCCCAATGACTTCCACATCGCACGGTTGGTAGCGGCCTGCATCCAGCGCCTTCCTACTACCTTTATCAGGTCGTCGGTCCACCTTGTGGGTGGACGTCACACGCTGCGTTTTCCGGTACGCGGCCTCCATTAGAGAACCTTGCTGCCCCATCGGCCATACGCTCCCCATACGCTCTATTGCTGATACAAAGAGCCGATGGCCGCTGGGGCAGGAAAGTTCTTGAGTGGCGACCACGAGCCGGAAGACGTAGCGTGGGCAGGCCTCCCACTAGGTGGACCGACGATCTGGTGAAGGTCGCGGGAGGTGCCTGGATGCGAGCGACGCAGGACCGGTCTTTGTGGAAATCCTAATCCTTGGGGGAGTTCTTTGTCCAGCAGTGGACTTTCGGCTGAAACAAACGAACGAACGAACGCTCTATTGATGTTTATTTATTTTAGACTTATCCTTATCTTCTTTTGTCTCCAGGACAACGTCACCCCCGGGGGAGCCGCTGGTGCGAGCGCCGGCCGGCAAGCCGCGTTGCCCCCCCGCGATATCGCGGCTTCGCGTCGAGAAGGTGGAGGGGGGGCTGGCGGTGGCGGGGGTGGTGGTGGCCGCCAACTGCCAGATAGTCCTCCCGATCTTTGGCTTCTTGTTTATGCTGGTCGGCTGCGTGCTGACAGGTAAGATTCTCAAAACTTTACATAGTAACTATACTAATGATGCTTGCCTAAGTGAAGCAGCAAATCGAACGCACAGCGTTGAATAGAGCTCCGTGATTGGTCCGTGTGTCACCCTGTGCGTCCACGGCTCCACGCGCACTGTGAGACTTCATAGTAATGTTGCGCGGACGCACAGGGTGGCACACGCGCCGGCCGGCAAGCCTCGCTGCCCCCCCGCGATCTCGCGGCTTCGCGTCGAGAAGGTGGAGGGGGGGCTGGCGGTGGCGGGGGTGGTGGTGGCCGCCAACTGCCAGATAGTCCTCCCGATCTTTGGCTTCTTGTTTATGCTGGTCGGCTGCGTGCTGACAGGTAAGATTCTCAAAACTTTATAGTAACTATACTAACGCCCGTAGGTATTCGCTAATGATGCTTGCTTACGTGAAGCAGCAAATCGAACGCACAGCGTTGAATAGAGCTCTGTGATTGGTCCGTGTGTCACCCTGTGCGTCCACGGCTCCACGCGCACTTCGAGACTTCATAGTAATGTTGCGCGTGGACGCATAGGGTGGCACACGCGCCGGCCGGCAAGCCGCGCTGCCCCCCCCGCGATCTCGCGGCTCCGCGTCGAGAAGGTGGAGGGGGGGCTGGCAGTGGCGGGGGTGGTGGTGGCCGCCAACTGCCAGATAGTCCTCCCGATCTTTGGCTTCTTGTTTATGCTGGTCGGCTGCGTGCTGACGGGTAAGATTCTCAAAACTTTACACAGTAACTATACCTACTAAGCGCTCCTGCACACGACGCCGCTACCGCGCTGCCGCCGCGCCGTTGCGTCGCCGCGCCTTTGCACTGTGTATACGTTTTACTCGGTGTGTATGAACAGTGCAAAGGCGCTTCGACGGCGCGGCGGCGGCACGGTAGCGGCGTCGTGTGCAGGAGCGCTAACGCCCGTATTCACTAATGGTGCTTGTCTAAGTGAAGCAGCAAATCGAACACACAGCGTTGAATAGAGCTCTGTGATTGGTCCGTGTATGGCGGGGGTGGTGGTGGCCGCCAACTGCCAGATAGTCCTCCCGACCTTTGGCTTCTTGTTTATGCTGGTCGGCTGCGTGCTGAGGGGTAAGATTCTCAAAACTTTACACAGTAAACTAACGCCCGTATAAACATTACTATGAGGTCTCACAGTGCTCGTGGAGGCACATGGTGACACACGGAGCAATCACGGAGCTCTATTCAACGCTGTGCGTTCGTTTTACTGATTCATTTAAGCAAGCACTGGTGAATACTGGCGTAAGTCACTACCTATATGTGTGACCATACACTTGGCTCTTTTGATCTCTAATTTATCAATAGAGTGATTCAAGGAGAAGATTTAGAAGTTAAAGATTTGTGTAAATTGGTTGAAATATAACACCACACTTGCACCCTTTTGAAGCTGAGCTCTACTTTTGACCACGATTTTGGCGCTGTGGTTGGATATTTGATTACAATACCTGAAGCTACGTGCGGGTTCGATCCCCGTAGGTAATGAGCTTATCACAATTATCTGACAAACATCCTATTTAACCAAATATAATTTCCTTAAATCTTCAAAGACACATCTGTGATAATTTTGTTAGGTTTCATCTAAACAAACCTAACCTTTATTACATAATATTGATCACGACAGAATAAGCCCGTACTGCTCTTCAATTTGCTACGGTTTTCATATAGAGAGGCTCATTTGATTAACAGATTTTCTGCATCTTGTCCCCGATCCGACGTATGGTTATGCAACGGAACGAGTTAGGAGTAGATCATGTACTTTCTACTTAGAACTAAACGCTGTTCAAGACCCAGATTTAATCTGGAAGCGTAGCATTGCTTACGAAATGCCGGCCCAGAACATTTATTCTAAAATCAATACTATGCAATGTGCATGTGTGCGTAAACCACAGTCCAAATGCTATCCCGGTCAAATTAGCTTTATATTGTCGCCGAATCTATCTTTGATAGGGCGGGGCACATAATACACATGGGGCAGAAAAGTTCTCAAGTGGCGACCACGGGCCGGAAGACGTAGCGTGGGCAGGCCCCCCACTAGGTGGACCGACGATCTGGTAAAGGTCGCTGGTGGAACCTGGATGCGGGCAGCGCAAGACCGGTCGTTATGGAAAATCCTTGCGGTAGGGTTTTTTCCAGCAGTAGACGTCATTTGGCTGAAACGAACGAACTATCTTTAATTACTATATTAAGACATTTCAGTCTTCATAAATTTCTGTAAAACAATATTGCTAAAATCTTTTGACGTGGACTATACGTCCAAGGAATCCTACGTACCAATAACATTTCCCGAAAATGTAATCTAGAAGCTATTCTCGGTATGTTAACGCGTTTCCAATCGGCATCCAGGCTTTTGCGACTATTTTATGACGCGAAGAAAGGAAGATCGTTTTGCTGATATTTGAAAATGTTTTTGCTTGATGCTAGAACCTTCTTTATCTGTTAGTCACTAGCTAGAATATAGAAGCATAATATAGTCTTTACATAGTGCCGCTGTCTGTTCGCATAGGTCTTTTAAACTACGCAACGGGTTTTAGCTGTTTTCATCAGTAAATAGAGTGCTTTAAGAGGACGGTTTTTATGTATATGTGCACCCGGCGAAGTCAGTCGCTCGTATAAATACATTGAGATGGATAGGTAAATATGTTCGTACATTCGTTCGTCGTAAAATATGTTCGTACCTAATTATCATTTCCATACAACAGAAAAGAGATATTCCTTGAAGTCGGTACCCTTGCAACAATGTCAGATATTTTTAGTTAGGTTACCGCTGAAAGACAGTACACACCTAACCGACCATTAGCTTCAAAGGTGATGGAGGTATGAATGGTTTATTTTCAGTGAAAGTACATCGAAAACAAATGAGTAAACGAAAATGCGTTATCTGAAACAGTGTTATTGGATGTTTTTTCGATTACTTAAAGTTACTTTTAACAGTGTGATTGAAAGTTTTTGAATAAAAATAACACGTTTGTTATGGTAAAAATGCAATAAATTATTATTATTACTTTGCTTTTACATGTAAATGATGTAACCGAATAAATTGGCTGCAGTGTTACAATCCGTAATTCCTTCACAAAAACAGGAATCATTTATAACTAGCTGACCCGGCGAACTTTGTTCCGCCTTAATGGCAATAAATAACGGGATAAAAAGTATCCTATGTCCTTCTCCTGGCTCTAAACTACCTCGCTGACAATTTTCAGCTAAATCAGTTCAGCCGTTCTTGAGTTATAAGTGGAGTAACTAACACGACTTTCTTTTATATAATAGAAGATAGAAGATATTTACCTGACTGAAATCCACCATTAAATACACGGAATTTTCCGCTCGTAAATGTTTATGTCTGACAGTGTTAACATTACTAACTATAGCCTGTTCATTACTTATCCAATAAATTGTAGATGATATTGGAAAAAAATACAACTGTAGGGACGTGTAATATTGTTTGTTTCTCGTTTCTAGAGCCAAGCTACTCGTAGATTAAGCCGCAAGCGTACATTTACTGCACACCGCAACGTGATATCCCGTACTAATTGGTAGCCTTCGCTAGTGCACTGCGGTGGATTAAGTATAAATCCCTTTTAATTGGGAAAATGTTTCCCATTGCAGTGCTATTCTTGGAAAGTTAAACATTCATATTAATGCGAGCATAAAAGCTTGATTTTCAATTAGTATTTGTTCGATAGCCATTGTTTGTTCACTTTTGAAATTAATTTAAAATTTCAGAAATCCATAATTGGTAATAAATATGTATCGATTATATTATCTCTATGAAATGCTCTACATCGCCTATAAAGTCAATTTAATGTATGGTTCGGTCGTTTCTTTCACAGAATATCGGTTTGTCCTACATTTCAGAGTAGGCGTCGCTATTCCGGCATAACAACTTTAATCGAAAGTTGGACGCTTAAAATTTTAATACTGTTTTACTACCGAATCTAAAACTTCAGTACCTAGTTAAATATGTTAAAGGAGTACCTACTATTATAGGTAATGCAATTTAAGTCTTCATTGAAAATATAAAAATTACGTTTGTAATAATTCTACATGAGGTTTTTGGGTATTCCGTACGTAAAGTCCGTTTTAGGCATTAAAGAAACTATGATGAGGAGCTTTATAGTTCTTTGGTTTAAGTATTCCTAATTATTAACAAAGTAGGTAACTAAAATTATCACAATGATGCTATATGTAATCAACACCATCTTATGTAATGTCGGAATGTACACTGAAAGTGATACGATACGTCGTATAAGAAAGGCATGTGTATTGTCACACTTGTACGCGATATCCATCAGGACAATGGATATGAATTGTTTGGGATAGTATAACGAGGCGACCCGCATAATTGTACCCCAGTTAGTGCAGCCTATTGCTTTGTACCCACAGGTCACAGAAACTTAAGGGAGATGTGACAAGGGGGCGGGCCAGTGTCGCAGCAATATGCCCAAAAACAGAACACTTTCCTCGTGACAGCAATGATGACTGCAGCAACGTCATAATGTCAACAGTTTACATTGCTTACGTAGTAGGTTATTCGCACATATTTTGATTACTTTGTGTGTGTGAATTTCTAATGCGACACTGAGTTTCGAACTCGGCGCATTAGTTGGCATCTCTCTTCTTTATGTTTGTACCCCATTTAGTCGGCTGCATCGACGTCATCTGCAGGCGACAGTCTTAACTGTAGAGCATGCAACACTGAGCTACGATTTGGAGGGACGCCAATTGCTAAGCGCCAGACTTTAGGCCCCCACACAGTGCCTATACTTACCTACTACAAAATATGTGGTCTATGTGATGATGTAATTATATCTCTTTGCCATCTTAGTTCTCTTACCCACGGCGATATCCTTTTTGCAGGATCTGGTTTAGCTTTAGTGTTTTAAGACATCCCGTTTACAGTGTCCCATAAAATATCCGAATTTCGGATTCGGTTTTGTTATTGAACGGACCAAAAAAGGCAGGATCCAGTTTAATTACAAGTATTGTTTAGACGTGTTCTGTATTATATAGACGTGACTTCCTGCATACATTTTCTTGCAAAAAAACGGGATACTGGCATGTGACCACACAAGTGCAGTATTGCGATATCCAGTAATGCAAGATCCCGCAAAACTAGATTGCCGTGGAAAGAGTCCTTATCTATTGGTTTGAATCATTGCATTTTAAGATTATTTTTTCTTTTCAGCGGCATCGTATCGCGGTTGCGGCGAGAACGAGGAGCCTGACCACTATGCGGCGCGCATCGCCTTCACTGGCAACTCGCGCGTGCTCGGCCCAGTGTGCATCGTCGCTGGTGCCCTCATGACTATTGCTGGTTAGTAAAAAATATTCAAGATTTGAATTTAAAATAGAAGAAGAAAAACAAAAAATAATGATAATATCGCATCGCCTTCACTGGCAACTCGCGCGTGCTCGGCCCAGTGTGCATCGTCAGGTGCCGGGCATGACCATTGCTGGTTAGTAAAAAAAAATTGAATTTGGAATAGAACACGAAAAAGAAAAAATAAGGTAGTGTCGTATCGCCTTCACTGCGAACTCTCGCGAACCCTCATGAGTCTCATCATGACCATTGCTGGTTAGTAAAAAAAATTGAATTTGGAATTAAAGAACATCATGCATGAAAGAAAAACATTGTGATAGAGTTTTATAAAGGAGTTTTTGTTGCCACCTTTTATCGCGCCGTAAGAGAAAAAGAAATGGGTAGAGAAAGTGTTTAATTCCTATAATTCCTGCGAATTATCCAGTTTTCTCTTGTCTCAAAATATTGACAATCAATTTACGAGATTGTTACATCTATGCTGTTTACATAACTGCTCACCAACGGTAGATTTCCCATTTCCCATGCTTGCTTACCTAACATTTGTAACAAAGCAGACACATTGTACCAGCGATTGACCGGAAGATAATAGGGAAATTATGCAAATCGGTTCCGCCATAATAAATGATCAGATGAACAGGCGATTATGGTAATTTATTTATAGGGGACCGCAATTTCGCCAACTGAATTATTAATCGTTTGTGTGATCTCTACTAAAATTCATAGGAGAAATTTAAATGAAATCAAGTTATTCATCGACGATAGTCGATGATTGATAAATCTAGATTTTTATCTAAGCAAATTACGCGTTGCAGCGACTTGCTTTCATCCATGCACGCAGATTTCTCGCAGGTAAAAATCTATTAGCTGCAATAAACTGATCGAAAACAGTATTTCTCTTCACATCTTCTATTAGTTTATTTTATTTTAGAAGACCAACTTTCTTTAATTCATTTCCAAACATTCTGTCTGGGATTTAAGCCTTCACAAGCCTTCACTTGCTTGATGATGGAACACGCTGTGTAGATCACTGAACATTCTATTAGTGATAGAAACGAATATCCTACTAGGTAATCCTACTAATATTATAAATGCGAAAGTTTGGATGTCTGGATGTTTGTACTCTTTCACGCAAAAACTACTGAACGGATTTTGACAAAACTTTACAATATTAATGTTATAACCCAGAATAATATAGACTATAATTTATGACAACCTGTGACAAACTAAATTGCACGCGGGTGAAGCCGCGGGCAAAAGCTAGTTCGTCATAAATCTTGAAGTTCTTCGTAATATTTTAATTAACTTATGGTTATTTGCAGGCATCGTGCTGTGCATCTTGATGCGGGCCGCGCAACGTCGGCAGCGCAGGCTGGCGTTCCACTGTCCCATCCACGGCGACTTCTACCCTCTAAGTCCTCAAAATAGCAGAAAATATTCTCGTAAGTCTATTTGGCAGTAAAAAATTGTTTCTGTTTAAATATTTCTTCGAAAAAAAAAGGACAACAGGAACTCGCTCTCCTGAAGAGGATTTGCGCTCACAGTCAGTTGGCCAGTCTTTCCATTAACAATATGAACGCATATTAACCAACAATTTATCATCCAAGGCATAAGGATTGAGGACTTTTTAGAAGTAGAGAGTACTATGAGGTTTCATGAACAGACAATGAGGATTGTCGACTTTTAGCAGACAGTACTACCTAATAGTGGGCAGGCTTTCCACTAGGTGGACTGACGATCTAAGGAAGGTCGCGCAAAGTAACTGGATACGGCCAGAGCGCAGGACCGGTCATTGTGGAAATCCTTGGGGGAGGCCTTTGTCCAGCAGTGGACGTCATTTGGCTGAAATGATGAGGCAATCCTTGGGGGAGGTCTTTGTTCAATAGTGGACGTCATGTACCTCTTTAGGTAGTTCTAATGAGGTTTATGTACATTTACAGTCAATGAGGATTGATGACTTTACTAATGAGCTCTATGCATTTGCAGACAGCCCCTCAGGGCTCTGGCGCTTCCTGCGCGGCTGGCTGGGCATGGTGGAGGAGGGCGAAGCGCCGCGTTGCCCGCGCTCCACGGAGCCTGCTTCGCCCGCGCGCGCCGACGCGCCCTGCCCGCCGCCACTTCCCTTCTTGGTGCCCTCCGACTCTGTGGTGTAAGTTTTCTGAACATCTACCTATGTGAAGACCCTGGCCATTAACAAGAAATTCAATTTCAAAATTTAAATTTAGAATGGAAAAGCAATGAATAAGAAAAACTTTTCTTTAACTCGATACTGGCAAGAAGCATAGCGTAGGCTAAAACTTTTTCAACTTTTCACCATTATTCTTTACTCATACGTTTTCGAACGTCTCGGAGTGATCTCCGAAAACGCAACATTAAACACCGCTTGATGATGATCGACACCTATCAGTCTGTAATGCTTTGTATCTTCTTTAAATTTTTCTTTGTCGTAACTTGGTAAAAACTCAACGCGTACCTATCTAAGTTTGCGTAACGTGCCACAAAAATAATGCAACCTCTTTACAAGATAACTTAGCAACAATGTCTTCTCAATTTTATGTTTATAGTACCTACCTTTAACCTAACAACAGCCTTGAATAGCCCATATAGAGCCAAAGAAACATACTCGTAGCTAAATAGATACGTTTTCTATATTATATCTTCTATTTACAGAGGCATGGCGTCAGTGCTGGGAGCCCCGCTTAGCCCCGAGCAGACCTTCGGCTCCATCAAATCGCTGGCCATATCGAGGGAAGTCGCCAGCTTCCCCTTATCGAGGTCTCCCACCCCGCCGCCTTTGAGGTAAGTCCTGGACAAATAAATGTGTAACTTCTTAAATAAAAATGGACTTCTTCAGCTTCTTGCTTAGTGCAGAGACCGCCAGAATAAATTGTACATGTGACATCTTTAAGTAATAAATACTTTTTTGTGTGGGTGGTGAATATTGCCACAATACCTAAGCGTCTGAAGTGGCAATAGCTGAAGGCTCTTTCCAATAACATTCGCATAGGACTGCTTCTTACAAAGGAAATTAAACAGTTTGTTCTTTTCCAGCTGCCCCCCATTCAAGGACGAGTCGAAGAGCATCGAGGAAAGCATCCCCAATTCGGTGTCGCGGCCGGAGTTCGACTGTCCCCCTTCCTGCAACTACCGCGTGGTGGAATGCAAGCTCACCACCACCGACGAAATCTCTCGCCCCAGCCCCCCTGTGCACAAACCCTCCCGGCCCTCCACTGTCTCCATCACCATACCCGACGAGGGCAAGGGTTAACCCCCCCTGAAACACTAGACACTATGTTCAAATTTAAGTGTGAACGCGCGTGTGTGACGCCGGAATGTGATCTTTATTGTCGAATTCAAGTATCGAACTCGCAAATCAGTGGACGAACTTTGGATAAATTCACAATAAAGCGCTTGTAAATTTTGATATCTGCTCAAACAATCACATTCGTCTTCCGCTNTTTTATATTTTTATTTTTATATTTTATAAGTATTCAAACATCTATATCTATACTTCTATACTAATATTATAAAGCTGAAGTTGTGGAACATGACGCTCAACCACCATAAGGAGTTAGAACATTTAATTTACACAATCTTGGTTTGTCTACTTTAAAAGTTCTACAAAAAAGTCCGCTACAGCATATGTCTATCTTTTATGGTTGGCTCACTGTAACCTTTTTGTCTGGATGTCTGGATGNTAGTTCCTAATTATTTTCAAAGTAGGTAACTAAAATTATCACAATGATGCTATATGTAATCAACACCATCTTATGTAATGTCGGAATGTACACTGAAAGTGATACGATACGTCGTATAAGAAAGGCATGTGTATTGTCACACTTGCCCGCGATATCCATCAGGACAATGGATATAAATTGTTTGGGATAGTATTACGAACGACCCGCATAATTGTACCCCAGTTAGTGCAGCCTATTGCTTTGTACCCACAGGTCACAGACACTAAAGGGAGATGTGACAAGGGGGCGGGCCAGCAATATGCCCAAAACAGAACACTTTCCTCGTTACAGCAATGATGACTGCAGCAAAGTCATAATGTCAACAGTTTACATTGCTTGCGTAGTACTAAAGATTATTCGCACATATTTTGATTACTTTGTGTGTGAATTTCTAATGCGACACTGAGTTTCGAACTCGGCGCATTAGTTGGCATCTCTCTTTTTTATGTTTGTACCCCATTTAGTCAGCTGCATCGACGTCATCTGCAGGCGACAGTCTTAACTGTAGAGCATACAACACTGAGCTACGATTTGGAGGGACGCCAATTGCTAAGCGCCAGACTTTAGGCCCCCACACAGTGCCTATACCTACTTACTTACCTACTACAAAATATGTGGTCTATGTGATGATGTAATTATACCTCTTTGTAGTCTTTACGACTCTTACCCACGGCGACATCCTTTTTGCAGGATCTCGTTTAGCTTTAGTGTTTTAAGACATCCCGTTTACAGTGTCCCGTAAAAAATCCGAATTTCGGATTCGGTTTTGTTATTGAACGGACCAAAAAAAAGGCAGGATCCAGTTTAATTACAAGTAGTTTAGACGTGTTCTGTATAGACGTGACTTCCTGCATACATTTTCTTGCAAAAAAACGGGATACTGGCATGTGACCACACAAGTGCAGTTTTGCGATATCCAGTAATGCAAGATCCCACAAAACTGGATTGCAGTGCCTGTAGTGGTTTGATTCGTAGCATTTTAAGATTTTTTTTTTCTTTCCAGCGGCATCGTATCGCGGTTGCGGCGAGAACGAGGAGCCTGACCACTACGCGGCGCGCATCGCCTTCACTGGCAATTCGCGCGTGCTCGGCCCAGTGTGCATCGTCGCTGGAGCCCTCATGACCATTGCTGGTTAGTAAAAAATATTCAAGATTTGAATTTAGAATAGAAGAAGAAAAAGAAAAACCAATGATTTATAATATCGCATCGCCTTCACTGGCAACTCGCGCGTGCTCGGCCCAGTATGCATCGTCAGGTGCCGGGCTCATGACCATTGCTGGTTAGTAAAAAAAAATTGAATTTGGAATAGAACACGAAAAAGAAAAAATAAGGTAGTGTCGTATCGCCTTCACTGCGAACTCTTGCAAACCCTCATGAGTTTTATGACCATTGCCATTGCTGGTTAGTAAAACAAAATGAATTTGGAATTAAAGAACAATAGGTAAAAGGAAAAAATGTGATGGAGTTTTTCTTGCCAGCTTTTTTCACGCCGTAAGAGAAAAAGAAATGGGTAGAGAAAAAAGTTTTTATTCCTACAGAAGCAAATTATCCAGTTCCCTTGTCTCAAAATACTGACAATCAATTTACGAGATTGTTACATCTAAATGCTGTTTACATAACTGCTCACCAACGGTAGATTTCCCATTTCCCATGCTTGCTTACCTAACATTTGTAACAAAGCAGACACATTGTACCAGCGATTGACCGGAAGATAATAGGGAAATTATGCAAATCGGTTCCGCCATAATAAATGATCAGATGAACAGGCGATTATGGTAATTTATTTATAGGGGACCGCAATTTCGCCAACTGAATTATTAATCATTTGTGTGATCTCTACTAAAATTCATAGGAGAAATTTAAATGAAATCAAGTTATTCATCGACTATCAATCTAGATTTTTATCTAAGCAAATTACGCGTTGCAGCGATTTGCTTTCATCCATGCACGCAGATTTCTTATCCGCCAGTAAAAATCTATTAGCTGCAATAAACTGATCGAAAACAGTATTTCTCTTCACATCTTCTATTAGTTTATTTTATTTAGAAAACCATCTTTCTTTAATTCATTTGCAAACATTCTGTCTGGGATTTAAGTGATGATGGAACACACTGTGTAGATCACTGAACATTATATTAATTATAAATTCAAATTCATTAATTTATTTGCTAGAATACATAATCACATGCTCGTTTTACAAATCAGTTCTTACAGCTATTAAATTATTCCCATGTATTCAGCCTGCAAGTAGACTTACAAATATTTTATCAGTCAGTTCAGTTATTAAACATACAATGTCATAAATTAAATTAATATATTAAATTATTGCAGTTATAGATAGAAACGAATATTCGTCATAAATCTTGAAGTTCTTCATATTTAATCAACTTATGGTTATTTGCAGGCATCGTGCTATGCATCTTGATGCGGGCCGCGCAACGTCGACAGCGCAGGCTGGCGTTCCACTGTCCCATCCACGGCGACTTCTACCCTCTAAGTCCTCAAAATACCAGAAAGTATTCTCGTAAGTACTATTTGGCAGTAAATAATTGTTTCTGTTTAAATATTTCTTCGAAAAAATAAGGACAACAGGAACTCGCTCTCAAGAAGATTTGCACTCACAGTCAGTTGGCCCTATCACGAAAGAAAATGTTCATGATATTGGGCCATCTCCTTTTTAGGGTTCCGTAGTCCTGACAAGGAACCCTTATAGTTTTTGTGTCATTTTCCTAAACTCTTTCCTCAACATGAATGCATGGTAATTAACAATATATCATCCAAAGCATAAGGATTGAGGACTTTTTAGAAGTAGACAGTAGGTACTATGAGGTTTCATGAACAATGAGGATTGTCGACTTTTAGCAGGCAGTACTAATAGTGGGCAGGCTTTCCATTAGGTGGACTGACGATCTAATGAAAGTCGCGCAAAGTAACTGGATACGGACAGCGCAGGACCGGTCGTTATGGAGATCTTTAGGGAGGCCTTTGTCCAGCAGTGGACGTCATTTGGCTGAAATGATGAGGCAATCCTTGGGGGAGGCCTTTGTTCAATAGTGGACGTCATGTACCTCAACAGGCAGTTCTAATGAGTGTTATGTACATTTACAGACAATGATTATTTTACTAATGACGTATATGCATATTGCAGACAGCCCCTCAGGGCTCTGGCGCTTCCTGCGCGGCTGGCTGGGCATGGTGGAGGAGGGCGAAGCGCCGCGCTGCCCGCGCTCCACGGAGCCTGCCTCGCCCGCGCGCGCCGACGCGCCCTGCCCGCCGCCACTTCCCTTCTTGGTGCCCTCCGACTCTGTGGTGTAAGTGTTCTGAACATCTTAAAAATGTGTTATACCTGGCCATTAGTGAGAAAAAAAATTGCATTCAAAATTTAAATTTGGAACAGAACAAGACACGAATGATAAAAAACTTTTTGAACTTTACCCCATTATTTCTGCTGCTCTTGCTATGTTTTCGGACTTCTCGGAGTGAGCTCCGAAAACCAAAGATGAGAGAGTCCGAAAACGCAGCATAGGTATTAGGTACACAACGCTTGATGATCGATACTTACCAATAAACCCATCTTTCAATGCTTTACACTTTTTCTTTGTTGCAATTTGGTAACTGTGTGTCTTAAATGACTCAACGCGTATCTAAGTTTGCGTAACGTAGGTAATGTGCCACACCAATAATAATAAAATTATACCTATGCAACCTCTTTACAAGACAACTTAGCAACAATGTTTTCCCAATTATATTTTATAGTACCTACCTTTAACCTAACAACAGCCTTTAATAGCCCATGTAGAGCCAAAGAAACATACTCGTAGCTAAGTAGAGAGGTTTTCTACATTGCATGTGTCAAACAAGGCTGTATGTTTCTTTAATAAAGATAAATAAATAAATATTTATCTATTTACAGAGGCATGGCATCAGTGCTGGGAGCCCCGCTTAGCCCTGAGCAGACCTTCGGCTCCATCAAATCGCTGGCCATATCGAGGGAAGTCGCCAGCTTCCCCTTATCGAGGTCCCCCACCCCGCCGCCTTTGAGGTGAGTCCTGGACAAATAAATGTGTTATTTTTTTAAATAAAAATGAACTTCTTCAGCTTCTTGCTTAGTGCAGAGCCCGCCAGAATAAATTGTACATGTGACATCTTTTAGTAATCAATACTTTTTACTTTACTTTATTTGATAACTTTGATCGATGCATTTTGATAATATGTTTTAGTATCGTGTGGGTGGTGAATATTGCCACACTACCTAAGCGTCTGAAGTGGCAATAGCTGAATGCCCTTTCCAATAACATTCGCATAGGACTACTTCTAACAAAGGAAATTAAACAAAGTTTGTTCTTTTCCAGCTGCCCCCCATTCAAGGACGAGTCGAAGAGCATCGAGGAAAGCATCCCCAATTCGGTGTCGCGACCGGAGTTCGACTGTCCCCCTTCCTGCAACTACCGCGTGGTGGAATGCAAGCTCACCACCACCGACGAAATCTCTCGCCCCAGCCCCTCTGTGCACAAACCCTCCCGGCCCTCCACTGTCTCCATCACCATACCTAACGAGGGCAAGGGTTAACCCCCCCTAAAACACTAGAAACTATGTTCAAATTTAAGTGATGAACGCGCGTGTGTGACGCCGGAATGTGATCTTTATTGTCGAATTCAAGTCTCGAACTCGCAAATCAGTGGACGAACTTTGGATAAATTCACAATAAAGCGCTTGTAAATTTTTATATCTGCTCAAACAATCACATTCGTCTTCCGCTAGCGCTCACTGTTCGAACACCTCGAAAGTCGTGGATAATTTTATTTAGGTGGATTGAAATGTTATTAGTTAAGCCTGGACGGCCTCTAGCTACTGGTGCAATATTTTGATTCAGACACGGCAATTTTTCTATCACCTCTTCTTAGCAATAAAGACGCCAAATGTTTCGAGCGAGATCGGTATAATAGAAAGTGGTGTATGTAGTGTTTGTAATGGCGTATTTATGTATTTGTGATTATTTATTCCAGCATCTTTAATGTATAAAGCATTTTGTTTAATAATCGTTCAGACAGTTGTAATGCATGTGAGCATTCTAGTCGTTTGGTCTGTAGCAAATTGTTTTAAATCATTATTGTATTGTGACGTCGTATTAAGCGTGGTAGAAACGAAATGTTGTAATAATATCGGCTCAGTAGGATAAATCGTTCCTCATTATATTAATGAAGTATGTAAGAGATTGTCCATTACATTCATTTGTGCGTAAATTAAGTTTAAGTGTATTTATTACATAAGAGTACATGAAATCACGTACCCTAGAATAGGTCCGAAATGTGATATTTTTGTTTTAACTTGTTGACGTCTAACTTTTCAAATCGTGCGAGGCATAGCCAAGAGGGCTAGGAAAATGCTATCAGTGAATCTGTTTTATTTGTGAAAGCACCCACACTATTAAAATAATAAGGCACGTTACAATCAATATTTTATTCATTCATACATAAATTATCCGATTTATGTTCCATAATACTACTTCGTAGTTTTTCACTATAATATTAAGATAGTAGGTAGATTTCAATCTACTCTTATGAAAATTCCTAGTAATCTAACTATGCCTGTAGGTCTTTTATTCATTAACAGCTATAAAAATCGTATGTTTCATTTCATTTACACAGTCATATCATTATTTTGGTGAAGGAGCCAAAAGAAGATGCCAAAATATTACCTTAACTCGTCCATATGAGTATTTGTATGTTCGCTTCTGTTCCTTTAATCGGGTTTATAACCATGCAACAATAGTTAGGACCTATTTTTTAACAACATTGTACCTACCTAAGTAGGTACTAGGTACACAGACGGTGCAGCGATGCTACAGCTTACTTTGAACTGCTGCCTTCCTGTAATAAACTACTGTTTTACCTATTGTTGCCTGATTATCAACCTGACTTGTCGCATTAAAATTGTGCTCAGAAAAGACAAATTTAGTAAGATGCAACTGTAGTAACATAGTCCACATTTAAGTAGAGGATAGCGACTAGGTTAGACGTATTATCAATTTGTAAGTTATGTGATGATGGCATTTATTGGCCAAGTAAGTTGAAATTGTAAGGGTCGTAATTTTTTTATAATCAGTAGTTAAGTGCCACGCCTAAAATAATATATTGTATTGTAAACTTAAGTTTAAGCTTATTTAATATTGTTATAGTCATAAGGATGAAATGAAAATACAAATTTGACATATTTTTCTGGTTTTATTTTATTAGTGTAGTTATAATTATTAGAAACTGGCAACGAAAAACTTAACAGGGTTAAGTTACCTATACGGGCTAAAAATTAATAAAAAGCCTCTAACGGATGGCCTATATCCACACTGGGTATCAAGTGGTGGGATTAAATTTACTCACAGTTGCTACGCAAGAACTCATATAAGAAAATTCAAACTAAACATATTTATTTATGTTGGTATACCGCATTGGTTCCCAACGTGGAGGGCGGATTTTACTCAAAGAAAACATTATTTTATTCATGAAAAGAAATATAACTTTAAAGATTTTCAAAAATTTGCTTGCTATACTCGGGAATCGACCAACTACCTAAAATCAAGTAAAAATTATACTTACCCGGTACTTTTATTGCATCGATCGTCTTAGAACAAAGTATGGAACAAACTTGATAAATTAAATGAAAGGAAAACCATGAATTCTTAAATAATATTTACAGAAAATTGTATGGTGTGGTGGTGAATTTTCGAAAAATTTTCGGAAGTCTGAATGCAGTTCTCTTTCTTTTCAAAATTATAGGAATATATTTTTCGAGTAAAATTTTCTATCTACAGTATAAAAGTATTTTCGTTCCTGATGGGGGCCGTTCAAGTATTACGTAAGCAGATTTCTTACCATTTTTTACCCCCCCGCCCCCGTTGTCATCAAAAGTAAGCAAAGCACTTACCCCCTCCCCCTATGCTTACGTAAACATTTTTAGTTATAAATGTTTTTATACAGTGTGCGTGCGTCACGTTAAAGTGTACATATAAAAATAGATGAAACTAGACCTAATTTTTATCGACAAAAAAGAGGTCAAAAAAATTTTGATATTTTTTTTATTTTTTTATAGAATTTTTTTTCTTCCAATTACTTATTGTAAAGAAAACGTAATTACTTTTAAACTAAGCTGTATATTCTAATAAAGTAAAAACAGTAATAATGCTAAATAACAGGCGATAAAAAAAAATACATAAAATACACAAAAAAGGCCAACAAATAATAAAAAATGATACTTTTTGATAAAAAAAACTGCTTTTAGATTCGTGTTTTTTTGGTTATTTAATAAATTTCTCCAAAAAATGCCCCTATAACCGGTGGTTTTTATTACTTTGTATTATTCTCTATCGTATTACCTTCGTAAAACCAAAAATCGTATGTCTCTATCCCTATCACAACGTTTGCAATGATGAAATAACTAACGATGACGTAATCATCATCTAGACCCCCCTACCCCCCATGTCATCCGAAATAAGCAAAACAGAGACCCCCCCACCCCCCCTTGGTGCTTACGTAATACTTGAACGGCCCCATGGCATTACCAAATTCCACCCTGTATAGCATAAAATACTTTTCCCGCCCGGAAACCGGATACAAAAAAATTAAAAGCGGAAGGGCCTGAAACTACTGAAAACTGAAACTANAGTTTTATTTTATTAGTGTAGTTATAATTATATTTGAAACTGGCAACGAAAAACTTAACCCTGCTTATACGAAATAAAAATTAATAAAAAGCCTCTATCGGATGGCCCATATCCACACTGGGTATCAAGTGGTGGGATTAAATTTACTCACAGTTGCTACCTACGCAAGAACTCATAATATAAGAAAATTCAAACTAAACATATTTATTTATGTTGGTATACCGCATTGGTTCCCAACGTGGAGGGCGGATTTTACTCAAAGAAAACATTATTTTATTCATGAAAAGAAATATAACTTTAAAGATTTTCAAAAATTTGCTTGCTACACTCGGGAATCGACCAACTACCTAAAATCAAGTAAAAATTATACTTACCCGGTATTTTTATTGCATCGATCGTCTTAGAACAAAGTATGGAACAAACTTGATAAATTAAATGAAAGGAAAACCATGAATTCTTAAATAATATTTACAGAAAATTGTATGGTGTGGTGGTGAATTTTCCAAAAAATTTCGGAAGTCTGAATGCAGTTCTCTTTCTTTTAAAAAATAAAGGAATATTTTTTTCGAGTAAAGTTTTCTATCTACAGTATAAAAGTATTTTCGTTCCTGATGGCATTGCCAAATTCCACCCTGTATAGCATAAAATCTTTAATTTAATTACAGCAAGTCAGAATCTCTAATAACTCTCTCTCTCTCTCATACTTTTCCCGCCCGGAAACCGGATACAAAAAAATAAACAGCGGAAGAGCCTGAAACTGCTGAAACTATTGATTCAAGGTTAATTAATTTTTTTTACTGGCAACATATCAAAACTTTTTCAATAATTAATTGCAAAAAAATTTTAAATGACATTAAAAGGACTTAATTATTAAGAAAAGACGAATGCAATAATATTATTATGAAATAAAATATTATAGGATTTAAAAAAGTGAAACCTTTTTTAGAACATTTTGATACTGGCACTCATGTCGCGATTGCCACTGGCAGCCATCTTGGATAAAATTTCATGATGGCATAGTGTCTTTCTAATTTCTAAATAAAAAGTGAATGTAAGAAATATTTACAGTGTTATAAAATAAAATTAATTATAAAAAATCAACATAATTTTTCATACAAATTACCTGTTTAAAAACTGTGGTCGGACACTTTAATAATTTAAAAGAACACCAATAAAACAAATCAGCTGTTATCCGTCAATCGATGTCAACAAAATTACATAATTTTGTTTAGAAAAACAGTGCAGTCTCCGTTTTTGAGTGTCATTTTGAAATTACCAAACATGCAGGTTCAATCTTACAGTTTATTGGACAAATTAATAAAGTAGAAGTTCTCAAAACGGCTCGCAAACATCCGCGACTTTGTGATTTTTTTGTATGATGTAGTCCAAAATAATTTTTAGTTATGGATCACAACAATTTGATAGAGTGCGGTGGATTTTATTTCATTCATAATTTTGACTCTGGGAATCTCGGGCATGTAGAGAGGGTGCCCACGGAGCTCATAGGTAAGTCATTTCCGTAGTATTTTATTCATTAAATACAAAGTCCAATGTCGGGATTCTAATTATTTCGCTGCCAATTGGTTCTGCCTTTTTCATGGTCTCGAAGACTAATAGTGATTTCGACAAAGAACTATTTTCAGTCCTTAGCAGGTCTTAAAATAACTTTTTTATGTCCAATTAGAGTAACCTCCACTTGACACAAATATTCTTTGTTCTGATGTTCCTTGCAATATTTAGTTAGCTATTTATAAATGCTTGTTGGAGAAACAATAGCAAACACTTTATGAACTGTACATAAAATAGTTATGTTTTTTAGACTTTTATGAGTTTTAGATAAATTCCAATATGAATCAGCAGCATTTCCAATTAGAATTGGACTATATCAAAAGTCAAATCACAATTTATTCATTAATTTCTAAGCTCTACTTTGTGTTTATGTTTGCACTAAAAACAAATGGGATAAATATCCCATTTATCATGAATCATGTTTTCCAGCTCCCAGTGTGAACCCAAAAACAAATGCAACCGAGACCCCAGACTATGAGTTCAACTTGTGGACTCGTCCGGACTGCGCTGGCACGGAGTTCGAGAATGGGAATCGAACATGGTTCTATTTTGGAGTGCAGGCTAGTGAGCCTAATGTATTGGTAAGAAATAACATATTTTAATAACATTTCCTAAATTACTATTCACATTATTTCATTACAATTACTTTTGCCATATTTCAGGTGCGGCTAAATCTTATAAACCTAAATAAACAAGCAAAGATGTACAACCAAGGCATGGCTCCAGTCACTCGGACATTGCCTGGGAAGCCTCAGTGGGAGAGGATCAGGGATCGTCCTGTACATTCGGTAATATACACCGGCAGTTCTTTATTTTATGCTTATACCTCTCATTGGCATGCCTTACTTCATATACTGTGTAAAATTATTTAAAAAAAAAAATATTTTTTACAGACTGATGACAACACCTTCACGTTAAGTTTCAAATATCGTACTTCAGAGAATATGAAGGCTACAACATTTTTCGCATTCACATATCCATTCTCCTTTGCTGAGCTCCAAATAGCTCTGAATTCTATTGATATGAAGATGCTTCCTCTGCCACCACCTCAGTCCCTAGATGACATTTACTATTACAGAGAATGTCTCATCTATTCACTTGAAGGTAAGCCCTACTATATTATAAACACTCCTTATATCACCATTTAATATTGATCATTAATATAATTTAATATAATTTTTGAAATTTGTAGGAAGACGTGTCGATTTGTTAACGATAACTTCACATCACGGTATCACAACAGAAAAGGAGGAGAGGCTCAAGAATCTTTTCCCAGAAAACCAAGAACGACCTTTTAAGTTCCAGAATAAAAAGGTATAATAAATATAAAACCTTAAAAATAAAAACTTCCTTTACATGTCAGCAATGATTCAAGGAAAAATACTATTGTTTTAAAACATTTCATATCCAACAGATAATCTTCATATCGGCGCGAGTGCACCCCGGTGAAACACCTTCAAGTTTCGTTTTCAACGGTTTCCTCAATCTCCTACTAAACCGGAACGATCCGATCGCGGTCCAGCTACGGAAGCACTACGTGTTCAAGATGATCCCCTTCCTAAACCCAGACGGGGTCGCGAGGGGCCACTATCGGACGGACACGCGGGGAGTCAACTTGAACAGGGTCTATTTGAACCCATCGCTGGTCTATCACCCCACTGTGTACGCTTCGAGAGCGCTAATAAGGTAATTCTTATTTATTTATTTTTTATCTACTAACTACAAAAAGACAGTAATAAAAAAAAATGTTTAGGCTCAACTAATGTTGTTACCTTTTCTGAAAAAGAATAAAAAAAACATTATTATCTTTTTAAGACAAGAAAAACATCTATAATTATAAAGAATTAAATAGGCATCCAAAGGTAGAAAAGGCTTTTATTTTAAATGATCGTAACATGTTTTTCCTAGTAAGGTAGTTTTTTTATTTCTTGGAAAATAGATGCTATTTTTCCCGAGTACTGTTTACTGAATTTAATGATCGACGGAGTTTAACATTTATTTTCTATACAAATTCTACAAAATACAATGTATACAAGTAGTTTTGTCTGTTTCTGTATTATTACAAGCCGCAACAAACTGTTAAATAAGCGACGTTTATGGTTGCAGAACGCCATTTTAACGCGGCACCTTCAACCATAAATAACAATGTATCCTAATGTTTATGACCAAAGTCAAGGTGTGACATCGCGTTATATCTTCCAAGAAACTACTAAGTGAAATTCCCTAAAAGCTGAATCGCGTGTTCACAGGACATCGTCGTGAAGTTTTAAAATAGTTGAAACAAATTCACGGCAGGTCAAATCTATTAGTTCTGAAGCCAAAGACAGTTTGGAACTTTCGAAGTAGTTAAATGCAGAAGTTTAAAGTTTTCCGAATATTTAGTGTTATTTAACCTGAGTAACAAACGTTTAAATGTATAACCCGGCATAAAAACTCAAAAAGAAGTGACTAACTAGCATAAAGTTTTGCATCATGCCTACATTTATTTTTTATTAGCAAAACACATTCCGTTCCACAGGTACTACCATTTTGGCTGTGAAAAAGAAGACATCATCGAAGATAGCAAAAGCTTCACGTCACGGAGTATACAGAACATCAGCGAAAGTGCAGAGGTAAATATCATTATTACATTTGGAAACCATTGCTATGACGTTGAACCTACACTGCGAATTTCGGTCGTTTCAACCAAATAACCTACACTGCTGGACAAAGGCCTCCCCCAAGGATTTTCACAATGAGCGGTCCTACGCATCCCGCATCCAGGTACTTCCAGGTCGTCGGTCCACCTAGTGAGAGGTCTCCCTACAATACGCTGTCCGGCCCGTGGTCGGTCGCCGTCTACGAGTCTAACCGGTTTCGAATTTATCACCTTAATAATTAATGAATGTTCCATCCCCCAACAGCTACTAGACGCAAAGAAGAAGAAATCCTCAAACGCCTCCACGTTCAAAGGCAACGAGTTCAAACGCGAGAAGTCGGGCAAGTCCACGACCAGCACCAAGTCTTCCACCACCATCAAGCAACCATCTTCAGAAAGCGCGAGGAAGCAAGACAGCAAGAACCTAAGCGGGGAGGCCGCGCACTTAGCGGAACAAGTAAGTGAGACACGTAAATGTCATTACTGAGTTGAGCATCTCCCAACTAGCGTGGCCTGTGGCAATGAGTTCAAACGCAAGAAGTTTGCCAGAATAAAGTGACAAGTATCAAGTCTTCCACCACCATCAAGCAGCCATCTTCAGAAAGCGCGAGGAAGCAAGACAGCAAGAACCTTAGCGGGGAGGCCGCGCACTTAGCGGAACAAGTAAGTGAGGCACGTGAATATCATCAATAATTACTGAGTCAAGCATATCCCATTCAAGCGCGGACTTCAGTGATGAGTTTGATCGCGAGAAGTCTGGCAAGTGACCAGCACTAAGTCTTCCACCACCATCAAGCAGCCGTCATTGGTATACCAGAAGAGTACCAAAAATACTGAAAAATTTTTCGTCAGAAATTATTCCGCCGACGTTTTTTTTTCAATCCGGCTAGAAGGACCACTTATATGTATTGAAATGAGAAACGGAATTATATTTTCAAATAATATGTATATTGATGTCAACTAAACATTAAGATGTACTCTTACAGTGGCGTAGCGTGGCTTTTCGCCGCCCGGGGCCGTCCGGAAATCCGCCGCCCTTTATTTTAATTATAAATATTTTAAAGTTTAAATATTATATTGAATGGACTTCAGGTACAATATTCACCTTATTTGTTGAAAGTCAAAATAAACTACCACGCACTGCTTCAGAAGGAAAAAAATACATTAAAGAGAAGCAATTGCTTGAAACCCACAGGAAGTTTGATTTTCTTAAATAGCTCAGCTTTATTATGTAACACTAGGTGTATAACAATAAAAACAAGTATTAAAGTATTTTTTTGGCAATTGAGAGTAAATACTATCTTAAATTATACAGTGTGAGTCACGTTAAAGTGTACATATGAAAATAGATGAAACTAGACCTATTTTTATCGACAAAAAAGAGGTAAAAAATTTTTTGAGATTTTTTTTATTTTTTTATAAAAAATTTTTTCTTCCAATTACTTATTATAAAGAAAACGTAATAACTTTTAAACTAAGCGGTATATCCTGATAAAATAAAAACCGTAATAATGCTAAATAACAGGCGGTACTAAAAAATACATAAAATACACAAAAAAGGCCAACAAATAATAAAAAATGATACTTTTTGAAAAAAATCTGTTTTTAAATTTTTTTTTTTGGTTATTTGATAAATTTCTCCAANATGGGCTGGTGCCAGGAGTGCCGGCGCGCCGTCAGCGAGCTGGAGGACACCATGCCCGGCATCGCCGCCATGGTGCCCGGCTACAGCGCCTCCCTGGTGAGTGGGGACGTGTGACTATAGAGACAGCTCGCTAGCAAGAAGGCCGGCTGTCCAACATGCGGATGGGCTGGTGCCAGGAGTGCCGGCGCGCCGTCAGCGAGCTGGAGGACACCATGCCCGGCATCGCCGCCATGGTGCCCGGCTTTGAATTCATTAGATATTTGCAGCAAGTTACAGATTTAATTACTGCTAAAAGTTACCATTTTAGCTAATTTTGAATTTCGAACTTGCAGAATATAATAAATACACGGTTTTAAAAGTAGCTTAGATATGGCTTTAACTATTTACAAACCACTTTTTATTTCGGTTTGAAACAAGAGAAATCACGAAAGATTATCTGTGGCGCAAGTTTTAGAGGGGTAAGTAAGCTCCTTAAATTTTTGTTACTATTACTTAAAAAAATAGATTAAAAATGTACTCTTCGTCCTTTTTTCAAAGCAAAATCTTTTACACAATCGTCGATATCAAATTGTATCTCATTTTCAATGAGGGCTATCGTTTTAGCGCTCACCAGTTAGCGCCACTGTAGAGTAAGGTCCTGTCACATGCTAGTAGCGAAGACAGTGGCACCAACTTGTGAGCGCTAAAGTGGTAGGAGGACTATCGCATTTGCACTCATCAAGATGGCGCCATTGTAGAGTAAGGTCCTGTCAATCGCCAGGGGTGCCAACTGTTAAGTATAAAAACGATAGCCCTCATTGCCAGTATAGCTAGATTTGTTAGTCTCAACGTAGACATAGTCGACCTTTTTTTTCTTGTTCATGCAATGTTTTTTTTCTTATCCGCCGCCCCCTTTCATATGCCGCCCGGGGCCATGGCCCCCCCTGCCCCCCCCAAGCTACGCCACTGTACTCTTGACTTGGTCGAATTTATTCTTCCAATACTCTTGATGGATGATTGATTTACTTGCGGGTAATGCGCCTCTTGCGGGGTAGACATGTCATTGTGCATTCACCTTTAATTCAACCTCGCAATGTAGCCTGATCTACAATCACCTTTTGCCAGATGGCGTTACAAAGTTACGTAGAAATAATAGATATTATTTCTACGTAACTTTGTTCCTATATTTTGAGTTGAGCCCAAAATTATGTGAGAACATCGTATTTATTTATCAATTAGTTTGTGCGTCATACCTGTTACAGTAGCTAAGCGCATAATCCAGTAGAAACCATATCAGCTTATTACATGTACTTCTCAGCGTGCCTAATTAGTCGCTAGGCTTTATCAAAAGCTCGTTTTAATACCTAACTGATAACTTACTGCCACGCATTTTTATTAAAAACGACATACAATTTTCAGCTAAAAAGTGGATTAGCTGACTGGCATTTATTTGTTTATTTATCAGCATGTTTAAAAAGCTTTGAAATATTCATTCTATCTATACTAATATTATAAATGCGAAAGTAACTCTGTCTGACTGTCTGTCTTGCTTTCACGCCTAAACCACTGAACAGATTTTGATAGAATTTGGAATAGAGATAGTTTGAGTCCTGAGAAAGGACATAGGACAGTTTTTATCCCGTTTTTTGAAACAGGGACGCGTGCGATAATGTTTTTCTGTGACACAAAATTCCACGCGGGCGAAGCCGCGGGCGGAAAGCTAGTGTTTTATATAATGCACAATATGCTTCCCTTCATACATTTAGGTTTTCAGTGACAATTATTAAATATCTCACGACCATGTTACACGTTTCAAGTGTGTTTCTCATCTCGAAATGTTTTCTCATCCAGTAGATCTCGGAAATAGGTTCAAATCAACACAACATTGCTTTACGTATACTTATTATTTACCAATACTTCTGGAACGTGACCAGTAGTATTCTTGAACACTATTATATCACCTTCTAGGTCTACGACATGAAACTCCAAGAGATGCCGTCCCAAACATCGGACACCTCGTCCAAGCCCTCCAACACTAACATCGCGGAGACGGCCTCGCTTCTCAACGACAACATGCTGCGAACGTGTCTCGGCTCCAACGTCCACCTCAGCACGAGCGAAGAGCTGAACTTTCAAGGATCCAACCCGCTCCGGCCGCTAAGGGATACCTTGAAGAATTCCATCAGTTTGCTGATGGAATCTAACTCGTCGGTTACTGGGTTAGTGTCTCTTCTATTGTATAGATCAGTGGTTCTTAACCGGTGGTCCGCGGACCACTGGTGGTCCCTGGAGGCATTCCAAGTGGTCCACGAAGTGCACTTGCACATCTTGGTCAAAACCACTTTTAACTGATTTTTGCAGTCAAACTGGTTTACTTTGACCGATTATGATTATGGGGTGGTCCCTGACAATACAGAAATTTGGTAAAATGGTCCCTCATGACTTAAAGGTTAAGAACCACTGGTATAGATCGATTCATCCACGAAGACGCGCCCCACCATTCTTCCGCTAATATTTAAGTGTTATCGGTACACGCTAAATTATCCATGAGTGCACTCGCACACTACAATAATGACACTCGGATTGCTCGGGTCAAACACCCCGCGCCCCAAGCTTCCCTCAACCAAAAATTGGTGGGGCGCGTTTTCGTGGATGAAACAATCTATAGTTGTATGACTTCGGGAGTATTAAAATAAGTAGAGTATGTTCTTCTTATTTAGGTTTTGTTTGCCATCCGTTCGTCATAGAACAATTAATCCTTCAAGCTCCGCGAATCTAGACACAATAGATAATCAATTGTTATGACATAAATAATGCCGTCTAGGACTCAATCGGTTAAGTTGTGTTGTTTTGTATTTTTCTACTTGCGAGCTATAAGGAAAACCGACCAAAAATCAATTAACTGCTATCCTACAAAGTTATCGGTTCGTGAAAATGTAAACATTTTGTCGCTCGATTCCATTTTCAGTTTGCTAATGCTTCAACCACACCAACGCTTGCAGATCGCCATCGCTATCAAAGGCCAATGACAGGTCCAGCGACCTATGACAGTTCACGCGACCTGTCATTGGCCTTGGATCGCGCCGGCGATGGCTATCTGCACGCGTTGGTGTGGTTGAAGCTTAATTATTGCACCTAAAGTCAAACCCCAATAGCCGTGTCCACACCGGGCGCATAGACTCGCGAGGCACGCTTGTCATCCTGCTCACCCTGCTCTTAAGTGAGCAGGATGACAAGCTTTGCTTACGAGCCCATGGATCGTTGTGGCCGCAGCTTTTAACGTATTCATACGTCTGCTTATCGCAGGGACAGCTCGCTAGGCGGCAAAGAATCGCGGCTGTCCAACGTACGCATGGGCTGGTGCCAGGAGTGCCGGCGCGCCGTCAGCGAGCTGGAGGACACCATGCCCGGCATCGCCGCCATGGTGCCCGGCTACAGCGCCTCCCTGGTGAGTGGGGACGTGTGACTATAGAGACAGCTCGCTAGCAAGAAGGCCGGCTGTCCAACATGCGGATGGGCTGGTGCCAGGAGTGCCGGCGCGCCGTCAGCGAGCTGGAGGACACCATGCCCGGCATCGCCGCCATGGTGCCCGGCTACAGCGCCTCCCTGGTGAGTGGGGACGTGTGACTATAGAGACAGCTCGCTAGCAAGAAGGCCGGCTGTCCAACATGCGGATGGGCTGGTGCCAGGAGTGCCGGCGCGCCGTCAGCGAGCTGGAGGACACCATGCCCGGCATCGCCGCCATGGTGCCCGGCTACAGCGCCTCCCTGGTGAGTGGGGACGTGTGACTATAGAGACAGCTCGCTAGCAAGAAGGCCGGCTGTCCAACATGCGGATGGGCTGGTGCCAGGAGTGCCGGCGCGCCGTCAGCGAGCTGGAGGACACCATGCCCGGCATCGCCGCCATGGTGCCCGGCTACAGCGCCTCCCTGGTGAGTGGGGACGTGTGACTATAGAGACAGCTCGCTAGCAAGAAGGCCGGCTGTCCAACATGCGGATGGGCTGGTGCCAGGAGTGCCGGCGCGCCGTCAGCGAGCTGGAGGACACCATGCCCGGCATCGCCGCCATGGTGCCCGGCTACAGCGCCTCCCTGGTGAGTGGGGACGTGTGACTATAGAGACAGCTCGCTAGCAAGAAGGCCGGCTGTCCAACATGCGGATGGGCTGGTGCCAGGAGTGCCGGCGCGCCGTCAGCGAGCTGGAGGACACCATGCCCGGCATCGCCGCCATGGTGCCCGGCTACAGCGCCTCCCTGGTGAGTGGGGACGTGTGACTATAGAGACAGCTCGCTAGCAAGAAGGCCGGCTGTCCAACATGCGGATGGGCTGGTGCCAGGAGTGCCGGCGCGCCGTCAGCGAGCTGGAGGACACCATGCCCGGCATCGCCGCCATGGTGCCCGGCTACAGCGCCTCCCTGGTGAGTGGGGACGTGTGACTATAGAGACAGCTCGCTAGCAAGAAGGCCGGCTGTCCAACATGCGGATGGGCTGGTGCCAGGAGTGCCGGCGCGCCGTCAGCGAGCTGGAGGACACCATGCCCGGCATCGCCGCCATGGTGCCCGGCTNGTTATGACTGGAAAAGAATAGGCAACCTAACGTTTGCATATTCTATGGGCTTCATACTTTCGATTGGTATGGAGTTTGTTTAATAATCAAACCGATGAAATATTTAAAAATAAAACTTTTTTTAATGATTAATTAATCATATCCTGGACTGAAATTTATTAGGCAACCCTTAAGCAATATAATTATTGACATGTTAAATTGAATATAAAATATGTTTCATCAAATAAGCATCTCGGTGAAGGTCGTTGTATAGCGGGATCTTATACTATATCCTACAAAGTTATCGGTTCGTGAAAATGTAAACATTTTGTGGCTCGATTCCATTTTCAGTTTGCTAATGCTTCAACCACACCAACGCGTGCAGATCGCCATCGCCGGCGCGATCTAAGGCCAATGACAGGTCGCGTGAACTTTCATAGGTCGCGCGACCTGTTATTGTCCTTTGACAGCGCCGGCGATGGCGAAGTGGGTGCAGTCAAACCCCAATAGCTGTGTCCACACCAGGCGCATGGACTCGCGAGGCACGCTTGACATCCTGCTCACTCTGCTCTTGAGTGAGCAGGATGACAAGCTTTGCTCACGAGCCCAGGCGCCCGTTGTGGCCGCAGCTATTCGTATTCATACGCACTTTATCTCGAAACTTCAATGGGAAGACTGGTCTCCACGACATAGGGAATCCTAGTGTGGAGTCCAGTGATACTGTTAGTACATACTTACTGTATAAATTGTAATCCGTTTTTATTCTGAATGTAACAGTAACCAGATCATGTACTGTAATATTTTTGGACTAAATAAATATCATTTTCATTTTCATTCGTCTGCTTATCGCAGGGACAGCTCGCTAGGCGGCAAAGAATCACGGCTGTCCAACGTACGCATGGGCTGGTGCCAGGAGTGCCGGCGCGCCGTCAGCGAGCTGGAGGACACCATGCCCGGCATCGCCGCCATGGTGCCCGGCTACAGCGCCTCCCTGGTGAGTGACGAGAAATGTTAAGGTATACTGTTCACTGTCCGTCATTTGACGAATGCATACCACGTGACGAACGCAAGACGACACAGGTAGGATACAACGTGCCACTCTATGGACGATAGGGTGCGCATGATCTGCGGTTTATGTGGACAGCAGGCCTAAATCTTCTTAGGACCTTACACTTTCTCTCAGGGTTTTAACGAGCTGCTACAGGCGTCAGACATGGGGAACAGACCCTACGTTCATTCTGTTGTATTATTAGTAGGTAAATTAGCTCACGTTAATCTCGCTGTCACTCTCCTGTTTCAAGACCTTACACAATAGAGAACACAATGTCGGACATCGCTTCAATATACATAAGGCCGGCTAAAGCTGCTCCCAGGAACTAGGAGTCTTTACGAGCCGCTGCCCGCTACATACGTCAAATATGATGACTCGATAGATGGAGGTGGTTGCACGAAGTGACTCCACTGGAAAGCTTCGAATTTTTTCATGATGACAATGTAATGAAACTGATAAATGTTTTCCTTTATTAGCTGCGTCAAGACAGTCTCAAAAGTCACAACATTGAGGAATACAGGGAACATCAAAAGCAGCAGATTGACGAACAAGAACGATCCGTATGTCCTATTGTTGTTGTAGTAATACTTGTATGGTATTGCCTTGTTGGAGGTACTTGTGAATAAAATGTATGAAAAAAGTAGATAAGCCCTATTATTGTGTATTTAGGTCGAATTTTCGATGTAGATCGGTCAATATTTGTTAGATTATTTTCCAATCACAAAGTACAGCGAAATAGTTCCAATATGAAAATTCATTGTTGCAGATGCACGAAGTCGAACCTGGTGAGAAGGACGACACGATTTATTTCTGCACTAACTGCTTCAAGAAATATGTCATCACAGAATATAACGAGGAAGTTGTGAGTATTCCCGGCTGCTTTTATTTATAATTATTAATTTTATTCGTCACTTGAATAGATTCTCCAATACCTTAGTAATTACCGGTATTATTAAAACCAATTTTCGTGTAGAGTCAAACAACACGTTGGTTTTAATAATTCCGTAAAATTTATTACAGAATTCAGGAACTAATTTCAACATAATAGCTATAGCTGTAACATGATTTCTTGAAGCAATACAAGAGTTTTAATTTTTTTTTTCATTAGCTTCTGTCTACAGACTTGATCCGTATTCGAACTTTTAATTTTGTTAACATAATTATTTTACTTCAATAGATTTCAATTTACCTTTAAATGTTGTTTCATACAGATCTTGGATCTGTATAAAATCAACTCTTAAAATTCGATTCAATAACGGTTAAATTTTAACCAATCAAAAGCCTTCTATAAACCTATGTTTTAAATTGAATCTAGTTATGGGCTTCGTTTTGTAATAAGTTGAGTGACTTATGCTGGATTTCTATATTCAATACTAATCCAAATTATACGGATTTGGATTGTCATGTCAACTGTCAAATTTTAATATGTTTTTGGCCAAAATAACTGCGGGTTTTGATGTTTTTACATTTTTATATTGTTTATAAGACTATTTAAACATTATTAAAGTGTAAATGTATCGAAAATTTTGGAAATATAATCTAAAACTAAATTCAATTTGACAGTTGTAATCCGGATTTGGACAAGGATTGATTATGGGAATCGGGCGCTAATGATGATGATGAACCGATCGGCGAAGGTCGTTCCTGATACCGGTTTTAGACTATCTGAGACCGTCAAAAATGTTGCTAACTTGTTTGGTGCAGAAGCTGTGTGACGCGGTGTCGACGGCCAGCGTGGCGGTGTCGGCGGGCGACAGCGGCGAGCCGCACGCGCACGACGCCAAGCACGCGCCGCCGCCGCCCGACCCGCCCGTGGTAAATAAATAAATATCCTTTGACATTTTACACTGCGCTTCTAGTCCCAAACTAAGCAAAGCTTGTACTATGGGTACTAGACAACGGATATAAACATACTTATAGCCTGACCAGGAACATAAAAACCCTCGCCATGTTGCGGAAAACTAATGGTACTAATTTCTTTTAATGGCAACAGTAACTGAAAACTTCATTGACATGTCACCTTGCATGTCAGTCTATTGTTGTCAAAGTGTAAACAAACTTTATTTAAAGTGTGCAATTGATTTTGTGAATTAAATTGCTAAAATATTTTTATAGTCGTGAAAGAAAAGTGGTTCACGATGTGTTAATGTATTTGTCAAAGAGAAATACTAAGGGTTCGGACAATATTTTCATTGAATAATGTTTCCGACAAAGGTTGTCAAATTGACTGACATGTTTATCGTATAGTACAGTCCACTATGAAAATTAGCTGTAGTCTGTTTCAACTACCTATTTTAAAGTTTTTTGTCACTTTCTAAGTTTTGAATTTTATGGAATTGGGAAAGAAGTACCGAGTTTGAAGCGTTCATGAGCAGACATTGCAGTTGAATATTCAAGTTCTGAATTTGATTATTGATGAATATTATAATAAATCCTACTAGCTCGATTGATGGTTTCATTTAATTTATTTAAACCAGGTTACCTTTAATAATATTTTTCGTTAATTTATGAAAATATCAAATTAGCCCGTAATCCTGAATCCCGATACATAAATTTAGCCTATTAATTCAACACATGTACGACTGTACTCAGTGTTGCACTATCAAATGCAATTGAAGCGCCTCTATGCCAGGGTTTTTATGTTCCTGGTCAGGCTATAAATACTTTTTTTTTTGTAAATATAGACTTATTATATATAGAAAACACCCAGTCCAATACAAACAAATATGTTCATGCACACAAATGTTTGTACTGTGCGGGAATCGAACCCGCTACCTCCAGAATAGTAGTCCGTTTCGAACCACTACACCAAACGGCCGACAATAAGCACAATGTGTTTTGTTGTTATTATTCGACCAAACTTTTATCCGAGAATAACTCCTGCCTGGTATAACTGGCACATTGACAGTTTTAGTATAGGAAATAGGTATGTGAAAATGTCGAATAACTGACCATTTATTCTGAGATTAATATTTACTCTTGTTTGGTCAAATTCACCATTAAAGTATGTAGGTAGGTATATTATAAATGTTAAAGTTAATAAAGATGAATTGATATTTATTACACTTTCACACAAAAACTGATAAACAGATTTTAAAATTAATTTAGTAAAGCGATCAGATAAAAACATAGGATAGTTTATCCCGATTTTTAAAAGACACTCACAAGGAAATATTTCTGTAACAAACCGAAATTCACGCGAACGCTACCGCGAGCAATACTTAGTATACTTTCATAACTTTGTTTATTTTTTGTTTTTACTGTACTAAAATCTTCAAAACACATTGCCCAAATGGTATCTGTTTGCGTGAAATAAAAATATTATTTAGTCGCTTATTATAATATGTAAGTAATCCGCATTCCTCAAACCTCCAGCAAGTGTCGCCGCCCCAAAAGGACGACAAGTCCAAGCCGGCCGCCAAGAAAGCGGCAAAGAAACCGCCGCCCGCGCCCGCGCCGCGCCCGCCGCCGCGCGAGCCGGAATCCGGCCTGTATCTCTACATCGACCTGCATGGACACGCCTCTAAGAAAGGTAACCTATAGACGTGGCCGTAACAAGGGGAGCCAGCTTCCAAGCTTTTTAGTGTTTTACTAAAGCCTGGTCCGTGAGCACGTAGAATCCCGTCCAATGACCCCAAGCTGCCCATCCTTGTCGCTCGCGCGTAATTATGTTGCTGTCGCGCTAGCACACTCACTGCGGGCGCGCGTCGCACAGTCGCGACAGCAATATAATTGAGAATGTTACTAGGTATGCAAAATCACTTGAAACCTATGTTACAGTTAAGCTTTTACATTTACAAATACATTAGTTTTTATTTCATTCAAAAATACCCAGTAGTTATGATTTTATAGGCATTCAAAGTTCGCTTAAATATTGAGTCCCGCCGACGGTCACGTGACCCCGTGTGACGTACATTCACAGCGTCCGCTCACTAGAAAACGGATCTATACATACTTAAATAATTTTTTTTNTTTCGCTTATCGTTTAAAAAACTATACCAGACCCAAGACTTTCTTTTATTTGTTCATTTTCTTTAGTTAGAAGAATTCACACAAAAATTAAGTAAAGGCATTGAGCAAATGGCGACGATTAATAATGTACGGATATTATTACAGCAAGTGTCGCCGCCCCAAAAGGACGACAAGTCCAAGCCGGCCGCCAAGAAAGCGGCAAAGAAACCGCCGCCCGCGCCCGCGCCGCGCCCGCCGCCGCGCGAGCCCGAGTCCGGCCTGTATCTCTACATCGACCTGCACGGACACGCCTCCAAGAAAGGTAACCTATAGCCGTGGTTTTTAATGTTCCAGCCAGCTTCCATGCTTTTTAGTGTTTTACTAGTATGATATAGCAAGAATCGCCGCCTCAAAAGGAGGACAAGTCAAAGAAAGCGGCAAAGAAACCGCCGCGCGAGCCAGAGTCCGGCCTGTATCTCTACATCGACCTGCACGGACACGCCTCCAAGAAAGGTAACCTATAGACGTGGCCGTAACTAGGGGAGCCAGCTTCCATGCTTTTTAGTGTTTTACTAAAGCCTGGTCTGTGAGCACGTAGAATCCCGTCCAATGACCCAAAGCTACCCATCCTTATCGCTCGCGCGTAATTATATTGCTGTCGCGACTGTGCGACGCGCGCCCGCAGTAAGTGTGCGAGCGCCACAGCAACATAATTACGCGCGAGCGATAAGGATGGGTAGCTTGGGGTCATTGGACGGGATTCTACGTGCTCACGGACCAGGGTTTAGTATGATATAGCAAGCATCGCCGCCTCAAAAGGAGGACAAGTCAAAGAAAGCGGTAAAGAAACCGCCGCCCGCGCCCGCCGCCGCGCGAGCCCGAGTCCGGCCTGTATCTCTACATCGACCTGCACGGGCACGCCTCCAAGAAAGGTAAGCTACAAACATGGGCATGTATTTTTTTTTTGTGGATTATTAGCATGACATGTAAGCGACCTCAAAAGAAGAATAAGTCGAAGCCAGCAGCCAAGAAGAAGCCACGAGCCGGAATCTGGCATGTATCTCTACATCGACCTGCACGGACACGCCTCCAAGAAAGGTAACCTATAGACGTGGCCGTAACTAGGGGAGCCAGCTTCCATGATTTTTAGTGTTTTACTAAAGCCCGGTCCGTGAGCACGTAGAATCCCGTCCAATGACCCCAAGCTACCCATCCTTGTCGCTCGCTACAATTATGTTGCTGTCGCGCTCGCACACTCACTGCGGGCGCGCGTCGCACAGTCGCGACATCAATATAATTACGCGCGAGCGATAAGGATGGGTAGCTTGGGGTCATTGGACGGGATTCTACGTGCTCACGGACCAGGCTTTAGTATGATATAGCAAGCATCGCCGCCTCAAAAGGAGGACAAGTCAAAGAAAGCGGCAAAGAAACCACCACCCGCGCCGCGCCCGCCGCCGCGCGAGCCCGAGTCCGGCCTGTATCTCTACATCGACCTGCACGGGCACGCCTCCAAGAAAGGTAAGCTACAGTTAAGGGCGTAACCAGGGGGGAAGCTTGGGTTTTTGTGGTTTAGTAGCATGTCATAGCAAGCGTTGCCGCCCCAAAAGGAAGACAAGTCTAAGAATAATTGTTTAAATACATTTATTCTCGTAAAGACAAATTATGCCACTTACATGAGAACACAGTAAAAAACAAAGATAATAATCGTTGAAAAAATCACCGTCTGCACCAGAATTCGCCATCTACCTGCACGGACACGCCTCCAAGAAAGGTAACCTATAGCCATGAGCGTTAGCTTGCGTGCTTTTTAGTGTGTTATTATTAGCACGCAAAACAAGCATCGTCGTCCCAAAAAGGAAGACAAGTCCAAGAAGAAGTCACCGCCCGCACCAGAATTCGGCATCTAAAGCCCGGTCTGTGAGCACGTAGAATTTTGTCCAATGACCCCAAGCTACCCATCCTTATCGCTCGCGCGTAATTATATTGCTGTCGCGGCTGTGCGACGGGCGCCCGCAGTGAGTGTGCGAGCGCGACAGCTGTTGCTGTACGCGTTAGCGATAAGGATGGGTAGCCTGGGGTCATGGGACAAAATTCTACGTGCTCGCAGACCAGACTATACCTGTCTATAGACTGGCACGGACACGCCTCCAATAAAGGTAACCTATAGACATAGGCGTAACCAGGGGGGGTCAGCTTGTGTGCTTTTTAGTGGTTTATTAGCACGACTTAGCAAGGGTCCTGCCTCGAAAGGAGGACAAGTCAAAGAAAGCGGCAAAGAAACCACCGCCCGCGCCCGCCACCGCGCGAGCCCGAGTCCGGCCTGTATCTCTACATCGACCTGCACGGGCACGCCTCCAAGAAAGGTAACCTATAGCCATGAGCGTTAGCTTGCATGCTTTTTAGTGTGTTATTATTAGCACGACAAGCGAGCATCGTCATCCCAAAAAGGAAGACAAGTCCAAGAAGAAGCCACCGCCCGCACCAGAATTCGGCATCTACCTGTCTATAGACTGGCCCGGACACGCCTCCAAGAAAGGTAACCTATAGACGTGGTTTTTAGTGTTCCAGCCAGCTTCCATGCTTTTTAGTGTTTTACTAGTATGATATTCGCTGGGTGCGAAGTACTAGGTGGGGGGGATATAATCTATCGCAGCGCTCATGGTGGTCAAAAGTAGAAATAATGTTAGCTCTGTCATCAGATGTATCTGTCAATGGCAAAGCGATTCTACATAATACATTTTAATATCATTAATTAATCGCATGAAAAGGGTCCTACTGGGAACTTAAATAAAAGAGTGGACTGTATTTCGATAGGGCTGTTTTAATAGCCGTTTACAATTTGGAAATAACTAAACTATACAACGTGGTAGTACAAAAATGAGACAGTAGTTGTTGTGCACAGATGTTTGCCTTATGATGAGAGCGTGAATTATTGAACTCTGCCCTTGTTTTGTTCTTAATTCTTCTACATCTCGGACTTGTCCAGCCAATACCAACAACTTTCCTTTAAATACGGTTTGTGGTTGGAATTTGATATTGTAACTCTCACAAACCCGGTCTTCAAAACGATACTCATTTCGATCTGAAAACGATATTTAATTTATTACTAGCGATACAGAAACATTTAAATATATTTACTGTAATATAATGAAACCGATAAAGTAGCTTTTTCTTTTTGTTTTACTGTAAAACTACAACTATAAATGAAGTAAACAAACCCTGACACAATCAAAATCAAACACACTTTTTGGACTTACCTCATTTGATTTGAATGACCAAAATGATTTCAAAATCTTTATTCCACCCAAATCGTGGTATCACAACAATCTATTAGTCGAAAATATTTGTAATTTTTTCATTTCGATATTTTTTCACAATTAAACGACCTAAGTGTCAATGTGACAGAGCCCACAAAGTTATGGACGCTAGTTGGCGCTGTAATCGTGCACAGAGCCAATAGCAAGAATCGCCGCCTCAAAAGGAGGACAAGTCAAAGAAAGCGGCAAAGAAACCGCCGCGCGAGCCGGAGTCCGGCCTGTATCTCTACATCGACCTGCACGGACACGCCTCCAAGAAAGGTAACCTACAAACATGGGCATGTATTTTTTTTTGTGGTTTATTAGCATGACATAGTAAGCGACCTCAAAAGAAGAATAAGTCGAAGCCAGCAGCCAAGAAGAAGCCACGAGCCGGAATCTGGCATGTATCTCTACATCGACCTGCACGGACACGCCTCCAAGAAAGGTAACCTATAGACGTGGCCGTAACTAGGGGAGCCAGCTTCCATGCTTTTTATTTTAGTGTTTTACTAAAGCCTGGTCCGTGAGCACGTAGAATCCCGTCCAATGACCCCAAGCTGCCCGTCCTTGTCGCTTGCGCGTAATTATATTGCTGTCGCGACTGTGCGACGCGCGCCCGTAGTGAGTGTGCGAGCGCGACAGCAACATAATTGTAGCGACGGGATTCTACGTGCTCACGGATCAGGCTTTAGTATGATATAGCAAGCATCGCCGCCTCAAAAGGCGGACAAGTCGAAGAAAGCGGCAAAGAAACCGCCGCCCGCGCCCGCTGCCGCGCCCGCCGCCGCGCGAGCCCGAGTCCGGCCTGTATCTCTACATCGACCTGCACGGGCACACCTCCAAGAAAGGTAACCTATAGACGTGGCCGTAACTAGGGGAGCCAGCTTCCATGCTTTTTAGTGTTTTACTAAAGCCTGGTCCGCGAGCACGTAGAATCCCGTCCAATGACCCCAAGCTACCCATCCTTATCGCTCGCGCGTAATTATGTAGCTGTCGCGCTCGCACACTCACTGCGGGCCCGCGTCGCACAGTCGCGACAGCAATATAATTACGCGCGAGCGATAAGGATGGGTAGCTTGGGGTCATTGGACGGGATTCTACGTGCTCACGGACCAGGCTTTAGTATGATATAGCAAGCATCGCCGCCTCAAAAGGAGGACAAGTCGAAGAAAGTGGCAAAGAAACCACCACCCGCGCCGCGCCCGCCGCCGCGCGAGCCCGAGTCCGGCCTGTATCTCTACATCGACCTGCACGGGCACGCCTCCAAGAAAGGTAAGCTACAGACGTGGCCGTAACTAAAGGAGCCAGTTTGTATGCTTTTTAGTGGTTTATTAGCACGACAAAACAAGCATATGACATAGCAAGCGTCGCCGCCAAGAAAGCGGCAAGGAAGCCGCCGTGCGCGAGCCGGAATCCGGCCTGTATCTCTACATCGACCTGCACGCCTACACGCCTCCAAGAAAGGTAACCTATAGCCATGAGCGTTTATAGCATTTGCACCCTTTAGGATGGCGCCACTGTAAAGTTAGTCCTATCACTCGCTAGTGGCGTCAATAGACTATTTGACAAACCAAAAATCGTAATTTACAGATAATTTAAAATTAATTAAAGTTTTTAAGACCAGAATGAAGCGTCTTTATAAAAAAGTTGTGATTTTGAATTATTGGGGAATGCTGTCAAATAGTCTATTGGTGAGCGCAATGAGGGCTATCGTTTTAGCGCTCACCGGTTGCACCACTTGCTAGTGGCGAAGACAATGGTCCCAACTGGTAAGCGCAGAAGCGGTAGGATTATCGCATTCGCTTCTTCATAATAGCCCTAGTGTAGAAAAGTCATTTGAATCGCCAGTGGTGCCAACTGTGGAGTATAAAATCGATAGTCCTTATTAATGAAACCCTGATTTTTAAATGCAAAGAGTTTGAATAACAAGTGGTTCTCCAGGCATCTTCATGTACGGCAACCACTTCGAGGACGTGGACAGCTCGGTGGAGTGCATGCTGCTGCCGCGCATCATGTCGCTCAACAACCTGCACTTCCACTTCTCCTCCTGCAACTTCACCGAGCGCAACATGTACCTCAAGTGAGTACACGACCCGATCTTGATGAAGTCTCATCAAGGAATATCCATTGCGTCTACATATTATTATTCTATTTAGGTCTAGGTGTTAGGGTCCTAACGAATATTAGTAGAAATGAAATAGCGGACTGTATAAAAATAGGTGCTGTATTCTCGCCAGCCTAATTTACAATTCAATTATCTTAGACTACGCGGTATTCGTGTGACGACGGTGGTGTCCCAAAGGCGAGTGTGTGACCCGAGCGCAGCCGATGATGACGCTGTCGGCCCGAGGTGACGTTAGTCATTGTACGCCGCCCGCACGTCTCCTCCCGCGCGTTGTTGGGTTCCCAACACTAGGTGTTCTTATTTTTCAGCTAAATATCCGGCTCGAAGGATCATGATCATAATTCATAATAACAAACTCAAGTCCCCATAATACAGGATTACCTAGTTTGGGAACTAAGTTATCCAAATTATTTAATTACACCAGATATTTTTTTGTATTTGTTGTGTACCTTTCGGAAATAAAGTTTTATTTATTTAATTTAGTGTATAGTTGGACGCGATGAGGACTTTTATGGGTGGAAAAGAAACGCAGAAGTTTTATATTTTCTGTATTTATTTATAGACAACAACATGCTAGTTCAAGACGAGGTAGTGTTGCCAACGTTTAAATGTGACATAATAAAATACATACATGACATGACCAACATAAGCAGCTCCCGAATAGCAACATGTCCAGTCATTCATTTTATTAACGTGATGTCCCAAAGAATATCAAGCTTATAACTAATCCCGGATTCACCTCTCAGGGACCGTGTCACGACGGCATGTCCCGCGAAGGATCCGGCCGAGTCGTGGTCCTAAAGGCCACGGGCCTTGTCCGCTCCTACACGCTAGAATGCAACTACAACACGGGGCGGCTGGTCAACCTCCTCACCCCTCGATTAAGCCCATACATTGTGTGTGACGTCTAAAATCTTCGATAGGAGTGTATTACACGCATTCTAGCCCGGCTAATGTACCTAGTCCAATATAATCTTTCATCTCACCCAGGGACCGTCGCGACGGCATGTCCCGCGAAGGCTCCGGCCGAGTGGCCGTCCTAAAGGCCACCGGCCTCGTCCGCTCCTACACGCTAGAATGCAACTACGACACGAGCCGGCTCGTCAACGTACTCCCCCCTAATGGCTGATATAATACAAACGAATGTTTCCGCAGGGATCGCCGCGATGGCATGTCCCGCGAAGGCCCCGGCCGAGTGGCGGTCCTAAAGGCCACCGGCCTCGTCCGCTCCTACACTCTCGAATGCAACTACAACACGGGGCGGCTCGTGAACGTACTCCCCCCCTAATGGCTGATATAATACAAACGAATGTTTCCGCAGGGACCGTTGCGACGGCATGTCCCGCGAAGGCTCCGGCCGAGTGGCCGTCCTAAAGGCCACCGGCCTCGTCCGCTCCTACACGCTAGAATGCAACTACAACACGGGCCGGCTGGTCAACATACTACCTCCTCGTTTAAGCCCATACATTTTGACGTCTAAAAGAGTGTATCACGACGCGCATCTTAGTCTTAGTCTAGTACAATCGAATGTTTCCACAGAGACCGTCGCGAAGGCTCAGGCCGAGTGGCCGTCCTAAAGGCCGCCGGGCTCGTCCACTCCTACACTCTCGAGCCCGGCTGATGTAGTACAATCTTATGTCTCCACAGGGACCGTCGCGATGGCATGTCCCGCGAAGGCTCCGGCCGAGTGGCCGTCCTAAAGGCCACCGGCCTCGTCCGCTCCTACACGCTAGAATGCAACTACAACACGGGCCGGCTGGTCAACGTGCTGCCGCCGACGGTGCGGGACGGGCCGGGCGCGCCCGCCGCCGCGCCAATGCCGCCCAAGTATACGCCGCACATCTTCGAAGAGGTAAACCCGTTCCAGGTTTGTGTGCCGGATGTGTTGTGTAGTAGGTTTCGCTTTAGGTGGCTTAACTTGTTGCTGGAATAGGCTAGTTGCCTAAAAAAATTTGTTTAGTCCGTAATGTTTAATATCAAAAAATATTGGACACATATATTTTTATTTGTCAATCTAACAAATAATTACGGAGTTATGGTGCGTTGAAGTTGCGCACGACGTCACAACGTGCGGCATTTTTAAGCAAGCGTNCGCGCATAAAGTGGCGGGCCGGCCGCCGCCCGCACTTTTCAAATTCAATATCTTGGAAACTAATTGACGTATCGAAATAATTCTTTCACGTGTATTTTTTATTTTTAACAGAGAATACAGAAAGCTAAAAAACAAAATTAGTGAACATTCTTCATTACGCGCGAGCGATAAGGATGGGTAGCCTGGGGTCATGGGACAAAATTCTACGTGCTCGCAGACCAGACTATACCTGTCTATAGACTGGCACGGACACATCTCCAAGAAAGGTAACCTATAGACGTGGCCGTAACAAGGGGAGCCAACTTGTATGCTTTTTAGTGGTTTATTAGCACGACTTAGCAAGGGTCGCCACCTCAAAAGGAGGACAAGTCAAAGAAAGCGGCAAAGAAACCGCCGCGCGAGCCGGAGTCCGGCCTGTATCTCTACATCGACCTGCACGGGCACGCCTCCAAGAAAGGTAACCTATCCCATCTCTGGAAATGAAACGCCCCACCTATATTTTGTAATTTGTCCTTAATAGTTAAAGCTCGAGGGTCGCCTTAAAAAATTGTCCCCCTAGGCCAGACTGCCTCCCCTACGTCAAAAATAAAAATACAAACGTATGTGGCTATGACAGTGGCGACGCTGATTGGTGAGCGCTGAATCGCATTTGCACTCACCAGGATGGCGCCACTATAGAGTTAGTCCTATCACTCTCTAGTGGCGTCAACTGGTAAGCGCAATGAGGGCTATCATTTTAGCGTTCACCAGTTGGCGCCACTGTAGAATAAGGTCATTTTCACTTGCTAATGGAGAAGCCACTGTCTTCTGCTACTGAGTACAGAAACGTTAAGAGGACTCTTGCATTTGCATTCGCCAGAATGGCGTCTGCACTGGATATTGAGTAGGGGCATGTCAATAGCCAGTGGTGCCACCTATTATAGATCGTTTCATCCACGAAGACGCGCCCCACTAATTTTTGGTCGAGGGAAGCGCGGGGTGCGGGGAGTTTGATCCGAGAAATCCGAGATTCATTATTGTAGTGTGCGTGTGCACTCATGGATAATTTAGCGTGTACCGATAACACTCAAACATTAGCGGAAGAATGGTCGGGCGCGTCTTCGTGGATGAAACGATCTATGTAGAGTAGGGGCATGTCAATCGCCAGTGCTGCCACGTGTTAAATATAAAATCAATAGCCCTTATTAATGAAACCCTCATTTTAAAATGCAAAGAGTTTGAATAACAAGTGATTCTCCAGGCATCTTCATGTACGGCAACCACTTCGAGGACGTGGACAGCTCGGTGGAGTGTATGCTGCTGCCGCGCATCATGTCGCTCAACAACCTGCACTTCCACTTCTCCTCCTGCAACTTCACCGAGCGCAACATGTACCTCAAGTGAGTACACGACCCGGCCTGTACCTCTAGCATGAACAACTTTCGTCTTCGAATCGTTTGCGTATTCGACAAAATTCTATACTCAACCTTCGATTTAAGCTAAGCGTCCACATGTCCGTATCGTACGCATCGGACGTATCGCACGCAACGGATCGTAGTATCCCAACTAATATTATAAATGCGAAAGTAACTCTGTCTGTCTGTCTGTCTGTCTGTCTGTTACGCTTTCCCGCTTAAACCTCGCAACCGATTTTGATGAAATTTGGCATATAGATAGTTTGAGTCCCGGGAAAGAACATAGGATAGTTTTTACCCAGGTTTTTGAAACAGGGACGCGCGCGATAAAGTTTTTCTGTGACAGACAAAATTCCACGCGGGCAAAGCCGCGGGCGGAAAGCTAGTTATTTATATAGAAACTCATATAAGTGCGTCCACCTGTCCGCATCGTACGCATCGCACATCCGATACGATGTGTTTTGTACGATGCGTCCGTTGCGCACGATACGAACTCGAAAGTTTTTCGTGCTAGCCGTACTGTTCATCTCCGCGAGTTTTCATCGAAAACAAAACACGCGCGACTACCCGTCCTGCGGTACCTAATCGACAGGACAATCACGGGCCAGTATTGACGCACGCACGTGTATTCTTCACCCATTTGCATTATAAGGAAAATAAACTATATGTAAAAACGGTGGTGTAATTAATACTGTGCAGTATTTTTTAAATGCCTGAATAATAATAGAAACAAAATATAATTCATGCTTATTCATGTATTTCCTCCGCCATTTTCCGCAGTTTGGCACCTCACGTCACACACCATTTTACCGAAGTCAGCCCTATAGCTTCGGCGCAGTACCGATCACTGACGTTTGTCAACAGAGTAGTAGTGACTCTTGAGACAAGCTAAATTACACCATATTGTTAACGACATTAAGCATATTTTTTTTAAATACCTTCGCGAAGAAAATCTGATCAACATCCTGCCCCCTCGATTAAGCCCATACTTTGTGACGTCTAAAATCATCGACAAGAGACATCTATATCTCTTTTGTCGGCCGTTTGGTGTAGTGGTTCGAATCGGACTACTATTCCGGAGGTTGCGGGTTCGATTCCCGCACAGTACAAACATTTGTGTGCATGAACATGTTTGTTTGTATTGGACTGGGTGTTTTCTATGTATAATATGTATTTATTTACAAAAAAAAAAGTATATAAGTATGTTTATATCCGTTGTCTAGTACCCATAGTACAAGCTTTGCTTAGTTTGGGACTAGAAGCGCAGTGTAAAATGTCCAAGGATATTTATTTTATTTTATTTTTTTATCTAGCTGGTCTAGTACAATCTGATGTTTCATCTCACCCAGGGACCGTCGCGACGGCATGTCCCGCGAAGGCTCCGGCCGAGTGGCCGTCCTAAAGGCCACCGGCCTCGTCCGCTCCTACACGCTAGAATGCAACTACAACACGGGCCGGCTCGTCAACGTGCTGCCCCCTCGATTATGCCCAAACATTTTGATGTCTAAAAGAGTGTTGCACGACGCGCATCTTATCTTAGCTTAGTACAATCGAATGTTTCCGCAGGGATCGCCGCGATGGCATGTCCCGCGAAGGCTCCGGCCGAGTGGCCGTCCTAAAGGCCACCGGTCTCGTCCGCTCCTACACGCTAGAATGCAACTACAACACGGGCCGGCTGATCAACATCCTTCCCCCTCGATTATGCCCATACATTGTGTGTGACGTCTAAAATCTTCGATAGGAGTGTATTACGCGCATTCTAGCCCGGCTGATGTAGTCCAATATAATCTTTCATCTCACCCAGGGACCGTCGCGACGGCATGTCCCGCGAAGGCTCCGGCCGAGTGGCCGTCCTAAAGGCCACCGGCCTCGTCCGCTCCTACACTCTCGAGTGCAACTACAACACGGGGCGGCTGGTGAACGTGCTGCCACCTAATGGCTGATATAATACAAACGAATGTTTCCACAGGGACCGTCGCGATGGCATGTCCCGCGAAGGCTCCGGCCGAGTGGCGGTCCTAAAGGCCACCGGGCTCGTCCGCTCCTACACGCTAGAATGCAACTACAACACGGGCCGGCTGGTCAACGTGCTGCCGCCGACGGTGCGGGACGGGCCGGGCGCGCCGGCCGCCGCGCCAATGCCGCCCAAGTATACGCCGCACATCTTCGAAGAGGTAAACCCGTTCCAGGTTTGTGTGCCGGATGTGTTGTGTAGTAGGTTTCGCTTTAGGTGGCTTAACTTGTTGCTGAAATTGATGTTTTAGCTGGACACATAATATCAAAAATAGTCTCATATCAGATATTTAATTGACTTTGGTAACAACCCTGATGTAACGGGACTATTCCTACCTCTCGTTCCCACCACTGCAACTCCTGTGTAGCCAGGATCTACAGCTTGACCGCCACAAAAACCCAACCAATGAAGGTCAAGTTTGACCTTCATCAACCCTGATGTAAGTAAACCCATTTTCGCAAAATATATGATTTGATTTGGAATAAGATTCTTGAAGTACTGTCTTCTGTCTTGAAGACCTCCCACTCTTGCGACTACGCGTGGAAAACATAGGCTAGTCTCCCATTCGGTGGATTGACGACATAGAAGACTATGAATAGTCCACTGTTGTGTTAACTTGTGTTGTACAAACAGTAGACTCGTGCCTAGAAAAAAAGCGCGAGATATTGCGTATGAGATCATTGAGCGTGAGACTTTCAATTTAACATGATTTTACTTGCCAAAGTTAAAACACCTAAAGTGAAACACTCTTAGATTTTGAGTATTGTTGGTAGTTATTCAGTTCGCAACCCGTAAACTGTAGATTTTGTTGTGTAGTCATTAGTGAGATGAAAAAATCACCTGATCTGGAGTTGACCATGTTATAATATCAGGATAGAATATTATTATATTAACTACTTATTTCTAAAATTACTTACAAGAAAGTCAAAATATTGACTGAACTGCTTCACTGAAATACTTGTATCCGAATTTACATCAAATCTGGCACATGAATACATACATAATCTAACTTTAATTAATTAAGCTTTCGCTAAACTTCAACACATTTAGCAATCCCGAACGGCTTTCAGGTAAGACACGGTCGGGCAAAGAATCTGGAGTATTTCCGCGAGATATCGCCCGTCGAGGTTTGTCTGAGCCAATAATTCAACAATCAATAATGTACATACATCCAGTAGCGTAGATTTTAATCACCCTTTTTAAACGCTTCCTAAGTTAATTGGGAATTATTTTGATAATATAATTAGATCCAAAAATACTTCAAGTGAGGTTTGAACAATTGGCAACTAAATCTCCAGATTTTTTGCATTGCTTTAATAGATGTGGTTATTTTTAAGATGCGTTTCGGAATTGTTTGGACAATATTTGCAAACTCTTAAACTCTCTCTACTCATTTAAACTCATTTATTTCTGTAAATAGGCTTAAAAAAAAGCACTTTTACACGTCCCAGTATTAACCCTACCACTGCTTCAGGACAATAAATGGGCCAGTGCTGAGAAGAAGCAGCGCAAGAAACTCAGTCACTATTGTCAGCCTCTTTTTCAAAGGTTTACATGCTTTAAAAACAAACAACATTAAACTGGCACTTTTGTAGAAATAATTTTTGCCCCTAGCAACAAGTGTTTTATTTGCTTTGTAACACAGGTATTAGCTTGTGAATTTTAAAAATATTTTTGCACTCATATCGGGCTTAATATACCTATAAAGTCTATATCAAAAAATATTATGAGTGCGCAGCTTGGTGCTAACACGTGGGACGTGTTTTCATTCACATGTGCGGTGGAAGTCCCGCAGCGGACTTCGTGCAAGTTTTAGCGTAGGCCGTAGAGAAAAGAATGCACACCGAAAGATGCTTTCGATTACTAAACTAAACCTACGTTCAGGAACATTTTCAACAATGAGCCATCACTAATTGGCTGCAAAGCATTGATTAGAAATAGAGCCAAGGGGCTTTCCATAAATTACGTCACACGAATTTCTTGATTTTGACCCCTTCTCTGTCCTTGTCACAGTGTCACATTTGTGAGGTCCCCTTCCCTAGTGACGTCACATATTTTAAAATTTTACATCTAGAAATAAATATTGAATTAAAAACTCACTCCTCAAAGTTCTTATAGGTTTTGAAATTTAGGACCTCTCCCACTCCCTTGTCACACAATGTCACACTTCGTCGAGGACCTTAACGTGTGACATAATTTATGGATGGCTCCCAAGTAGTTACGCCTTACTTTAGCATTATTGTCCCTACAAACACATGGTACAGCGTTGTATGACACCAGGTGGGCCGCTTGCTTAGCGCATCAATCTTGGACCTGAGATTTTAAGCCCACTGTAGTTCGCCTTAGCGTTCATTTTATTTGTAAACAAGTATAATAATACAGCGATATATGACTAGGTGAGCCGCTCGCTCGGCCCATCAATCCTGAACCAACAGTAGCTCGCCTTAGTGCCTTTTCACACGTTCCGGTTGCCGGCTATCCGGCGCCGGGTACCCGGTGGTGAAGTGTATGGGCATGGTACGTAGCTTTCACATGTTCCGGCGTAATTAATCCGGCATGCCCATACATTTGACGCCGGGTAGCCGGCGCCGGTTAGCTGGCAACCGGGACGTGTGAAAAGGGCCTTAGCGTTCATATTCCCTTGCAACGTATAGTACAGCGTTGTATGACACCAGGTGGGCAATTCGTTGGGCGCGTCGATCCTGAACCAACAGTAGTTACTTTAGCGTTCATTTTCCCTCGCAAACACAGTACAGCGATGTGAATAGCGACGTAATGCACAGTATGACTGCAGGTGGGCCGCTCTAATCATGGGCTGGGCGCAACAATCCTGAACCAACAGTAGTAGTTACTCTTTACTTTAGCGTTCATTGTCCCTACAAACACATGGTACAGTGTTCTATGACTCCATGTGGGCCGCTCGCTCGGCGCATCAATCTTGGACCTGAGATTTAAGTTCGTTCGTTTCAGCCAAATGACGTCCACTGCTGGACAAAGGCCTCCCCCAAGGTTTTCCACAATGAACGGTCCTGCGCTGCCCGCATCCAGGCTCTTCCCGCGACCTTTACCAGATCGTCGGTCCACCTAGTAGGAGGTCCACCTCTCCACTCCTAGGAGTAGTCCACCTGCCCACGCTACGTCTTCCAGCCCGTGGTCGCCACTCGAGAACTTTCCTGCCCCAACGGCCATCGTCTCTACGAGCTATGTGCCCCGCCCACTGCCACTTGATTTTAGCAATTCTGCGAGCTATGTCGGTTATTTTGGTTCTCCTGCGGATCTCCTCATTTCTGATTCGATCACGCAGGGAAACTCCGAGCATAGCCCTCTCCATCGCTCTTTGGGTGACCTTGAGCCTTCTTATGATTTAATTCTAAGAGATTTAAGTAAAATAAACCAACTGTAGTTCGCCTTAGCGTTCATATTCCCCTGCAACCTATAGTACATCGATCTATGACACCAGGTGGGCCGGTCGCTGGGCGCGTCGATCCTGGACCTGACGGGCGCGCACCCAAACTCACGCATCCCGTGCTCCGAGCACCGCAACCTCAGCGCCGTGCGCGAGTGGCTGCGCGCACACACGCGCACCATGCGACCGCAGGTAACACGCATACAACGTGACAAGACGCTCGCTACATCATAAGCGAGGCTTATGCCCGTTTTCACCATTAATTTCTATTTTTAAATGACCCCTATGAAAACAAAATTTCTGTTATGTGTTACCATAGGGGTCACTTAAAACATAGGGATTTATTTATTTAAGGATAGTAGGTACACAGCACAATATCAATCTGTAATAACAGTGTTTTTTGTAATTTATGGTGAAAACGAGAATTAGACTAGCAATAAAACTTATAGAAGTTGACTTCCGCAAGCTGTTTACCAATAGCTATGACAAGCCAACTTCTGCAATATTTACACAGAGGTGACAGCTTGTAGAAGTCAACTTCTGCAAATTTTATTGCTAGTATCAACCTTCGTTTAAACCGAGGTTTAGACTAACAATAAACCTTTTCTAAACTAAACCTCGCTCAATGGTACTAGATTGTTGCCAAATTATGACTGATTTAAATAAATCTATCACGAGTACAACACCTGAAGTAACCAATAAGTTCACAACACGTCTTCTTTGTTACAATTGAAATACTTAAGATTGTGTTGTTAACTTCTTGGCTATTTTGGGTATCACCGAACTATTTGACGCTGACTGTCGTCCCCCACATCTTGATCATTTTTATTTTCAATCAGTCTTGAAGATAAGACATTGGCGTTCGCACATACGTCTCGACACACTTTATACAATTATCTAATTCAATATATCATTGTCTGTTCCAATGGGTATGTGTATTACCATAAATATCATTCATTTACACTCGACATCGACAAACTGTACTGTAAGAAACTGTGGCAACAATGCAGTTATCTTGAAATCTAAACAAATTAATTGATTTTGGCTTAGCTTACTTCTCCTATTACATGCAATTTATGTTATTATCTGTTGCCTCCTCTACACTTTTGCTTCTTTAAAAATCAGAGATATATCTGTTCTTTCAATTTTAACACATTTCTTTAATTTTCAGTGATTTCCACTAATATACAAACACCAGTACTTTTAGTACGTAATATTCGGGGTAAGGAACCGTGAGTGAATCGTTTTGTCGCGACTATGCAATAACATCATACATCTAGTTGGTACTAATACGGCCGTGATGTTACTCCATTAGCCAAACACAAACATAATTGTCATTGTTTTAGCACTGAAGATAACATAACAGCCAAAATGTATATTATACAGAAAGTGTAGAAATAATAGTCTTGCTGTTATTTTACCTTCAATATGGTCAGGTTTCTGACTGAATGGAGGTTTTTGGCTTGAGCGTGCTCATCTTCCAATCTAATTAAGGGTGAATTTTTCATATTATTAAACATCCTCGAGTAGAATATGAGCACACTCAAACTGGAAATCTCAATTTAGAAACTGGACCTAAGTCGTTAAGGTCGCCTTACGATCCCACCCACAAAAATCTCGTTTCGTTCCAGTTGACCATGTCCCGATTACGGCCTAAGACGTCATCTCCCACGCGAGTGCCGCTCTACGCCCGCTCCAAAGCCAAGGTGACGGACGAACGGAAAGAAAACACCTACGTCGGAGCGAAAACCGACTCGGAGAGGAAGCGCAGCCCGCCCGTGCTGGCTCAGCGATCCGGTCACGACATCATCAACGTAAACATGAAGTTCGCCAAGAAGAACGAACCCGTGAAAACGCCCTCGCGAACACGTTACTTGTCTGAGAACGAGCCCAAGCCGAAGACGCTGTCCACCAAACGGCGCAATATTTTAGCCATTCGCAAGCCGAACTCGAGTAAGACTCAAGTGGGCGGGGTCGTAAAAGCGAAGGTGAGCCGTCGCTCCGCCGACGACGCGTCGAGCCCGCGCGCGTCTCTAGTGTCAGCCAAGCTGAGCAAGCGCAGTTTCTCGCGCTCGGTCCGCAACCGCTGCCGCGCCATGGCCTCTTCCTCCTCCGACGACATGCTAGGAGCTTGGGAGGACGTAGCTGGTGGTACTGCTTTGGCTGCTCATCCCGAAGCTCTGCCATTAGGTGCCAAGCGCCGGCCGTTATCAAACCCGCCGCCGCCGCATCTTAAAAAGATCCGCCTCAAGACCGGCTTGTAGCGCCGCCCGCGCGCCCGCCCCGCCCCCGCCGCGCCCGCCGCCGCTCCGTCTACGTCACGCTCGTGAGCACGTCACGGCTGGAGCGGGAAGCGCGACCGTCTGATGATTTCTACGCTGACCGCAATTTAACGAATTTCGGGACGTGCGTGTAAGCATTTTTCAATATATTTGTAGAATGCTGACACACACTTCATTTAAAATTCACGGTCAAGTGGTTTAGGAAATGTGGAAGCCTACAAATCGTTGAGATGATCTCGCTTTCGTTGAACCATCTTCGGGCTATTCGGCGGGCATCGGTGCTGAACTTTCTTGCTCCCTAATCAAACTTCAGAATAGTTTTGGAATTATTTGATTGGGACTGGGGCGAGGAAAGCCAACGCGGCCGCGGGCTTAACTCCTGTATCGGATTGTATAATCGGTGCACGAATCGACTCGAAAACGGGTTAATTGATAAAAAAAACACGTAAAATGTTAACGGATTAAATGAAGTGTGCGTTTTATACAATCTGAATCGAACCTCGTCTACTATCGCGTCGGGTGCCGGGACACTTTATTGAAGAGAATAAATTCCGCAGTGCACGGAAGATATGTCGTCGCCTCTCGTACCTTATACCACTAAAATGTCATAAATTGTTCTTTTAACACAGTTTAAATACAAGTGGAATACATTTTCTGTTTTGTCAACTATTTCGTGGCATACGATACGAGATTGGGACGATGATTTGTTGATCTTGTAAATTATTTGTTGTCTATTTGGAATTCGACGATTATCCGACTGATCTTGAACGAAATTGTTGTGTTCTATAAGCATAATTTATGTGAAATTTTTGTAAACAGTCTTTATAGTTTTTACGTTCCTGATTTTATCATGTAAATTTTAATAGAGAATTAACTTTCTTATACAATTTTATAATTAACGATGCTTTAAAAGACATTTTCAAATATAGGGTTAATTATACATTTGTGGTAAATTTAAAGGTGTATTAAGATAACTGGATGTATTATAGTGTGCTCATGGAGCCGTGTTTTCAAAACTATTGATCTCATTTAAGAAAATTAGCGAAATGCCGGCTGTCGTGCGCAGTCGCCGCGGCCCCGCAAACAGGCTCGAGAAACACGCTCGTGTGATATCATTATTATAGCTGTTAAATAAAATAATATATTATAATGGTTCTTTTAGAATTAATATTTACTCTGTTAAATATTTCCACGAATGTAGGACCTCCTCGAGGGCGGCCCTCACCGAACACCCATTAGAGTGCAATAATTTTATAATATAGAGGTAGAATGTATTTGTAACTTGGTTTTATAAAAATTTTATGTATCACTAAAAATTACGATTCTTAAATGTACTTTAAATTTTGGATGTTGTGTGTAATATAAGATGTGTTTATCGTAGAAAAGCATAGTATGTATATTCTAAAATAGTAACTAAAACTATTTATTTATCTGAAGATATTAATATATGATTAAAATAAAACATGAAACTGGCTTTTTATTTCAACGCTAATATTTCTTCGGCCCTTAAATCGATATAAATAGATAGTAAGTGTAAGCCTCTTTTATTTACATTTGAAATTAATAAAATAATCATCTTTGACAAACCACAATTTTTTAACTCGAGAATAGCTGGACAGATTTTGATGAAGAGGATGATGAGATATGTCTAAAAAACTCGATACGCTCGCTTGTTTTTGGCAATATTAGCCGAGTGACAATATTATCGATACTGTCAGATTTAAAACTATCGATAGCATTCAATAGCATTATAATATTATTTGCCCAACTACTAAGGTATCGATAGTCTATCGATAAGTAACGCAAATAAGGAAAAAGAAAAGATTTGTATCGTATCCTGTGATTTGTGCACTGCACATGCGTTAGTTCTTTTCAAGAACATTACCTACACCTGGAATTGAGTAAAAGATATTGATGAAATAAAACTAGACTTATTTAATATAAATTTTATTACAAATATTGTTGTTTTTTTTTTACTTAAACTGCAAATAATATACCAAAATAACATTGTCTAATTGTAAGTAAGCCGGAGATCCAGCAGACATTGATCGCACGCAACAAAAATCATAATGGAAACGGCTCGTCGTCATTGTGTTGTGAAATTTCATACAATGTACAAAACTCGTACACCATTTCGTTATAATTTATACCATTTGTAGGTATATAATGTTACTGAAAAATAACATTTTATATACACACCTAACTATTGCATTGTGATGAAGTTTGAACCTACAATAGCTTAGGTAGGTGATATAGCTACACGACTGTATTTTCCACACTAATGTTGATTTGAGTATTACAATCATAGGAATCATTATCCAAGATGCTACCTCAAAGATATATTCATATAGCTACGAAGCGTGCGTATGCGTTGCCCGCGGCCTTACTGCTTAGTCCTGTGGGTCTAGACAAAGTGCACAATAAAATCGCAAACCAGTCCAATAAAATGGTTGAAATGCCTTTTGTTTTGTATGGAGTTTTGATGGATTCGATTTTCGATTCGATCAAAAAGTGCAACTTGTTTAGGGGGGCTGGTAGGACTACTGCAAGCTAGTCCTGACAGGAACCGTGATACTAAGCAGTTACATTTGCAGCAGTAAGCACGGGCAACTGAACGTGTAGTAATGTGAATATACCTTAACACTTCGCTTGGAAATACAGACTATTTTGTAACATAGACTGGCCGTTTCAACTTTAAATGTCGATTAAACAATCCGCTAAAAACATACATACATAAATGATTGAAATAATTTACAAAAATAAACAATCGTCGTTTTAGAAATATACAACACAATGAGCACTATATAAAACCGACGAAGTATAGTCAAAGCTATCACTCAATAAAGTTGGAATGAGAATAAGAAAATAAAAATATTGAAGTATGATAATACGAATTCTACAGTAAAAGTTCGGTCGGCTCTGTAAAACGAGCCATATTGCATTTTCAATCAGGAGGCAAGTTATCACTATAATAAAAGATATTTGCTGCTCACACAATTATCGCTTTATTCAAGCTTTGTCTATAAAATACTATTGCGGACCGTGGAACATCGTACAATTAATACCAAAATTATAATGCTTTGCACCATTACCTTATTTAAATAGACACAAATTTATATGGTTTCAGAAACCTAAAGAACATAAACCCAAAATTCTTTAGCCTTACGTAAAATTAAAATTGTTTCGTTTTACAGCCAAACAAGTCACTGAAGTCGTAGCTAGAGCTATCGGTAGCAGAGATTGTAGCGCTTGGGCTCGCTAACTAGTAATGCTTGGCTTCTAACCAGGTATTTCGAGAATGTCTATTAAAACGTTTTGTACTTTATTAACAATATATTACAAGTACAACAGACCATTACCATCAGTCTGCAGGGGTAATTTCTAAGGAGATATAAACTAAACGTATTGCTTCAAATTGATAGTTCCTTTTTATTTACAAACAAAATACAAAGGTGATCTCAATCCATAATCTTTGACTAATACAAACTACTATTATTATAGTTACATCAAACTTTAGTCTCCGCACAATCTTCGTTGATTTATTTAATAAAATGGATGACCTTACAACTGTCTGAAATTGATGATACATACAAGACCCCCCACGATTATTTTGTATTAAACCGGGTCTCAAGTGAAATAAAACGTTCAGGAAGATCTTGATACTTAACATTAGGACAAGGGTCTAGTAATACATTACTAGTAAGCGAGGGAGGCTGCTCAGATGCAAACACACACATCTATTGACGTAGCTGCTCATGTTTTGGTAGGGAACCGGTTACAGAATTAAACAGAGAGAAATAGAAATAAATTGAGCTTGGAACATAATAATTAACTAATTAGAAAGTAATTAAGTTTAGTATTAGGCTCGGTTTCCACCGAGGTGGAGCGGAGCGGAGAAATGTTTTGAATAACCAATTTTCATTCAATCTGAATGACATTCGATTGGTTGTTCAAAACATTTCTCCGCTGTGCCTTGGTGGAACCCTAGCCTTCGTGATCACACGAGGGTTACATGCTGAAGGCATCATGCGAGATTGAAGCGGGAAGTAACAGCAGAGTAAATACAAATGAGTAGGTCATCTTCATAGAAACGCAACGAGCGCGGTTTGTATGTGAGCACGCCAATATACGTATGCGGCGCGCACGCACACACTGACAAAATTCGGCGCAACCACGACTGGCTCCCCGCTAAATTTTGGCAGTGTGCGTGCGCGCCGCATACGTGTTGGCGCGCTCACATACAAACCGCGCCCGTGCGTTTCTATGAAGATGACCTACTCATTAGTGTTTACTCTGGTAAGAGTGGGTGCACCGGCCACAAGCAGCTATGTTGTATGCGGCGCTCAGTCGATGTACTGCGCGAGCCAGCGGAAGCCCTCGCCGTAGCCCTGGCGCTTCAGCACCGAGCACATGAACAGCTCCAGCGGCCGCCCGGGCAGCTCCGACCGGGACACCTTGCCCTGCAATGCGGAAAGAGATCGATTCATTTTTTGTTTAGCTTAAACTGACAGAGATGCCGTATGGCATTACATTCGCCTTATGTACCAATTTATATGGCAAGCTTTTGCCCGCGGTTTCACCCGCGTGAAATTTAGTTTGTCACAGATTGTCATAATTTGTAGCCTATGTGTTAATCTGGGTTATAAACAATAATACTGTAAAGTTTCATCAAATTCCGTTCAGTAAATTTTGCGTGAAAGAGTAACAAACATCCAGACATCCAAACTTTTGCATTTATAATATTAGTAGGATTATATAATAAATAAGTCGAGGTTCTAAAGTGGTAAGTTCTAACGAGACGAGACTCAACAAATATATACACGAGGCGCGACCCTATACGTCGCATCTTATTGGATTGTTATTGCACAAATTACTAAGTCCCATTAGCCCCTCGTACTCTAAAATATGCTTGTCGTGATACAAGCATGTGAGCTCACCACAAAAGTCGAGCGGCGGCAGGGACCGAATCCGCGTTCCCCGGATTACGAGCCACGACCAAGTGGACCCTTTCACCGCTCGGTTATCGTGGCTCTATCCTTGGGGGAGGCTTTTGTCTAGCAGTGGCCGTCATATGGCTGGCTAACGATGACAGTTAATATTTGCTGACCTTCCCAGTGGTCTGCTGGTAGAGGTTGAAGAACTGCCGCAGCTCGTCCTCGCTGGCGGCGCCGGGCTTGTCGATCTTGTTGCCGAGGATCAGCACGGGGCAGTTGCTGAGCGTCTCGTCTGTCAGCAGCGAGTCCAGCTCGGCCTTCGGAGAAAAGGTAGTTTTATCACAAAAATGCTAATATCATCAGACCCTGTTCTCAGTGAGAGAAAATTTTAAAAAGTTGGTGGTAGAGCTTATTGCACCTAGATAGATAGTCATCATAATAAAAATAGAAACAGGTGCCAGACCCAGAGGTCCCAGATTCTATTTTGAGTGACGGCAACATTTTTTATTGGTGGTAGTTGTAAATTCAGGCGAATTTAGCTAGCTAGCTATCAATGTAAGGAGCATTGTTGTTTCGCTAGTTGGGAGGTAGGATAGCGAGAATTCCACCTTAATACACCTGATTATCACTTTCCATCAGGTGAGATAGGCTAAGCAAGTGCTTCTCTGTTGTGGGAAAAAAAGGTAAATAATGTCAACCAGTAGCACAAGAACGTAAAAGCGTGGCGATAATTCAACATTCAACAAAGACTAATAGTTTTGTTTTCGAATTGAAACGCTTTACTACTGGTTCCTGGTTTGGCACTGGTGCACCTAAGCTACAATATAAAAACGTACCTTAGACTCGTGCAGGCGTGGACGGTCGCAGGCGTCGACCAGGAACACGATGGCGTCGACGGCGGGAAAGTAGTCGCGCCACACGCGGCGCGCCTGTTGATGCCCGCCCAGGTCGAACGTCGTGAACCGCATACTGCCTATAGACAGCTCCTCCGATGCTGTGGACAATGCAAAGTACTATTGTTTACTTTGTTACAGTCAAAACAAACCAAAAATGTTTATTTGTGAACAGGTAGCAATATGTAGGTGTTAGAAATTAGGCAGTCGGTATCACTATGTTTGGCCCAAGGTTGGTGTACAAAACTGGTATTATTGAGAAAAAATAATCAATACATAATGTAAATGGACATATTCGGTAAGGAGATGTTCACTGCTGGACAAACACCTCCCCTAAGGATTTCCACAATTAACTGTCCTGTTTTGCCTGCATGCAGGTTATTGTTACTTATTGTAGGTAAACTTAGCTGGTAGAAACCATGTAAAAGGACAAGAACATGTGAAGCAATTTGACTGCAGTGATGAATCCACAAATAGAGTGAGTTTTTTGCCTTTAATGCCCATAATATTCCAACGTGGGTAACATCAATTTTACAAAATAGTTAAATGTTGTATGTTAATTTCATCAATAAATAAAACTCACTGTATCAGTGATATAAAGTGTTGTCAGATGTAGATAAAATCACCATCTATTACAGTAATATAAGCGTTAAATTATGTATATGCATGTGTGTTATCACATATAAGTGGGCAATATTATGACTGGTTATATTTAGTTTAACAGTATACAATATTTTTTTAAACAAAAATAAAATATAAATATACAGAGCTGAGGAAAGTATAAAAATACATGCCATAATAATAAAAACAGTGTGATTGCTTTCAGAGTGCTAAAGTGGTTATCATCAGTTTTATTTATGACTACTGAAATAAACATAGTGATAAAAGTTATGCTTCAAAATCATGTCAAGGTGGTACTGACATGTTTAACCCGAACAGATCTCAGAATAACTTTAGGGGGGTCAAATGTCAAAAATAGAAGATCCAACATAGTTTTTTCATCACCTAATAGTAAGAAAAACATTGTAAATTCTTTTTGAGAATTCAGACCAAAACTTTTATTTTACTCTCAAATTCCCTGCTCAAAGACAGACCATCTATCATCAATAGGCCAGGGGAAATTAACAAGGGGCCAGGGAAAATCCACCACCATGCAAACAGGGAAACCCCATATTTTTGGATGTAAATATTGGTATACAAAAGCCACCATATTTGTAGACGTTATATTGGTATACAAAATAATATTGAAATAAGATTTATACTCACTGGGATGCAGTGTTGGCACGTGCTGCGCTAATCTGTCATCCTTCAACATGTGCAGCAGAGTGGTCTTGCCCGCATTGTCTAGGCCCAGGAACAATAGTTTACCTGATTTCTTCCACAAACCTGGTCAAATAGAGATTGTATTGATGAATTTCACAAAGATAACAATAAATGCATTTTGACATTATTCTAATCAGATTATCTTTGAGATAAATCCGAACAACAATTTCCAAGTTGAATTAAATTGTAACGATGACAGACAAATGCTACATAAAACTGGTAATGATAATACACATGGGTAATTGTATAAAATTATACAGCCAAATATGGATTAGTCATGCCTCCAAAGGTCAGATTCAAATTTTGGTTCCTAGTTTGGACATCCTCATCTTCAAATTAAAGTTCATCAATTGGGCACATCACAATAGATGAATACTCACCAAGGAAGCCGAGGACACCAGTGAACCAATCCAAGATAAACATATTGAATCTGAAATTGATGAATGTGTAATAAATAATCAGCTCATCTTCACAAAGAAATAGTTACTAAATAATGACTTGCAAAAGTCTTTGTTATCTACTCCGATTTGTCTGGCAACGAACATCAGACACCCGAGTTATAAGACAATGTAAATATATTACGATCTTGCAAGATTACACCAAAAACGTAGTAAGAATGTGATATCGAGTTGAGTAACATGAATGACAGAACGTCATTCGAGTACATGCAACTTTGATCCACAAATTCTATCTGTTCGCAGTAAAATTACTCACTTATTAAAATTGAACTAGATTAACTAATACTAGGAGAAGTTTATCACAATATTTCGCACTTATTTGCAATATGTTACGCCGCTAAAACCGACGATTTTTCTCAGCAATGTAAATGCGATGGAAATATGAATCTGTTGGCAATGACGTATACTACTTCCGGAAGTTGTCACTCTGAATAAAGCTGCGTCCACAGTACCACGCCTTTCATGTTATTGAGCTCATAGCTCAATGTCTACAATAAAACTACATTCACCCTACTTCATGGAAAGTGACCATAACCATAAATAACTTTGACATGGATGGGACATAACATCTAGCAAAACAAGATACGGTATTTTAAATATTTATAAGATATTTAAACTCAGTTGAATTTTTAAAGTACTTAAGAAATAAACTACGACTTATAATGTACCGGTTCATTTATTTCAATATATTTTGTGTTACGTTCCTCATGAAATTCTCAATAAATGCTTTCGGTTTCTTTGACTTTCTCTGACTTTTTGGATGCTGAAATCATCACTTATGGTATTTAACAAGCTTACTGCAATAAAAACATCTTAGGCTTACTGCTGATAAGGAAAATGGTAACAAAAGGAAGTATATTATTCCTATTGATAAGTCTAGTAAATAACCGTGGCATTATTTTCATGCTCTACAAAAACCGGTTTTCAGAAATTATGGCAACATTGTACAGTTTGGAATATTATTGACAATTCGACTTCCGGTAGTTCTTTCTAGTTTTGACAGCTTTCAAAAGCAAAGGTATTACGGATTTTTGTAAAAAGTGAATGCAAAAGTGTGTTAATTGATGAAATATATTGTGTAAATCGTGTATTATTGTACACATAACCTGCTTGAATGATTTTTAGGCAAACTCTTTGAGGATTCACTTGATTTTTGTAGGTTACAATAGTGCTCAGTAGTGTTGTCGTTTTCAGGCTGAACCATGGCTCCCAGGAAAAACAAAGTTGCAAAAGAGGAGGTCCAAGTGACCCTTGGTCCCCAGCACTTGGTCGGCGAGACAGTGTTTGGAGTCGCCCACATTTTTGCTTCTTTCAATGACACATTCGTGCATGTCACCGACTTGTCTGGTCGGGAGACCATCGCCAGAGTCACCGGTGGCATGAAAGTCAAAGCTGATCGTGATGAAGCTTCACCCTACGCCGCTATGTTGGCCGCTCAGGTACTTGCATCACTTTGTTTACACTTAGAAACTTGCGAATTACAAAGAGTTGTTGTACTTTGAGGTTATGTTTTGATGGTGTTTTTAGGCTGTATTGTCTTTGAAATTCAAACTTAAAACCTACAAATAACATAAATTATTACATACATCACTTTGATGCTTTTCATCTAAACCCTATAATCTATTTATTGTGTGTTTAAATCTGAAACTAAAAAATACCATTACATAGTTGAATATAACCCTTACTTCTGTGATTTTATGTAGATAATGAAGAATAACTTATGTTTTTCATGAACTAACTTGAGGCTTGGCATTAATTACCATGTTTAACTGTTTCCAGGATGTTGCTGAAAAATGCAAAACTCTTGGCATCACAGCCCTCCACATTAAGCTGCGTGCTACTGGAGGCAACAAGACCAAGACCCCCGGGCCCGGAGCCCAGTCGGCCCTGCGAGCGCTGGCCCGTTCCAGCATGAAGATCGGCCGCATTGAAGATGTGACCCCCGTGCCCTCAGACTCCACCCGCAGGAAGGGAGGTAGACGAGGACGCAGGCTGTAAATCTTTAGCTTTAAGCAACTGTGGACTTCAATAAATAAGTTTACGGTTATATTGTCTTTTTATTTTGTCTCATTTTTATATCAATACAGATTTCCTCCCTTAGTTAGGTTTTGTTCCTGAATTTTTAATTAGGTAAGTAGTATTTACCTATTTTATTTTGGAAGATGGATATCTATCTATAGGATAGAAGCACAGGTTCAGTCATCTGGCTCTGCTTTGATTTTGACTACCCTAAATTTTCACCAATATGTAAGCAGGAATTTTAGATTGAAATAAATTAGTATCATTTTCAATATTACAATGTTTTTCATACTCATTTCAACCTACTCAAAAGCCAAACATGGTCTTTCTCTAAGCTAACTAAAGCGCACGCATGTACGACAGGTATCTCATATTTAGGTTCCGTTCTACGAGTAACGGTACAAGGCATATTATAATCCTGATCCCGCGCTGGACGCGGGATGCTATCACTATGACAGTGGCGATTGGCGCCACAAGTAACGACCGAGAACACCACCCGGACTGCTTGCCGAGACGCAGTCTTCACTCCGGAACTTGTTTATTCTCGTTGTCCCCACCAGTGGAGAATTTCCAACTGGAAATGAATCGAGGAAGTGGCGCGGTGCGATGATTCAGATAGCAATAGTCTGACAGCTACGCACAGCACAGCTCACACATCTCTCGTCTGCACACCACTCCGCTTTCGTGGAAATAGCCTGCCAGCTTCTCCGAACCGCTTTCCACTTTGGTGAAAACCGGGCCTTAATGAACCTACTAAAAGATTAATAGCAATAAACTATTAATTGCTACTTAGCTCCTTATTTTCATACAGGATTTATAAAAAAATAAGTACTTATATGAACACTGTGAATGTCCCTTATCCATGGAGCACAGACAGACCTTAATTTACTATGGACTGTTTAATAAAAAAATACCATGCGCTGTAATTTGCAGGTAGAGTTAGCGTACCCTGAGCACGAATATTCTCGTTATGGTATTCGATTCGATGTTTTTGTTACGAGTTTTTCGTTCTCAGGGTGCACACACCACCTACTACTGTGGTGACGAGCCATACACATCCCCGAGATCCCATCTTTTTGACATTCATATTATTAATAAAATAATTGTTCAAATCAATCAAAAAAGTCTGGAGCCATGATTTACTTTCTTAGTTTGTAGTAGTACTGTTCTGAGTTTTGTACAAGTAATTATCATATCTTTAAAAATGAGCCGCTACTAATCTTTCATTATATTCTTAAACAAGCTTGGGAGGAATTAAATAAGATAAAGAAAACACAANTAGATAACCCATTTAAACCCATAATAACATATAGGCTATAAATTATTTATGACGATCTGTGACAATCTAAAATTCACGTGGGGGAGACCGCGGGCAAAAGCTAGTGGTATCTAAAATCATGAAGTATTTCATTAATGGAAATAAATGAAAATGATTATTAATTTAGTCATTACCATAGGTGCAAAGTTATTAGAGGCAAGTTCCGCTATAATCCTACCGTATGGTTATACGAATTTTTAGACAAGTTCCACAAATATTTAGGTGTGACGCAAGTAAAGCAATAGAGTGTTGGGAAATAGGTATTCAATTAAAGATAAAGGAAACACAAATTATACTAATTAAATTTTAATTATAGGAAAATAATGCAATAAAAATACTAATGTATAGAAAATTTCTAAGTAATAATTTTACAAACAACACCATGTCAAAACTCTTTGTGAAAATAATATTGAGTCAGTTTTAGTGCAAAGGTATGGGAATGCTTCAATAAATAAATCAAACAGGAAAGCAACGAACTAAGTAAATGAAACATTGCATTATAAAACTAATGATCGATTACTATAAAATGTGTCTGAAAATGAGAGTTATTTACAATCTGCCAGATATGATATTGCACATCAACACTTAAAATTAAATATAATATTGCATGAATTCATAACATTGGTAGATGGCAACCTGTATTAATATAACAAAATTCCTTGTGCTATCAAATTACACATTTTCATAACACCTAATACATTTCTCTACGTCCAGATCTTACAGGCTTCCTACTTCTTTTTCTTACATTTTTCACTATAAATTCCTTTAACAACATTCGTCCTACACGCAATGATACGACGGTTCATGGTACGACTGGAACCGTCCGCTCCGCCGTATGGCTCCTACACGACACGCATGTAACACGCGACGCTATGTGAGGTAATATCACATTTGGGACTATATACTTTTATCATTATTAAATAAATTATTATACTAACTAATTTATCGCGTACGATTTCATTCTCGGTCTTATACTATTACTTATACTTGAGTTTATAAATATAAATGATTTAATATGGACAGATTATAGGTATCATGTTATCGAAGCGAGTTCCGTGTGCGGTCGGAGCATGAAATCGCACGCGGCTGTCGTACGAGCTAGGGAGTGTATCGTCGTGGACGAGCGAAGGCGCGCTGTGGTGTTCCGTAGACCTAACCTACGATACTATACAGACGTACAAAACGGCTCAGGCACAACGTGGCATCAAGTTATGTTTCAAACGCTAATAGTAAGTGCTACGCGTACTAAATGCAAACTCAGCTATTTGGTAACTTAACCTAACATTTCATCACTGTTGAGATTTTCATAGCGATATACTATTAACATACCGTATCGATACATAAATTCAGGAGAAACGGTAGCTTAGATAAAAATCATTTAGAGAAAAATATATTACATCAATAATATTAATAAAAATCGTCAATGGAAAACAGTAGCGAGAACGAAGGCGTTTCAATACATCAAAACTTTAAATTAAAACTATGTCTATGTAGTATACATGAAAACGTACACATCTAAAACATTAATATTCAGTAACAACAATGATTTATATATTTCAGATATTATTTTCAAATGTGTTCAATTTTTCTTAAATCTATTGATTACTAAAAAAGAAATAGAAAAATTATAGTTAATTGGGTACTATCAGTAAAACTTTTGATATTGTNCATACACGTATCCCGTTTTACCCCCTTTTCCCGAATTTTCTTTGCTATAAACCTCACGGAGCCCGAGACCTTTCCAACGAATGCAAAACCGTGGAAATCTGTTCGTGCGTTCTGGAGTTATAGCGTCAGGGAGGAAAACCAGACTTATTTTTATATAGTAGATTTACCTATTAAAAATCCTTGAGAGAATATGTGCCGATTTTAAACTATGGACCACACAAAGAGAGAATATAAAATAAGGGCTATCTTACTAATATTATAATTGCGAAAGTTTGTGTGAATGCGTATGTTGCGCTACTTTCACGCAAACACTCAACGGATTTTGATGAAACTTTGTTTAATCGATCTGTGACAAGCTAATTTTTTTATATGTGAGAAGCCGTGGGCAAAAGCTAGTTCAAAATAAAAATACCATGTGCTGTGCTTTTGAACTTTGTTGTACATTAGTCTTGGACCGCGATACTTTCAAATATGATCCAAAACTAATTATATCATTTTGATAATATAATAATGTAGAATAAATTATTTTTCCGTTATCCTACTAATATTATAAATGCAATGTTTGGATGTCTAGATGTTTGTTACTCTTTAACGCAAAAACTACTAAACGGATTTTGATGAAATTTACAGTATTATTGTTTACTAGCGGCCGCCCGCGACTTCGTACGCGTGGATCCCGTTTTACCCCCTTCATCTATCTTACGCGGTTTAGATTTTTTCATACAAATGTTTTTTCCCGCTAACTCCCGTTCCCGTGAGAATTTTGCAATATCCTGTTGTAACTAAGCTTTAAATTTACTAAGGTACCTGCATGCCAAATTTCAAGCGTCTATCTTACGTGGCTTAGATTTTTTCATACAAATGTTTTTTCTCGCTAATTCCCGTTCCCGTAGGAATTTTGCAATATCCTGTTATAACTAAGCTTTAAGTTTACTAAGGTACTTGCTTGCCAAATTTCAAGCGTCTAACTTAAGCGGTTTAGATTTATCATACAAAAGGATTTTCCCGCTAATGCCCGTTCCCGTGGGAATTCCTAAGTATCCTATAACCTGCCCAGGAGTATGAAGAATAATTGTACCAAGTTTCGTTAAAATCCGTCGAGTAGTTTTTGTTTCTATAAGGAACATACAGACAGACAGACAGACAAAAAATTTACTGATTGCATTTTTGGCATCAGTATCGATCACTAATCACCCCCTGATAGTTATTTTGAAAATATATTTCATGTACAGAATTGACCTCTCTACAGATTTATTATAAGTACAGGGTGGCCAAAACAGTGAGGTCTAAAAGAAAAATTTAGATTCCTTACATCAAGGTGTACCTAAATCACCCCCATGTATATTATACGATTGTGCTTAGTTTAGGTTAGGTTTAGGAGATAGAGTTAATTTTGTGATTTTTCAAAATTTTATGACCTAGTAGGCTTTAAACATTTTTATCTTTTTTTTGGGTTGACTTTTTTCAGATTTCTTTTTTTTTACAGATTTGTTATGAATTGCAGATGTTTGAAAAAAATAATCACCTTTCTATCTTTGATTCAAGGTACAAAAGTTTTGCTAGAAACATTAAAATTATGCTTTTATCAAAACACTATCAAATTTTCAACTTAAAAGTTTAAGTAAAAATAAGAACTTCCATAGGTCCAAAACCATTTTAAAAACTGCGCCGTTTCCTGAACATTCATAATAATACAAAAAAAGATCTACTTAATAGGCTACTATTTCCTGTAATCGGTCCACTAAAGTGGTAAGTCGGAGATTCCGTTACATGTTTTTGACTTTCTTAGAGTGAATTAATATTGGGAATCATCTAAGTTTACATTACGTAGAACAGATTTAGAGCAGTAACTGGACAGAACATGTTTTTATTCTAAACTAGGAAGCTCTTGCCCTTCATCACACCTGGTGGAAACTGATGATTATGCTGAAGGTGGAAGGGAACTTCAACTACAAAGGAACTATGGCTTCCTACCTCCAAATTCCGGAACACATTGTTATTTTAAGTAAGTTTTGATGANCATCTAAAACATTAATATTCAGTAACAACAATGATTTATATATTTCAGATATTATTTACAAATGTGTTCAATTTTTCTTAAATCTATTGATTACTAAAAAAGAAATAGAAAAATTATAGTTAATTGGGTACTATCAGTAAAACTTTTGATATTGTCTTATTGATAGATAATCACACGTCAGCTCTAAATTATTCGTCCACTTATATTACATGTTGAAAATCACTTTGGTACGTAAAACTAGGTATCATAGCCTTTTCTATTCTACAAACGAATGGCATAAGAAAATACTTGCTCACTAGCTTTGTAGGCCCTTATCCCGCTGGCGTTCGAAACTTGGGAAGTTGTACGACAAACGTCGCGAGGGTGTCGGATCATAATATTTGTGTTCCGAACGCAAGCGAGATGAGGTCTCGGAGTATAGTTCAGTGCTGTGTTTGACCCCAGTAGATGGGATCTCCCGCGAGTCCGGCGCTTAGTTCATCCACTTGCGGCAGTTGGGCGCTCCGCACATGCACATAATCTTGTGTGCGTCGTCTTCAATGTCGAATTTGTAGTCGTATGCCAGCTGCGAGAGGAAAAAATGTTATCATAAATTGAGATTTATAACAAAAGAACATCGTGCGACTCGTGCCGTATAACATAACGAGTGATGTTTGTCAAAGTCATCGTTTATGAAAAGTAGCAAGGCATTATGTGGGTGGCACGTGTCTCGAAGATTTTATCTCCTATTGAATAAGAATATTTACAGCATCAATGTATGAAAGCAGTAAACTAACTCGCGCATGACACTACAAGCTTTACTCATACATGATATCATAATGTACGAGTCACGCCCCTTGATGTCAAATTATCTTTAGACTCCCCAACTACAGATACAGACAGCTATTAAATTAGTCGGCTGAAGAGGAATCGGCCGATACCAAATCGGTGTAGTATGCGTACTTCCATTTATGTTGATATCGATTAACAGCCCAACCAAACTACCAATGACAAAAAGCCTGCGGGGTGTCTTCGCGTTCTCTCAAGATACCCATGAATGAGTAACAAAACGACGGGCTGGAAGACGTAGCGTGGGCAGGCCTCCTACTAGGTGGACCGACGATCTGGTATAGGTCGCGGGAAGAGCCTGGATACGGGCAGCGCAGGACCGTTCATTGTGGAAAACCTTGGGGGAGGCCTTTGTCCAGCAGTGGACGTCATTTAAAGCCTGGTCCGTGAGAATTTTGTCCAATGACCCCAAGCAACCCGTCCTTATCGCTCGCGCGTAATTATGTTGCTGTCGCGCTCGCACACTCACTGCGGGCGCCCGTCGCACAGTCACGACAGCAATGAGGGCTATCGTTTTTATACTTAACAGTTGGCACCCCTGGCGATTGACAGGACCTTACTCTACAGTGGCGCCATCTTGATGAGTGCAAATGCGATAGTCCTCCTACCACTTCAGCGCTCACAAGTTGGCGCCACTGTCTTCGCTACTAACAAGTGACAGGACCGTACTCTACAGTGACGCTAACTGGTGAGCGCTAAAACGATAGCCCTCATTACGCGTGAGCGATAAGTAAATTAAAGAGTCGAGAGCTATCTACTGTAATAATTTTGGTGCTCACGGACCAGGCTTTAGCTGAAACGAACGAATAACAAAAGGAAGTATTAGCTCACCTCCTCCCCCCTGGCGATGCGTCGCTTGGCGAAGATGACGATGCGGAGATGGCGGTCTACCTCCACAGTCTCGGCCACGCAGTTGGGCTGGCACGAGTGGTTGATGTAGCGCGCCAGCCCGCCGCTCAGCGTGGCGTCGATCACGCGCCGCTCGTCCAGCCGGAACATGTAGATGCCTCGGTTCTGGGGAGAATAACAAACGAAACTTAGACCGAGTTGCACCAAAACGTCAAATCTGTCAAACTCCATACAAAAAATACCGGTTGTGGTTATAGTTACGACGGTTAAAGGTGGTGCCTCTAGTCAACCGAAAACTATAGGTACTGTCTGTGATCTGGAAAAACGCTGTTTCTAAAGAAGTATTTGTGTGGAAATATCTACGTTTGACGTCACTAATCATAGGAAGTTTTTAAAGTCAACTAAAAACAATTGGCTTTTCATGTATTATTTAAAAATCGTTTATAAAGTTAGTGCATGGAACTACTTTTGGTTACAAGTACAAAACAATTTCTGGTCTAAACCGATGTGAGAGAGTTGTTTCCCTTTTTCTCAGGAAGTTGCCAACATTTTGAGACGCGTGACATAGATCACGTAACAAAAACAAAAGATCTTATTTTTTTTGGACTAGCACAATTTATAAGCAATAACAACACAACACGAAGAGAATAAAAGAAAATTAATGTCACTGCGCCAATAGGCTCCCCTCCCGCTCAGCATTTATCTTGACATGCTCGAAAGGGCATGTCAAGAAAAAATAAAATGCTGTAATTACAATACATACAAACGCATGCAGACTCAAACTCAAAATATCTCTGGATACACTTTTCCGTATTTGTATTAAATTGTAGTTTAGTCATTCATCAACAGCCCTTTACAGTCCACTGCTGGACTATGAGCCTCCTCCACTATAGTGGAGGGTTTTGCCATAATCTCCACGCTAGGCAGGCGGGTTGGAGATCGCAGTTTAAAAGATTGATGTTTTTCAGAGAGCGCTGCTGCCCATTCTCTGTTTGATGTGTAGTCCCTAAGTCGCCTCTTACGACACCCGCGGGAAGAGTAGGGGTTGGTGACAAATGTATTCTACTCTGCCGTCACCACACGGCTCAGTTTAGTCATTATTAGTATTAAATTAAACGTTGGACTGCTTAACTTGACTTGTAGACGCTTATATCTGTCGCTGTACTGGTTACATAGCACCACTGGGTGCCCACGACACAGGTTATTCCTAGTGTGGGACCCGCAGACAAAGCAATATAATGTTTACCGATTTCATTGTTACCAATTGTATTTGAAGGGAAATAAAATATTTGTATTTGTAATTCTTAATGCTATGGCCTATGACTCACCTTGGCTTCGTATTGCTTCTCCCGGATCTCCGAGAGCTCGGAGCGGATGATTTCGCCGATGTACTCGATGACCATTGTGTGCTTCTCGAGGTCGCGGGCTGCGTACAGTCCGAGCCCTTGGATTTTAGACCTGGAAGAGATTTGGGATTTATAGAAGCCGTTTGAGAGAGGTTCAGGAGTGTTTTATAAAATTATTGTTAGTAATTTGTGCACGAGATGATGAAACGTAATTTTCCAATATAATGTTATCTTCGAATTTTAGAGCAGAGATTTAAAATTTAATAAAATATTCCTAGAGTACTTGAGTGTTAAGAGGGGTTTTTAAAACTGAAAATGTCTTTGGGGAATTCTAATAAGGTTAGTTATATTTACATTGCTATGTATTAACTAGGTATTGATGAAACAGCTTAGGTCTAGGCGTGCACGACCACGGATCCATTTATTACGGGAATGACATCATGGTTGTACTATTGCAATAGCTAGATGTTTATATGTATTGATTCCAAATAAGCTAAAAAGATAGAAATCAGCTCTTTAATGCCGAAATATTATACAAACCAGCGCAACATCTATTTGCCTAAAGTCCGGTCGCCGAGCAGATAGAAATTTGTCCAATGACCCAAAGCTACAATCCTTATCGCTCGCGCGTAATTATATTACTGTCGCGACTGTGCGACCGGCGGCCGCAGTGAGTGTGCGAGCGTGACAGCTCCAAAAATCAATAGTTATAGACACGTGCTCAATAGTACGGCGCTTCTTAAACCCATCCACGCTTACACTACAAACCTCCTAAGACATCAAATGAACCAGGATACTTGGCATAAGCCCGTACCTGTTTCATTACTGCCGACTACGGTCGAGATCAAAATTCTTTTGAAATAATAATAATAATAATAATAATAATGTTACCGNTCAAATGTGTTCAATTTTTCTTAAATCTATTGATTACTAAAAAAGAAATAGAAAAATTATAGTTAATTGGGTACTATCAGTAAAACTTTTGATATTGTCTTATTGATAGATAATCACACGTCAGCTCTAAATTATTCGTCCACTTATATTACATGTTGAAAATCACTTTGGTACGTAAAACTAGGTATCATAGCCTTTTCTATTCTACAAACGAATGGCATAAGAAAATACTTGCTCACTAGCTTTGTAGGCCCATATCCCGCTGGCGTTCGAAACTTGGGAAGTTGTACGAAAAACGTCGCGAGGGTTTCGGATCATAATCTTTGTGTTCCGAACGCAAGCGAGATGAGGTCTCGGAGTATAGTTCAGTGCTGTGTTTGACCCCGGAAGATGGGATCTCCCGCGAGTCTGGCGCTTAGTTCATCCACTTGCGGCAGTTGGGCGCTCCGCACATGCACATAATCTTGTGTGCGTCGTCTTCAATGTCGAATTTGTAGTCGTATGCCAGCTGCGAGAGGAAAAATTGTTATATTCAATTGAGATCGATAAAATAATATAAAAATAACTAGCGATGTATGTCAACGTCAACGTAAAGCAGCAAGGCAATATAGCGGCATGTCAACCGCCCGTATAGATGACCCATGATGAACTGTCCCACCAAACTCAATGACAGGGGGGCGCTACTATCGTTAAACTATATGATTTCCAACATGGCAAAAATCGAAACCAGCGATCCGGTATTGACGGTGGCGCCACGCTGTCAATGTCATGGTTAGGACAGTTCAGTGTTTTGGAACTATATTCACAAACGATGCTTGCTTAAGTAAAGCAGCAAATCGAACGCACAGCATTGAATAGAGCTCTGTGATTGGTTCGTATATCAAACCTGTGCGTCCACGCGCACTGTGAGACCTTATAGTAATATTTGTGATTATGGGCGTAAAAGATTTTGTCTATTATTGAATGAGAATCTTAAAGCGACAATGTATGAAAGCAGTCAACCAACTCGCGCGCCACTGCCAGCTTCAAAAAGGCCACGCCCCTTGACGTCACGTGACCTTTAGCGTTTTCTCAAGAAAATCATACGATTTTTTAAGAATATTAGTCCCGCTAGCCTCTCGTGATAAGCTAAATTACGTTAGAGGTATTGAGTTAGAGAATGGTCAAAAGTGGCACCAAATGGTATTACACTCGGCGCTGGCTAGCCAGCCTTTGCTTGAACTTGGCTTGACACGCTGCCGCGTATCTAGATAGTCACATATCACACAACAGTCTAGCGGCGGCGGGGATCGAACCCCGGATTCTTCGGATCTCGAGTCGGCCAGTCAGAGATCTTCACCGCTGGGTTTATTGTCACCTCAAAAAAAAAACGGCGTGCTCACCTCCTCCCCCCTGGCGATGCGTCGCTTGGCGAAGATGACGATGCGGAGATGGCGGTCTACCTCCACAGTCTCGGCCACGCAGTTGGGCTGGCACGAGTGGTTGATGTAGCGCGCCAGCCCGCCGCTCAGCGTGGCGTCGATCACGCGCCGCTCGTCCAGCCGGAACATGTAGATCCCTCGGTTCTGAGGGGATATAACGTGTGAATGAATAAAACTTAGGCTGAGTTGCACCAAAACGTCAAATCTGTCAAACTCCATACAAAAAATACCGGTTGTGGTTATAGTTACGACGGTTAAAGGTGGTGCCTCTAGTCAACCGAAAACTATAGGTACTGTCGTTTGTGATCTGGAAAAACGCTGTTTCTAAAGAAGTATTTGTGTGGAAATATCTACGTTTGACGTCACTAGGAAGTTTTAGTAAACTGAATGAAAATCTAAAAAACAGTTGGCTTTTCATGTATTATTTAAAAATCGTTTTTAAAGTTAGTTCATGGAACTACTTTTGGTTAAAATTTTCGGGTCTAAATTGATGTGAGAGTTTCCTTTTTTCTCAGGAAGCTGCCAACATTTTGAGAAGCGTGACATAGATCACGTAACAAAAACAAAAGATCTTAATTTTTTTTGGACTACCACAATTTATAAACAATAACAACACAACACAAAGAGAATAAAAGAAAATTAATGGGCCACTGCACCAATAGGCTTCCCGCTCAGCATTTATCTTGACATGCTCGAAAGGGCATTTCAAGAAAAATGCTGTAATTACAATACATACAAACGCATGCAAACTCAAACTCAAAATATCTCTGGATACACTTTTCCGTTTTTGTATTAAATTGTAGTTTAGTCATTATTAGTATTAAATTAAACGTTGGACTGCTTGACTTGTAGACGCTTATATCTGTCGCTGTACTGGTTACATAGCACCACTGGGTGCCCACGACACAGGTTATTCCTAGTGTGGGACCCGCAGACAAAGCAATATAATGTTTACCGATTTCATTGTTACCAATTGTATTTGAAGGTGGTGTATGCGTAAACGGTGTGTTTGCATAAATAAAATATTTGTATTTGTAATTCTTAATGCTATGGCCTATGACTCACCTTGGCTTCGTATTGCTTCTCCCGGATCTCCGAGAGCTCGGAGCGGATGATTTCGCCGATGTACTCGATGACCATTGTGTGCTTCTCGAGGTCGCGGGCAGCGTACAGTCCGAGCCCTTGGATTTTAGACCTGGAAGAGATTTGGGATTCATAGACGCCGTTTGTGAGAGGTTGAGGAGTGTTTTATAAAATTATTGTTAGTAATTTATGCACGAGATGATGAAACGTAATTTTCCAATATAATGTTATATTCTAATTTTAGAGCAGCGATTTAAAATTTAATAAAATATTCCTAGAGTACTTGAGTGTTAAGAGGGGTTTTTAAAAATGAAAGCATCTTTGGGGAATTCTAATAATTAAGTTAGTTGTATTTACATTGCTACGTGTAACTATTGAAACAGCTTAGATCTAGGCGTGCATGAGCACGGATCCATTTATTATGCGAACTAAATCATGGTTTTACTGTTGCTATAGTTAGATATTTTTAATGTATTTTACTCGAAATAAGCTAAAATATAGATAGATATCAGCTCTGTAATGCTGAAATATTAACCAAACCTGCGCAACATCTATTTGCTAAAATCCGGTCGCCGAGCAAATAAGAGTTTCGCCCAATGACCCCAAGCTATCCATCCCTATCGCTCGCGCGTAATGAGGGCTATCGTTTTAGCGCTCACTAGTTAGCGCCACACAGTAGAGTAAGGTCCTGTCACTTGTTAGTAGCGAAGACAGTGGCACCAACTTGTGAGCGCTAAAGTGGTAGGAGGACTATCGCACTCATCAAGATGCCGCCACTGTAAAGTAAGGTCCTGTCAATCGCCAGGGGTGCCAACTGTTAAGTATAAGAACTATAGCCCTCATTATATTACTGTCGCGACTGTGCGACGGGCGGCCGCAGTGAGTGTGCGAGCGTGACGATATTCTATGTGCTCGGCGACCGGATTTAAGCTACAGCGCGTGTCCTAAGCCAGCCTACTGCCATACCTGGCCAGATAAACGTTGTTCCGCCACTCGAGCTTCATCTTCTTGTACTGGCTGCTCTTGGTGTGCACGAACTGCTTGGAGTAGGGGCAGGCGGGGTGGTCGGAGGGCGAGGGCGGCGCGGGCGTGGGCGTGGCCGGCACCAGAGAGCGCGTCACGCGGCGCCACGCCCCTTTACAGCGAGGCTCGCTTCGAGCGCAGCCAGATGGATTCACGCAGAGACCGCCTTCGAGTAGCGCTGAACGACCGAACTTGAATCGGTAGTCCGTCAGCGTTTCAATGCCTGCGAACGCGAAACGGTTCGAGCGCGGGTGTTTTGTTTTACGGGAGATTTGTAGTCTTAAATGACATGGGAACAAGACTGTAAAGTATGTAAATAAAGATACTCTGGAATATTGTCTGATCTATCGAATTCATTTAATATAGGTACGCGTGTTAATCTAATGTTAGTAAATGAGTTGATGAAGTCAAATGCAACGAAACAATTTTCAAAGAGAAATATTAAAAGTATGTAAAATACAATTTCAAAAATTTTTTGATTCGTCAAACATTGCTAATTTTGAATGAAGATGGTAATGTAGTTTTAGAATTTATAATTCAACTAACCTGGCAAACTCTCTAGCACCCTGACGACGGCCGGTTCAGTGAGGCCGAACAGGTCTTCTCCCGTGACGTAGTTGGGCCACAGCTTCAGCACTCCGTCTTCGCCGCGGTTTTCTCGTAACGCCGCTACTGCATCCAGAACCTAAATCACCACAAATTGCAATTAATCTCCAGCTTGTCCCTAGATAGGAGGCTCGCATTTTAGCGTGATCTGAATGGGTTGGAGTAAGAAGATAAAATTTACAAATCACGGGCGAATGCGAGTGAGGGAAGCACGAGTTTTTGTGACGTCAGCGAGACTTCAGATGTGCTTCAGACTTGTATGCTTTGTGACGTCTATACCACCGCTACAGGCGCGGCGCATCGCCTAGTAGAGGCGACCTGCCCTGCTGTGCCACATGTGGCCCACTGACCTCGGCCCAGGCGGCGCGCGGCGTGGCGGCGGCGCGCTCGGTGCGCGGCTCGTCCTGCGCGCGCACGTGGAAGCGACCTGCCCTGCTGTGCCACATGTGGCCCACTGACCTCGGCCCAGGCGGCGCGCGGCGTGGCGGCGGCGCGCTCGGTGCGCGGCTCGTCCTGCGCGCGCACGTGGAAGCGACCTGCCCTGCTGTGCCACATGTGGCCCACTGACCTCGGCCCAGGCGGCGCGCGGCGTGGCGGCGGCGCGCTCGGTGCGCGGCTCGTCCTGCGCGCGCACGTGGAAGCGCGGCCGGCCCTCGTCCTCCGAGATCCAGCACAGGTAGCGGCAGCGGCTGTTGGCGCGGCACATCGACCAGTAGAAGCGCACCTGCGGACATAGTCAACCTTTGTAATGCGCTAATGAAAGCTAAGTAAGCGTTCGGACATTTTGAAGTTCACTCTAGCTAGTCATTTTAGGCCGCTTTCTGATTTGTCGGCGCGGTAGTGTCACGGCATCTGCACGATCGGCATACGCGATACCGAAAGCCTACCCAGCGCCTATATTTCAATGGAGCGTTCTTGATTGGCGCGGCACAGACTCAATCAGGAACGCTCCGTTGAAATATAGGCGCTTGGTAAGCCTCATAGAGTATAACTATTTTAGTAAGCTGTCTGTATCGCGTATGCCGAGCGTGCTGAAAAAGAAAAAAAGTAATATCGCTGTTAGCCATAGACGACTTCCGGAGCTTCACCGTACCAAAATTATTACAGTAGATAGCTCTCGACTCTTTAATTTAGTACCTACTTGCTCCGCTCAGGTTTTTGTTAGAGAAAACCACAGAATAATAATAAGTACTACGTACAGAAGTTTTACTTCGCGAAGGTATTTAAAAAAATGTATGCTCAATGTCATTAACAATATGGTGTAAATTAGCCTGTCTCAAGAGTCAAGCACCATTTTGTTGACAAACGTCAGTGATCGGCACTGCGCCGAAGCTATAGGGCTGACTTCGGTTAAATGATGTGACGTGAGGTGCCAAACTGCGAAAACTGGCGGAGGAAATACATGATTTAGCATGAATTATCATGAATAATATTAACTACTTATTTACCTCTCAGTATCTTCAGGCAACTTAAAAAAACTTATTATCATTAAGGCAGTTAAATACTGCACAGTATTTAGTACATCATTTTCAAGAATACGCGTGCGTGAGTCAATGTTCGCTCGTATGTGAGGCTTTGTCGAATAGTATCCTGTAGGTGGGCCATCGTGCGTGTTTTGTTTCGATGTAAACTCGCGGAGATGAACGGGCCTGGCTAAACTAATGTAATAGTGCGTCACGTGTACTCACGACCTTGTACCCTGTGGGTAGATGTAGTTGGGCGTGTGGAAGGCGTGCAGCTGGTGCGGCGCTCGCACACTCACTGCGGTCGCCCGTCGCACAGTCGCGACAGCAATATAATTACGCGCGAGCGATAAGGATGAGTAGCTTGGGGTCATTGGACAAAATCCTACGTGCTCCCGGACCAGACTATAGCTAGTCTAAACTTTATTCGTGCGAGTAAATGTTTTAACGATATATCAAAAAATTATAGTGATCTAGAATTATTTCGAACGAAACCCACTACTATAAATAAATTATTCAATTCAAACTTTTTCGACTCCCACACCAGCGACGCTTAAAAAGTATTGTTGACTGTTAAGTTTTCACTTGTAAATTATATAAATGTCTGCTATGGCATATGGTCTACTTGCATCTTAACTTCCATTTGCGATTACCTATAAATGGCTAAGCAGATACATAATTTAAGGTCCCATTATTTGTATGGTATTGCTGTTGGTTTTCCGAATAAAATAAAATAAAATAAATAAAATAAACTAATGTATAGTGCGTCACGTGTACTCACGATCTTGTATCCCACAGGGTAGATGTAGTTGGGCGTGTGGAAGGCGTGCAGCTGGTGCGGCAGCAGGTGGCCGGGGCTGAGGAAGATGAGCCCGCCCACGCGGATGAGGTGGTTGGTGTCGGAGTGAAGCATCACAGACGCCACCTGCCGCTGCTCGTCGCGGGAGACATACACGCGACGTTGCACGCTTAATGTGGTGAGCTCGTTGTCTTTTTCATTCTGTTGGGGTGATAAGGTACGTTATTTTATTGATCTTTTAAAAATATAAATGGGTCTAGAAATAAGAATGAATTCGACAATTATTAGGCTATTTCCATCTTAGTTTAGGACATAGCTTTTATTCAACCCAATAGAGTATTTGACACCACCAATCAAGTGACATACTTTTTAAAACTGTCAAAACGAGACTCCACCATAGATTTTGTATGGCAATACAAGTCTGTGACGTCACTATTTTGTCCACTCAATCAAAATACTTTTTTCAATTACAATGCAACCAAGTCGTGATTGAAGTGTCTGTTTAAAAAAGTTGTAAATTCGAATTATTGGGGAATGGTGTCAAATAAATAGTCTATTACAAGGTATTTGAGCAAAACAAAGAAACATAAAAAAGATAAAAAACCATAAAATAAAAAAAAATACTTACCTTGGGTGCATGGGAAGAGCAGAAGGCAGTCTTGTTCTTGTAAAACACACAGCTGTCCTTGACCGCACACCCCAGATGGTAGACGCTGCCGCATCGCACCTTGAAGCATCTCACGGTCGCGCCCAGTCTCCTACACACGGCACAGGCGGCCGTGGACCCGTTAGCAAGAGCAGTCTCAACGTTCATCAGAGCACCGCTAACGGTCTCGTACACGCCTTCTGACCACAACGCACAGTTCAAGTGCACCCATCTATCTACGTCACAGTTCAGCAACCTCGACACTCCGTCCGCCACGCCGTCACCNTAAATAAAATAAACTAATGTATAGTGCGTCACGTGTACTCACGATCTTGTACCCCACAGGGTAGATGTAGTTGGGCGTGTGGAAGGCGTGCAACTGGTGCGGCAGCAGGTGGCCGGGGCTGAGGAAGATGAGCCCGCCCACGCGGATGAGGTGGTTGGTGTCGGAGTGAAGCATCACAGACGCCACCTGCCGCTGCTCGTCGCGGGAGACATACACGCGGCGTTGCACGCTTAATGTGGTGAGCTCGTTGTCTTTTTCATTCTGTTGGGGTGTACAGGGTACATTTTATTGACCTTCTAGAACATAAATGTGTCTAAAGTACGGTCGCCGAGCACGTAGAACTTCGTCCAATGACCCCGTAATTATATTGCTGTCGCGACTGTGCGACGGGCGCCTGCAGTCAGCGCGACAGCAATATAAATACGCGCGAGCGATAAGGATGGGTAGCTCGGGGTCATTGGACGAAATTCTACGTGGTCGGCGGTCGGACTTTTAAAATAACAATGGATTCGACAATTTGGCTATTTAATTAACTCAAATAAATATTAGTTTACTTGGAGGCTTGTTTGAGATATTATTTATAACATCTTTTCTTTTGAGATTAACTTCGAACTTCTGGTTAATTTCGTTGCGGAGACAGTTACATTTTTCCCCGGGAAAAACTAGACCTTCACTGGTTGAGTTTTTATTGGCGGTCCAAGCTGTATATCCTGGCTACACAGGAGTTGCAGCGGTGGGAACGAGAGGTGGGAATAGTCCCGTTTTTCGAGTTTAATCATAAGGTACTTTAGTGAAACATGAGAAAAGAAAGATAAAAAGCCATAAAATATTTTTTCTTACCTTGGGTGCATGGGAAGAGCAGAAGGCAGTCTTGTTCTTGTAAAACACGCAGCTGTCCTTGACCGCACACCCCAGATGGTAGACGCTGCCGCAGCGCACCTTGAAGCACCTCACGGTCGCGCCCAGTCTCCTGCAAACGGCGCAGGCGGCCGTGGACCCGTTAGCAAGAGCGGTCTCAACGTTCATCAGAGCCCCGCTAACGGTCTCATACACGCCTTCTGACCACAGCGCACAGTTCAAGTGCACCCATCTATCTACGTCACAGTTCAGTAACCTCGACACTCCGTCCGCCACACCGTCACCCTGTATACCGCACAGTTCACACTTCCTAGTATCTTCATTAGTCACCGGCATTATAGCAACGCCTGTCCTGAACACTAGCTCGGTCAACTCCCTATCGGTGGGGCGCTTGTATTTCGCGGGCGGCCCGATACAACCGGGCGACCACGCCTTGTATCGTATCCCTCGGTACTTTTCGGGCTCAGTGCTCTGGTTACTCTTCTCGTCATGTTCCACGCTCTTCAAATCCTCGTCTAACGCGCTGACGTCGTCTCCCACTTCCTTCATCAGTTCGTCGTTGTCTAATGAATCCATGAATGATAAATCCATCTTCTCGTCTTTGATGTCAGGCTTGATATCCAAATCGTCGGTCTCCATGCTCTCGGTGGACGCGGTGTCGAAGTCGTCGCGGTCTTTCGACAGGTTGGTTTCGACGTCAGACTTGCTATCCTCTTTGACGGTGGTCTTCGATTTACCATCGAGGATTATGTTGGTGGGACGCCAGGCGAATCTTTGGTAGCATTGCGTGCTGCAGAAATATAGCTCGGAATCGCTGTCGCACAGGATTTCGCCAGCATTTCCTTTGTTAGCCGACAATAGAGGGAATTCGGATGCCTTTGCTCGGACGACTGAATCTAAAATTACGACATCGCAGTGTCGGCAGAACTTAGCAGCACCATTCAGAATGCTTTGAATGTCGATTGGTGTTCCCTCTTTGCCGTCTTTTCCCTTCGATCTGTACAATCCCAGCTTATGTGATGGGGGCGTGGCAGTTCTTTCTATTATCTGGTATGCGGTAGGCGGAGGTATATGTAATATCCCGGCGAGTTCTTTCAGCACTCCCAGTATATCTTCAGCGGCACCGGAGGTTAAAGTGAGCGTAACAGTGACGTTTTCATTACTTTCTGTACTACCCGGAGAATCTACCATCTTTGGTTTGGCAGGAGATTCCGTTTCGAGGCATTTTAGAGGCTTCTGGACTTCTTCCTCCTCTTTGAGCTGATATAACGAGACGGGTTTGATTCTGATCGGGACCGGCGCGATGAGAGGTATCACAGGAGACACGCGACCCGAAGCAGAATCACTATCCTCGTCTTCTTCGTCGTCTTCGATAAGTTTGAGCCCAGGAAACCGATTTGCAGATTCTATGTCGAGGCATTCGGGACTAGAACAGCTAACAATACTGTCAGGTGTATCTGTGTCTCTTTCTTTGCATATGAAGTCCAGCTTTTTGTCTTCTGGATCGTCGTCAAACATAATGGGCTGGAATTCTTGGTCATAAAAGCCTCTCTGTGTCGACGCAGCCTGTTTTTCAGGCAGCGGCTCCTCATCTCCAAAGGGTTTTGTGTTGTAATAATCGGCAACATTCGGTATTTTGGCGTTACCAAACTCCCCCAGAAGGTCACCTTTCAGAATGTCATAATCTTTATTTTTAAGTTTAGTCAAGTCACCTGAACCAAACAGTGGGCACACTGCGAAGTTGGTCGTCAAAGTGGGCTCTTGTATTTGCATCTGAGGAAGTAAGCGCAGCTGAGTCATCAAGTTATCAATAAAAGTGTCATAATCTTCTTCGTATCTGGAGCCTTTTCGAGGCCTCTTTTTAGCGTTGGCCGCGTTCAAATTGTTTTCCGCAGCCGCTTTCATGTTCAGTTGCATCTGCTTTCGTTTCTTTTGTTGGTACTCTCGACGTTTGCGCTTCTTAGCTTCAGATGGCGTTTCGGGTGCGTTGACCTCCGACGAAGGATCCATGTTAACGGTTTCTGGAAATTCTTCTTTCATCGGTTGATCTAACTTGCCCTGATCTGACGCAGTAGAAATGCCAGAGGTTGCGGATTGCTGCGAGCTCTCATCTAGCAGTTCTTTTTTAACATCTAACGGAGTAAATGGTCTATGCACAGGACTCTGCATTGGAGGAGCGATCTCTTTCTTTATAGCTTGTTGAAGCTGTTGATTTTCGACGCTCATTGGGTACATGGGCAGTGTTTTCATCGTCGGCGAACTCTCTGGAAGCGGCGTAGTCTCCTCCTTCGTCATTATCTTCATAGGCAGTTTTCTAACATCCATCAAAGATTGCGTCGAGGTGTGCATCAATGGTGATATAGATGAAGTGGGTATCGATGTTTGCATGGGTCGAGATGTGAACGGTGAATTTACTGTGGTATGTATATGCCTAGGAGAGTTCTTTGGAATTTCCACTTCTTGTGTTAAAGCTAGCGTAGGTGGAGGTATAGGCGGTCTAGCGAGCTGCGCTTCGAGCGATGGGATCGTGCCTAGCGCGGGCGCCGTTCTCTGTATGGTCATGGTGCGTTGAGGAACGACATTTGCGGCGGTAGTCGTAGTTTGTAAAAGTTGTTTCAGCAATACATTTTGCGACTCGTCATTTCTTTGGTTTGCAGAGTTCTGCTGTAGGATTTTACTCGCGTCAGTGTTTGCGGCAGATGTATTCGGATCGTCAGTCTCCATGGGCTCCGATTTGACGACGACAGCTTCTACGCTGTGCCTTTTCGTAGGCTGAATATGGCCGACGATAACTTCACTTTTAGGTTCGTCTGTCGACTTGGATCGTTTCAGCGGTGATGTTAGCTGCGTGTGTAATAATTTTGATGACGTTATAAAATTGATTGGGCCCGTGCTAGTTTTGGCTTGCATTTGCCCCATTCCCGGGCTCGCGATATGCGTCCTAACTGTAACATTAGGCGGCGGTTCCTTATTACCCATCAATGGCCTCGAAGTCATCACTAGTGCCGGGGGCTGACTAGAGCTAATACTTTGTTGACTAAAAGGCAAATTGTTGGTATTTATTTGTCTGCTCGGCTGAAGCAGCGTGTGGCCCAATATACTCGTCGGCAAAGGCGGCTTTTGATAACCACAGACGCTCGTGGTGATTGTCGTATTGTTACTCGAGTGAATCATAGAGGGCGGAGTGCTACTGTGTATTTTTGATAAAGCAGGCATTTGTATTATTTGCGAAGACACAGTTGACACGGTTATTATATCTTCGGGTTGACTGAAAGCTTGATTTGATATTAGTGGAGACTGCGCAGGGGATTTCATCATCGTATTCTGCATGCTCACGGGGGAATTTATCGGTGAAACAGTCGGCGATTTTCTAAGCTGAGTCATCGAAGATAGAGTATTGACCCGCGAACCGATGACTTGAGCTGCACTCATGGGCATACTCTCCGATGATGGCAGAGACGTCATAGGCTTTTCTATTCTTTGAACTGGTGAGGGCCTAGACGCAGCCACTTCTACTTTGGACGAAGGCAACAAGTTTTCGAAATTCACTTGGGTGGGAGTCGTCGCATCACTGTTTTTACGTATCATAGACATTGTTTGAGATTCTACTTTGGAATTGTTGGTGTTCAGCGATGACATTATTGTACGAAGTTGTTGCGAAACGTTCGCCATATTAGACGTCAGTTCCGCGGGTTGCGACAACGGGGACAGCTGAGGCACTGTCGCCGATTGTATATTTAGTCTTTCAGTTTCTCTCTTGGGGAATGTCATTTGCTCCTGAGTTTCTTTATTGTCACTCTTCGCTGGTATATTCACGGGAGGGTTAGGCGGTTTTTGATTCGTTTGCTTCATTCCATACGTTTTGGTGTCTGTATCCGTGATGTTTTCAAACATACAGAGCATATCTTCAAACTCGACGTGTTTCGAGTTTCCTTCCACGGCCTCCTGATGTTCTTGCATCGTAATATCATTGAGGTATCTCTCTTGCGAGGGCGTCGGTGACGGTATAGATATTTGAACCGACTCCTGCGAAATATCAGAAGCTATTTGCATATTCGAGTCTATGACTTGATTGGCTATCGCTTTGATGGTTTTGACAACGTTTTCCTCAGGTTTAGTCTCCGGCAACGGTGGATTCTGCGCCGCCTGCTGCTGCTCGGTAATGCTTTTGCTGTAGGAGAGCAGCAAATTGCTCTGAATGTTGTCCTCGGGCTTATCTTCATCGTCGCCCTCCATAATGTTATCGGGTATCTTCTCGGGAATCGGGTCCGGACTCTTTATATCCGCCTTCCCCAGAAGCAGAGGCGTTCGGTCAGTAATACACAACGTGTGGGGAAGCTCCGTCTGCTGACTGATCTCCGTCTCGATATCTATGTCCTTGTTCGGCTCCTTGATGATGGGCGCCGGGCGGTGGTCGTGAGACGTGCCCTGAGAGGACATCGAAAGCATGTGGTGCGACGACGACGAAGATATCTGGTTCTGCAGCTCCTTCTCAGTGTTACTCTCCGGGGGGACCGTGCTGTCCGGCGACGCGGCCTCGTCCTGGAATATCTTCGCGGGAAGAGTCGCGTCGTGCGTGACGGACAAGCTCGAGAGTTTGGTGTTGGAGAGCGACAGCGCCATGGGCTTCTCGATGGTCTTGACGATCTTCTGCTTGACCTGGTGCTGCGTGAGGATGGACACGGGCACGCGCGCGCCGGCGGCGGAGGTGACGATGACGGGGTTGACGGGCGAGGGCTTGGGCACGTTAGAGGAGATGACGCTGATGACGGGGCTGGCGAGCGGCTTCTTGAGCGCGGGCTTGGGCGCGCCGGCGTGCAGCGGCACGGCCAGGCTCTTGAGCACCGGCACGGAGATGGTCTGGTTGGCGATGGACACGGAGGCGACGGTGGCCTGCGAGACCTCGTCGAGGATCTTGTTGGACTGCTGCAGCACGGCGGCGCTGAGCACGGGCAGGCGCGCCAGCGAGTACTGCTGCAGCGCGGGCTGCTTGGTGGACAGGCTGATGACGGCGACGGTCTTGGTGGCGGTCTCGGTGCGCGTGGCGGGCGCGTCGTCGTCGGGCTCGTCGTCGGGCTTGCCGCCGTCGATGAGCTCCTCGAAGTCCTCCTCGGTGGCGATGCGCTCCCGCGGCGAGGCGGCGCCGGGCTCCACCAGCACGATGTCGTCGTCGTCCAGCGGCGCCAGCGCGTCGTCGCGGAACTCGCCGTCCTGCGAGTACAGCACGTAGTCCTCCGCGCCCGCCGCCGGGGCCAGCGGCGCCGCCGACAGCCGCGGCCGTGGAGGNACGCGGCCGCGGCGGCGTTCGCCGCTTTAGGATCGACACCTGAGAAGAAACATTTAGTTATAGTATCATAATTTCCTACTATGTCATCCTAGTGGTTAAAACCTTCACAGATAGTATCATCCACTGGTTTTGAACCTAAAAAAAAATATTTTTGAAGCTTATTAATCCTTCAATGCCCGCGAATCTAGACAGAATAGATAATCAATTGTTATGACATTAATTAATACCGTCTGGGACTCAAGCGGCTAAGTAATTACCTGGCTGATGAAGATGTTTACATTAATTTATTGTCGACATACCTTGGCAAGGTGATGCGGGCGGTCCTTAGCGGGCCAGACGGGCGCGCCGCCCATCAACCCAGGCTTAGTGTACCGGTAGCCGGGCGGGAAGGGCGCGGCGTGGTGCGGGCCGCCGCCATGCTCATGATGCGGCGAGCGGGAGAGCTACTGAAAGGACGAGGTCTCGCCCATACATTATCTTTAGTCTACATACCTTGGCCAGATGATGCGGGCGGTCCTTAGCCGGCCAGACGGGCGCGCCGCCCATCAATCCAGGCTTAGTGTACCGGTAGCCGGGCGGGAAGGGCGCGGCGTGGTGCGGGCCGCCGCCGTGGTCGTGGTGCGGCGCGGGCGAGGCATGTAGCGAGCGAGAGAGAGATGGCGAGAATGAGGCCCCGCCCATTTATCGGCGAGCGGGAGAGCTACTGAAAGGACGATGTCTCGCCCATACACTATCTTTAGATATACATACCTTGGCGAGGTGATGCGGGCGATCCTTAGCCGGCCAGACGGGCGCGCCGCCCATCAACCCAGGCTTGGTATACCGGTAGCCGGGCGGGAAGGGCGCGGCGTGGTGCGGGCCGCCGCCGTGGTCGTGGTGCGGCGCGGGCGAGGCGGCGGGCGAGGCGTGCGGCGTGGGCGTGCGGGCCACGTGCGGCGAACGCGAGAGCGACGGGGAAGATGGCGCCCCGCCCATTGGGCTGTATTGCTGGCGTTGGAGCATTTGCTGACGCTAGGGAGAAAAGGTACACTGTCAGCATCATCAAAGTAAAAAAAAATCCTATAAAGCCTGGTCCGTGAGCACGTAGAATTTTGTCCAATGACCCCAATCTACCCATCCTTATCGCTCGCGCGTAATTATATTGCTGTCGCGACTGTGCGACGGGCGCCCGCAGTGAGTGTGCGAGCGCGCGTAATTACGCGCGAGCGATAAGAATGGGTAGCTTGGGGTCATTGGACAAAATTCTACGTGCTCACGGACCAGGCTTTAGACTAATAAATAGTGCTTAAAACCGTCAATCAGGTCATTTGGTCTCCGGATTCACTTTATAAACACGACCCTGTATAATTTAACAGAAATAGGGGATTGAGCCTTCACTTCCCACCCAGACTGGGGATGATTATCACATTACTTTAGTGACGGTATCAAATCTTCCAAAGCTTTTCTTTACCAAAATAATACCAAGGCTATAGGTACTTGCTACGTTAGAACATGAAATGAGAAATGGGACACTCATTTCAGTTAGTATTGACGTGCAACATTTATGACGTCAAACTCGGCAAAATAATACCTAAAACTCAATAAAATTATGTTCTGCCAATAGGAAACTACTTGAAAGTTATATGAGAATGATATCGAATTAAATAGAATAATAAGTAAAAAGTACTTACCGCAATCTCTGAAGCCGGGTTGCCGGGTGAAGGCAATGGCTGCGGACTGCCGAGTGGAGAGGTTTGCTGGCGGCTGCCAAATGGCACGCCGACCCTCATTCCTACAACAAATTGGACACATGAAATATCTTCTCCACAGAAAAAAACTGATTTCGATTACCAAAACATACTTGAGGCTGAGTTGAATAATCTTACTTTAACTTTAACAAACGTCAAAAGTCTGTCAAACTCCATATAAAAACACCGTTTACGATTATAGTCACAGTTAAAATAAGGTGGTGCAACTCGTTCGTTCGTTTCAGCCAAATGACGTCCACTGCTGGACAAAGGCCTTCCCCAAGGTTTTCCACAATGCACGGCCCTGCGCTGCCCGCATCCAGGCTTTTCCTGCGACCTTTACCAGATCGTCGGTCCACCCAGTAGGAGGCCTGCCCACGCTACGTCTTCCAGCCCGTGGTCGCCACTCGAGAACTTTTCTGCCCCAATGGCCATCGTCTCTACGAGCTATGGTGCAACTCAGCATTAGTGTATATTTACATATAAAATGCTATCTAATTTTACCTTGCTGATGATGCGGCGGCCTGGCGAACCGCGTCGGCAGGGGCGAGCATCCAGGTGCCGGCCGAGGGAACCTGCCCGTCGCGTAGTCACTCTGCTATAAAATGTAAAAGATCCCATTAAAATATTAATGAAGAAACCACAAAATAAATACACTCCTCAACTGCAGATTTCAAAAATAGTTTTGGCTGTGGCTAAATCTCAGAAACTATAACACCTACAAAATTGAAATTTGGCAGATAGGTTCCTTATAGGGTGTAGAGTGTACACGTTTGCTAAGAAAGGATTTTACGGGAGTCCACCCCAAAGGGGGTAAAACGGAGACCACACGTAAGAATTTGCGGGCGGCCGCTAGTGGTATAGATAACTTACGTTTTGTAATTGAGGCGAATGCGATGCTACAGGACTTTGGATTTGTGACTGTTGATAAATCTGTAAAGAAATATCAATCATTAATTACGATGCTTTATCTTCAAAAGTAACTGTCATCTACATAGTATTTTTGCATAAAAACAAACCTGTGGACTCCTACTGGGAGTAGGCAACTGCGGACTAGTCCTCTGCGCTTGGAATTGTTGCAGGAAATGTTGTGGCGACATCGACGACTGCATCGGGCTCTGTTGCGTGTGCATCGGGCTCTGCTGCATATGCATCGGAGACTGTTGCGAGTGCATCGGCGACTGTTGCGAATGCATCGGCGATTGTTGCGGGTGCATCGGCGAGTGCTGCGTCGACATCTGGCCCTGCTGATGCATCGGACTTTGTTGCGGATGCATCGGGGTCTGGTGATTGAAATAAGAATGCATAAATCTCTAAGATCTGCTTGTCAATAAATTGACAAATCTTTAGGGTGATATCAATATGCATTTGAATATTGATTTCTAAAATTATTAAGTATTTCAGAAAGACATGTTATTATGAAGAAACTGCATAAGATTGGTAATTCATTTATCATAAAGACTGTAANCCGCGGCCGTGGAGGCGTTCGCCGCTTTAGGATCGACACCTGAGGAAGAAACGTTCAGTTATAGTATCATAGTTTCCTACTATGTCATCCTAGTGGTTAAAACCTTTACAGATAGTAACATCCATGGTTTTGAACCTAAAAAGAAATATTTTTGAAGCTTATTAAGTAATTACCTGGCTGATGAAGATGTTTACATTAATTTACTGTCGACATACCTTGGCAAGGTGATGCGGGCGGTCCTTAGCCGGCCAGACGGGCGCGCCGCCCATTAATCCAGGCTTAGTATACCGGTAGCCGGGCGGGAAGGGCGCGGCGTGGTGCGGGCCGCCGCCGTGGTCGTGGTGCGGCGAGCAGGAGAGCTACTGAAAGGACGAGGTCTCGCCCATTCACTATCTTTAGTCTACATACCTTAGCCAAATGATGCGGGCGGTCCTTAGCCGGCCAGACGGGCGCGCCGCCCATTAATCCAGGCTTGGTGTACCGGTAGCCGGGCGGGAAGGGCACGGCGTGGTGCGGGCCGCCGCCATGCTCATGATGCGGCGAGCAGGAGAGCTACTGAAAGGACGATGTCTCGCCCATTCACTATCTTTAGTCTACATACCTTAGCCAAATGATGCGGGCGGTCCTTAGCCGGCCAGACGGGCGCGCCGCCCATCAACCCAGGCTTGGTGTACCGGTAGCCGGGCGGGAAGGGCGCGGCGTGGTGCGGGCCGCCGCCGTGGTCGTGGTGCGGCGCGGGCGAGGCGGCGGGCGAGGCGTGCGGCGTGGGCGTGCGGGCCACGTGCGGCGAGCGCGAGAGAGACGGAGAAGATGGCGCCCCGCCCATAGGGCTGTATTGCTGGCGTTGGAGCATTTGCTGACGCTAGGGAGAAAAGATACACTGTCAGCATCATCAAAGTAAAAAAAATCCTATAAAGCCTGGTCCGTGAGCACGTAGAATTTTGTCCAATGACCCCAATCTACCCATCCTTATCCTTATCGCTCGCGCGTAATTATATTGCTGTCGCGACTGTGCGACGGGCGCCCGCAGTGAGTGTGCGAGCGCGCGTAATTACGCGCGAGCGATAAGGATGGGTAGCTTGGGGTCATTGGACAAAATTCTACGTGCTCACGGACCAGGCTTTAGACTAATAAAATAGTGCTTAAAACCGTCAATCAGGTCATTTGGTCTCCGGATTCACTTCATAAACACGACTCTGTATAATTTAACAGAAATGGGGGATTTAGCCTTCACTTCCCAAACTGCCCAGACTGGGGATGATTAACACATTACTTTAGTGACGGTATCAAATCTTCAAAAGCTACGTTAGAACATGAAATGAGAAATAGGACACTCATTTCAGTTAGTATTGACGCGCAACATTTATGACGTCAAACTCAGCAAAATAATACCTAAAACTCAATAAAATTATGAAACTACTTGAAAGTGATATGAGAATGATATCGAATTAAATAGAATAATAAGTTAAAAGTATTTACCGCAATCTCGGAAGCCGGGTTGCCGGGTGACGGCAATGGCTGCGGACTGCCGAGTGGAGACGTTTGCTGGCGGCTGCCAAAAGGCACGCCCACCCTCATTCCTACAACAAATTGGACACATGAAATATCTTCTCCAAAGAAAGAATCGTTGGGTCACCAAAATACTGGTTGTTAGTGAACTAAAGTGATATAAAATGCTAGCTAATGTTACCTTGCTGATGATGCGGCGGCCTGGCGAACCGCGTCGGCAGGGGCGAGCATCCAGGTGCCGGCCGAGGGAATCTTCCCGTTGCGTAGTCACTCTGCTATAAAATGTAAAAAGATCCCATTAAAATATTAATGAAGAAAGCACAAAATATATACTCGTCAACTGCAGATTTCAAAACTAGTTTTGGCTGTGGCCACATTAACCACGAGATCTCAGAAACTATAACACCTACAAACTTGAAATTTGGCAGGTAGGTTCCTTATTGTATAAACATTCGCTAAGAATGGATTTTACGAGACTCCATACCTAAAGGGGTAAAACATGGTCCACGCATACGAAGTTGCGGGCGGCCGCTAAGTATAGATAAGTATAGGTAACTTACGTTTTGCAATTGAGGCGAGTGCGACGCTACAGGACTTTGGATTTGTGACTGTTGATAAATCTGCAAAAAAATATCAGTCATTAATTACGATGTTTTATCTTTATAATTAACTGTCATGTACATAGTATTTTTGCATAAAAACAAACCTGTGGACTCCTACTGGGAGTAGGCAACTGCGGACTAGTCCTCTGCGCTTGGAATTGTTGCAGGAAATGTTGTGGCGACATCGACGACTGCATCGGGCTCTGTTGCGTGTGCATCGGGCTCTGCTGCATATGCATCGGAGACTGTTGCGAGTGCATCGGCGACTGTTGCGAATGCATCGGCGATTGTTGCGGGTGCATCGGCGAGTGCTGCGTCGACATCTGGCCCTGCTGATGCATCGGACTTTGTTGCGGATGCATCGGGCTCTGGTGATTGAAATAAGATGCTTAAATCTCTAAGATCTGCTTGTCAATAAATTGACAAATCTTCAGGGTGATATCAATATGCATTTGAATATTGAGACTGTATTTCAGAAAGACATGTTATTATGAAGAAACTGCAAAAGATTGGTAATTCATTTATCATAAGACTGTAAACCCTTGAAAAGGAGGCTGACAATAGTTACTGACTTTCTTGCGCTGCTTCTTCTCAGCACTGGCCCATTTATTGTCCCGAAGCAGTGGTAAGGTTAATATTGGGACGTGTAAAAGTGCTTTTTAAAAACCTACTTGCAAAAATAAATGAGTTTTATGAATTTTTTTAAAGATGAACAATTCTACATTATGTAAGCATGCGGTAAAAAGATGTTCCAACGCTTACCTGGTGCATCGGCGACTGTTGCGGATGCATAGGCGATTGTTGCGGGTGTAGAGGCGACTGCTGAGGATGCATTGGCGACTGCGGCACGTTAGACTGGGAGTGGAGCGGCGACTGTTGCGCGTGCAGCGGCGACTGCTGCGAGTGCAGCGGCGACTGCGCCGAGTGCAGCGGCGACTGCATCGGTGACGTCAGATGGTGCAATGGCGACTGCGGCGCAAGAGGATGATGCGGCGACTGAGAATGCGGCGATTGCACGTGTAGCGGAGACATCGCGGGTCGCGCTCCCGGCGGCCGCGGCGTTTGATTTCCCGCTTGCATCGCATTTCTAACTCCGGTTATCTGCTGCTGACCGAATTGAACTATGCCGCCGACAGACTGCGGTCTCTCTTGCACGCCTAACTGCCTCACTAGCTGCTGCTGAGGAGCCCCGGTCTGCTCTATGACCAATGTCCGCCCGCTTTGTAAAATCCTTCCTTGGGTATTGAGCGGCGACGTGACCAACCCTATCCTCTGCTGCGTCATCGGTTGGCCCTCGGAGTTCAAAACGGTTTGTTGAGTTCTGATCAAAGTCTGCTGCTGTTGCAAAGACCCCTGCAGTCCCAGCTGCATCGGTCTGTTAATCGTCTGCTGCTGCATTTGCTGTCCTTGTCCCATATTTTGGTTTTGTGCGAACACCGTCTGGTTCGACGAAATCTGTTGCTGATTCATCACGTTTTGTTGTGCTAGCTGCGGATTTTGTTGCCTCTGCTTTGTCTCATATTCCTGAAACGTACAACTGTTTTACGGACCGGAACTTTCAAAATTGGTATAGTTCATTGAGTAGATTTTATCAATCAAGCTGGCTCAAATATTACGTTTCATAATGTCATTAACTACACTGTAGGAGATTGGGATAGGAATGGGATGGGATACCTTCGATTGAGCAGACTCCACAGGACGGTCCAAGCTTGGTTCTTCTTTCACTTTCACAAACACTTGAATTTTATTGAGATGAGTTTAGCGCGCGATTTGGGTTTATTTGAATTGGTTTATTTTTGGATACTTATTTAGTAATTAACGCCCAGATAGGTAGGCGAAGCGGCGCGTTGCGATGCGAGAGCGAGACTGAAGGTGGGAGGGAGAGGATAGGAAAAGGACTGTCAGAATGAGTGATAGAATAGTGTGACATGAGTTTGAAATGTATGAGGTTTTAATGCTGGCGCGTACATACACCGTTATTGCTAGACTACGTCAATATATTGTATGAACTTTGTCCCCAGAACTGTAGCACTTTAATACCTACCTTATCCTACTAATATTATAAATGCGAAAGTTTGGATGTCTGGATGTTTGTTACTCTTTCATGCCAAAACTACTGAGCGGATTTTGATGATAGTTTGCAGTATTATTGTTTATAACCCAGAATAACATATAGGCTATAATTAATGACGATCTGTGACAGACGAAATTTCACGCGGGTGAAGCCGCGGGTAAAAGCTAGTAATAATATAAGATAGGTATCAAAGTGCTACAGTTCTGGGGACGTTTCGTCCCATTTTTCTATACCAATTTCCTATGTCATACCTGTATCAGCATGGTGTGCTGCCGCGCCTGCTTTCGCGCGGCGTCCAGGTGCTTCTGCAGCGCCTGCTGCTCCGTGGACACGCGCTGCAGTTCGGCCGCGTCGTTGGGCTGCAGCTCGTTGCCCGACTTGCGCAGCTGCCGCTGCTTACTGTTCAGCGACTGCAAAACCATCAGGGTCTCGGAGACTGGCAAACGGGACTAGCGACAGAAAAGCTCCCGGGAGGCGGAGGGGGGCGCGCTACGCTACAACCGCTACAAGCCCACGAACACGAAAGCGTCTACGGCTCACCTTGCGCATCTTGCGGAGCTTCTGGACCTCGACCTCGTAGTAGGTCTGCTGGTCGGCGGCGTAGGCGGCGAAGCGCTTGAGCCACTGCTCGTAGAGGAGGCGCGCGTGGTGGTCGGCGTCGGAGAGCGGCCGGTCGGGCGGCGGTGGCGGCGCGGCGGGCGGCGGCGCGGCGTACAGCGGCAACGTCGGCGCGGGCGGCGCGGCGGGCGCGGGCGGCGGCGCCGGCGCGCCCCACTCGCCGCCCTCGCGCTCCTGCTCCCGCTTCTCCTGCTCCAGGAGCTCCTCCAGAAGCAACGGTTGCTCCTGGTTTACGTTCTGACGGTTAAATTTAGCCTTTTGACGTCGCGGCCGCAGCGACGTCGTCCGCCGCCTTCGACCGTTGGCCGGCCGACCGATCGAAGCGACGATACGTTGTTTGCTACTTTTTGTTTCTATTCACGTGCCTGTCTCATCGAGGGTCGAGCGATTTTAATTTATTGATCTTGGAGAACGTTCATTCGAATTTTACTGATCGACCTTAACTAACTTTTACTGTCTAGCAAAATAAATTCTGACATAGATTTACGAAATAATAAGAGATTTTACGTAATAATTAAACTAATTACAATATTTATAATAAGTGACGATAGCGATAGAAATATCTAATAGAAGTGTGCATAAACTATGAAGACTTAGGCGGAAACAATTAGCTACAGTAAAGGTGCCCAAATTAATTTCTACATTCCGCTGCAGAGATAACTCATGTCCATAGCAAAATAACTGACTACAATAATCGAAGAGACTAACTTTACAGGATGAATTATTCATGTGTGCATGGTTGGCTAAATACCAAACTGTAAGAAAAAGCGAAAAATGGTCAAATGTTCTGAAGGTCGTTATTGATAGACTAACTGAATTCAATAAATAGAAACACCATGCCTGTTTGTCAACAATATCGCTATTACTGACTGGGTATTTTTAGAAATACGGCAAACTAAAAGAAAACATGGATTTTTACAGTAATTATTTTTCAAGTTTTCATACAGTACATGCAAGCATATTCTGCATTTAGCATCACACTTAACAGCATACGTTCTAAATGTTTGATAAGTCAAAAGTGAACACAAATTGGTGATTCGTAACTCGAATATTATAGATATTAACTCGCTTTTTCATTATGTTTCGTATTCTGCCAACCAGGCATTCTAGTGAATTTCAATCTGTATAATAAATGTGCTTGTGTCTGGCTAAATGTATATTACACGGGCATTTCTTTATTCTCTAAACAGTGTACATTTTGTTGCTATCAATGGCTTGTCTTGGAGATTAAAACTACACATGGAATAGTGATAAATAAGCATACACCAAACTAATTTGTTTTCGTGTCACTTACATTTGTATTGTTCAACTTTTTACATCAATTGTACCACCACCTCCTTCAATAATATGATACCATCGACTATACAAATCTTAACATTCTCAGCGTTGTCCTCATCCCTTTTAAAGCCATTCATTTATTAAATGTCTGACATCACAAGAGTCCATAACCAATGAGTATCTCCACCACCATGACACTCCAAGATGAGACAGGCAATTCTAAACTTTAATCTTAGTTTATTGAGGTAGATAATAAAATAACGGTTGATTGTTTAATTTATTTATGTTTAGTGCTATTACATCGTTAGCTATAGTTAGTGTAGTGTTAGGAAAGATGCTGAAAAGGATCAATGGTTAGTCAGTAGGCATGCGTGCGAAGCGAGCAAAGTAAAAAGCTGTAACGGACACGTAAATGTTAGCGGTGACGAGGCCCTCTATGTCGACACAACGCTACAACTTCTCTGATTGTTTCCAAAAGACAATCAGAATTTGATCAGGTCAAGTTGGTAGCACTGTCATCGCGAACGTCATCTAGGCTATGGAAGGTAGGTAAAGGTTTTGTGATGCAGACAGGATAGGATAGATGGAGATATAGAAACTTTTTATCATAATTAATTTATTTATTTTTGAAGTAGAGTGTTTTTAATAACACAGTTTTGGATGCTACATTATACTAGTAGATACGGTTGACGAATGCTTTATATTTTTGCTTTTTATCCCAACCATTTTGAAGGTATCATAAAAAGAAAGTAATTTATATTTACACCATAGTTCTACAGGATCAGGTTTCTATAGGAAACAAAGAACAGCATGTCAAGGTTGAAATCCAGTCGTTTGAACAGAGAGGAGAACATTCAGACAAGGACGATATTTGAAGTTAATCCTTGGGCTGTAGGTAGATATCGTGAAGGAAGCAGTAGAGGTGTTCGGGTGCAGGCATTCTATTTTAGTGATTAGCCGAATCGATCGAGTTGGTACCGTTTTAAAAATAAAACTGGAAATAAAGGCTAGGTAGTTTTTTTATCACCATAGTATAAACTTTATGTAATAAGTGATAACGATACAAAAATGTTTATGATATTTTTAATAACAATTCGTAAATAGATTTCGAGATATTTAACTTTATAAGTCTTGATAACTCTTACTAAAATGCCAAAAAGATGGATACTGTATACGTCCATATCGTAATCATTTCCCCCTTATTACAAAAAGTTAGACTCTGGTTGAACCCTGGTATAAATTGACATTTAGTATGGAAATATCATTTTAAACCAGTGTTACTTTAAACTTTTTTGTAATAAGGGGGTTTATGTTTACAAGTAACTTGTCAATTTGCGACACCGTCATGTCCAAAGTAAGTCGAATGTCATAATATGATCTCATCGGCACATCACTAGTTACGGTGGTACTATAGGGGGGAGAGGGGTGGGCTGTGTCTGACCTGGAGCAGCAAGGGGCGGCGGTGCAGCCAGTCGCCCCAGTCGGCCGCGTCATAGGCCTGCCGCGCCAACAACCAATCACCGACATGCAAACAACACGCCTGTACTCCGCCGTCATAGAACCTACAGCGACCTGGCTTATGTGCGTACGAGTTGGTTTGTTAGATGTTGTTAAAGATAATTTTATTGGTATACCAGATATGTATGTGTATATATTTTTATTTGAGTCTTGGATTACTTATTTTATTTATTATTTATTTATTTTATTCGGAAAACCAACAGCAATACAATACAAACAATGGGACCTTAAATTATGTATATGCTTAGCCATTTATAGGTAATCGCAAATGGAAGAATGTATGAAAGAATGAAAGTGAATGGAAAATGAATATAAAAAATATTACTTTTTTTATCCACAACAAGAAAGCTCATAGCCTGCATCTCACATAGTGTTGATTAAAGCCACATTTGTTTCCTTATTTATAAAATCAGTATTTAGAAGAATTGGTATTTAATTGACAAGTAAATATACTAAAATCAATTACAAGTTAATATAAGTTTGTTTCATTACAACCTTCTGTAACTTTGATTGCGCGATTGATTTTAATTTGCGTTATATGAAAGGTATCGGTTGATTCATTTCATTACTCAAGTGAGGGTTATGGTCTAGTACATTTTAGAAAAATGTATTCCATGGTTTTGGCTAATTTTGTATCAAGGCTTAAATATCTGGAATACCATTTACCGAAAGCACTATTTACAGTGTCAATTATTGAATTACATAATAACTCGTACGCTGTTGAAGCCAAATCCCTTATACCCATGCAATATTAGTCTTCTAAGCTTGTCATTAATGATACAAGCATCTTTGAATCGATTGTGTATTTACACTTGAATGGACCTCCACCAAAATTTTGTCGATAAAACAATATTGCCATGGATATGGTTATGTAAATAAACTCACATTGTCTGCGATGCGATAAAACTGAAGCAGTATGAACGACATAATGGGTTCACATTTAAAGACCACATAAAAGTCACAAAAATGTGAACCCAAGCTTTTACGGCATACACTTAAAGCTGGAATTCGCTTTGACAAAATCAACGCGAATTCATACAAAACATGTAGATAAAAAATATTACTGCATGCACGACAATGTATCGAAAAATTCTCCAAGACAAATTAATAATTATGTCAGGGTTCGAGGATATATATCGAGGGATATATATCTTGATATATATCGGATATATATCCGATATATATCCAGCCGGTTTTGATGATATATATCAATTTTTAAAATTTGTAACTGTATTTGTACTTTTTCACATAAGATTTTTGTTTTTTAGTTGATTTTGCCGATTTTACAAGAAGATTTTATGTTTTTGCTTTATTTGTCTGATTTTAAGTTTTAAAAACATTAAAAACATGTTTATGTGACACATTTGCAATGGTATTCATAAATAATACAATAAAATAATAGTATAGCTTTCATACAAATTTGATATATATCAAAGTTGATATATATCGGATATATATCATAAATATCCGATATTTTGATATTTATAATAAATATCGGATATTTTCGAACCCTGAATTATGTAAAACTATCAACAATGATTGATCGTTATTATTAGTATTTCGCTTTATTTCATTCTTTGTAAGTAAGTTATTTGATGATATACTTTTGAGATTACTTGATTTTCTTGAAATCAGAACGAATATTGTATCTTTCAGGCGATTCTATAAAAGTAAACCAATTAAGTAGTAATATTAAAATTCATGTAAATGCAATAAAGATTTATTTCCCGCAACAGTAATGCAACTTATGTATCTATCTATAATAAAAAGTACTTGGCAGTGGTTGACCTAATATAAGATGCCCATTATTATGTAATGCAGATGTCATTTATTGTAACATGTGATTTACTCGAAATAAATATTTGGTCTCGATAATTATCTTCAAAGTTCTTAGCACTATCCCCCTCCAATACTAGTCTTGTTTAGTTTACAACGGAATGAAAAGGTTCGTCAGTTTTCAAATTGATTCCTTCAACGAATCGCGAGCACATATTACCTTTTGAAACTATGTTACAGAATAATCTCGAGTTATAGAAAATAATCTTTAACTGTTCGTCAGTAAAGTTCAAAATTATTCAGATCAAAGTTGTTTGACGATTTATCTTGTCAAGAAGATTATTATGATTGATAAACTAAAACCTTCTTGTTGGTTCAACCTGCCATTATTATTTCTTATAAAATAAAAAAAAACTATTGTCAATTGGTCAATGTCATCATTGCATTGCACTGATGGGACAGAAAAATAAACAAGCAAAACCTTATTCGTTAGCAAACGTCATATTTATTTAAATGTTAGCAGCACTGTTTCTTGCACTGTTATGTTGGCAGGTTTGACTCTTACAGTACCTACCTAGTGCAAGCGAAAACCGACACTGAGGTGACGAACCTTTTCATTCTGCGACTGTACACATAATACTCCGCATTATAAGTTGCATGACCGCAGCGGTAGTGATGTGACGCGCGACCGTCGTTACCTGCGGGTAGGGCGGCGGCGGCTGGGCAGGCGGCGCGTGCTGGGCGGGCGGCGCGGGCGGCCGGAGGGTCCCTGGGTAGGGCGGCGGGGGCGGGGCCCGGCCGGCCACGCCCACGTTCACGCCCACAGCCGCTGGGGGGTAACGGACTAACGGTGAGGTTGATAGCTTGGTGCCGTTCGAATTGTTTAGTTGTAACCATAAAGTTAATATTAAATAATATAAAAAGAGTAACAACCACAAGTTGTTAAACGGAACCGATTTTGGATGACTTTTGATGTCATTTGTGTGTCAGTGATCAGGATTATTTCACTGTTTTGTACAATAAATCAACGTTGTGACTGGTTCCACCGAACCAGTAACGCAGGTTCAATGGCACCAGTCACGTTTCTGAAGCATCCACGATTTCACTCACGAAAAATCTGAAAATATCTCAGAGTTCAAATTTTCGGCGTGCTACTAAGTGCCTCTGAACTGTCAAATAGTTGCAAAAAAAGGTTCTGTTTGACGTGACGGCGACGGCATCACGCATCTCTTTTTATCACACAAGTGCTGCTAGTGTCATCTCGCTCGCTCAGTTCATTGTTGCTCTATGATTAAGTTTATGGTTGCTGCTAGTGACATCTAGCTCGCTCAGTTCTTCTCTATTGCTCTATTCCGCTAGGTATATTAACTTTATGGTTGTAACATGTTTTGCCCGTATTTCTCTGGTATTTTTTCTTAGAAAAGCTTTCTTTTTTTACGCTATGAATCACTGCAGCTGTTTTTAAAGGTTACTATCTGAGAGGTATTACTCTGAGTTTGTTCCGGCGTTTCTTCTCAGCACTTGCCATGTTTGTCTCGAAGCGCTGATAGGGCCCAAAAGATAAGGAGACATGTAAAGTGCCCCATAAGGGCTACCTTTTCTTTTTTATTATTTTCTATTGACGTTCATAAGTGCCACTTGTGGTCTAAACTGAATAAATATTTTTGATTTTGATTTTATCCCACAAAACACATTAGATATATTAGATCCATTTTTTTTACAGCAGCTCGCAGTCCTGTAAAGTGCTCACCATTGGCGGAGTCACTATGCTCTGCGTGAGAGCCGAGTTCGTGCTCAAAACTGAGTCAGTCAGAGATGACTCACCGTTAGCGGAGTGCGGCAGCGTAGCGAGCGCGACGGTGCGGTCCTGCCTCACGACGCCCACGGCGCCGTCGAGGCCGACGAGGCGGGTGCCCGGCTGGATGGTGCGACCGGCCAATAACGCCGCGTTCACTTGAGCGGTCATAGCGTTCACTATAGTCAAAACTGAGTCAGCCAGAGATGACTCACCGTTAGCAGAGTGCGGTAGCGTAGCGAGCGCGACGGTGCGGTCCTGCCTCACGACGCCCACGGCGCCGTCGAGGCCGACGAGGCGGGTGCCCGGCTGGATGGTGCGGCCGGCCGCTAGCGCTGCGTTCACTTGAGCCGTCATTGCGTTCACTATAGTCAAAACTGAGTCAGTCGGAGATGACTCACCGTTAGCGGAGTGCGGCAGCGTAGCGAGCGCGACGGTGCGGTCCTGCCTCACGACGCCCACGGCGCCGTCGAGGCCGACGAGGCGGGTGCCCGGCTGGATGGTGCGGCCGGCCGCTAACGCCGCATTCACTTGAGCGGTCATAGCGTTTACTATGCTCTGCGTGTGAGTTGAGTTCGTAGTCAAAACCGAGTCAGTCAGAGATGACTCACCGTTAGCGGAGTGCGGCAGCGTAGCGAGCGCGACGGTGCGGTCCTGCCTCACGACGCCCACGGCTCCGTCGAGGCCGACGAGGCGGGTGCCCGGCTGGATGGTGCGACCGGCCGCTAGCGCTGCGTTCACTTGAGCGGTCATCGCGTTTACTATGCTCTGTGTGTGAAATGAGTTCGTACTCAAAACTGAGTCAGTCAGAGATGACTCACCGTTAGCAGAGTGCGGCAGCGTAGCGAGCGCGACGGTGCGGTCCTGCCTCACGACGCCCACGGCTCCGTCGAGGCCGACGAGGCGGGTGCCCGGCTGGATGGTGCGACCGGCCGCTAGCGCTGCGTTCACTTGAGCGGTCATCGCGTTTACTATGCTCTGTGTGTGAAATGAGTTCGTACTCAAAACTGAGTCAGTCAGAGATGACTCACCGTTAGCAGAGTGCGGCAGCGTAGCGAGCGCGACGGAAGGTGACGAACCTTTTCATTCCGCGACTGTACACAAAATACTCCGCATTATAAGTTGCATGACCGCAGCGGTAGTGATGTGACGCGCGACCGTCGTTACCTGCGGGTAGGGCGGCGGCGGCTGGGCGGGCGGCGCGTGCGGGGCGGGCGGCGCGGGCGGCCGGAGGGTCCCTGGGTAGGGCGGCGGGGGCGGGGCCCGGCCGGCCACGCCCACGTTCACGCCCACTGCCGCTGGGGGGTAACGGACTAACGGTGAGGTTGATAGCTTGGTACCGTTCGAATTGTTTAGTTGTAACCATAAGGTAATATGGGTGGGTGTACTATGTATAATATGTATGTATTTAAAAAAAAAGTATATGAGTAGTATATCCGTTAAGCTAGCACCCATAACACAAGCATATTAATTGCTTACTTTGGGGCTAGATGGCGCTGTGTGAGATTGTCCAAAGATATTTATTTATTATTATTAATAATATTCCTTCGGAATAGAGTAACAACCACAAGCTGTTAAACGGAACCAATTTTGGATGACTTTGGATGTCCTTTGTGTGTCAGTGATCAGGATTATTTCACTGTTTTGTACAATAAATCAATCACTGAACCAGTCACCACGGTTTTGGAAGCATCCACGATTTCACTCACGTAAAATTCTGTAAATATCTCAGTTCAAATTTTCAGCGCGCCACTAAGTGCCTCTGAACTGTAAAATAGTTGCAAAAAAGGTTCTGTTTGACGTGACGGCATCACGCATCTCTTTTTATCACACAAGTGTTGCTGCTAGTGACATCTCGCTCGCTCAGTTCTTTGTTGCTCTATGTTGCCAGGTATATTAAGTTTATAATTGCTGCTAGTGACATCTTGCTCGCTCAGTTCTTCTTTACTGCTCTATTCCGCTAGGTATATTACCTTATTTGTTGTAACATGTTTCGCCCGTATTTCTCTAGTTTTTTCTTAGACAAGCTTTTTTCGCTATGAATCACTGCAGCTGTTTGTAAAGGTTACTATCCCACAAAACACATTAGATATAAGCTTCCTCCATTTTTTTACAGCAGCTCGCAGTCCTGTAAAGTGCTCACCATTGACGGAGTCACTATGCTCTGTGTGTGAGTTGAGTTCGTACTCAAAACCGAGTCAGTCAGAGATGTCTCACCGTTAGCAGAGTGCGGCAGCGTAGCGAGCGCGACGGTGCGGTCCTGCCTCACGACGCCCACGGCTCCGTCGAGGCCGACGAGGCGGGTGCCCTGCTGGATGGTGCGGCCGGCCGCTAGCGCCGCGTTCACTTGAGCGGTCATAGCGTTCACTATAGTCAAAACTGAGTCAGCCAGAGATGACTCACCGTTAGCGGAGTGCGGCAGCGTAGCGAGCGCGACGATGCGGTCCTGCCTCACGACGCCCACGGCTCTGTCGAAGCCGACGAGGCGGGTTCCCGGCTGGATGGTGCGACCGGCCGCGTTCATTTGAGCGGTCATTCCGTTTACTATAGTCAAAACTGAGTCAGTCAGAGATGACTCACCGTTAGCAGAGTGCGGCAGCGTAGCGAGCGCGACGGTGCGGTCCTGCCTCACGACGCCCACGGCTCCGTCGAGGCCGACGAGGCGGGTGCCCGGCTGGATGGTGCGACCGGCCGCGTTCATTTGAGCGGTCATTCCGTTTACTATAGTCAAAACTGAGTCAGTCAGAGATGACTCACCGTTAGCAGAGTGCGGCAGCGTAGCGAGCGCGACGGTGCGGTCCTGCCTCACGACGCCCACGGCTCCGTCGAGGCCGACGAGGCGGGTGCCCGGCTGGATGGTGCGACCGGCCGCTAGCGCCGCGTTCACTTGAGCGGTCATCGCGTTTACTATGCTCTGAGTGTGAGCTGAGTTCGCGCCACCCTAGGAAAGGTGATGTGAGAGTTAAGGTAACAGTTGTAACTGGTTCATAGATTTATAAGTGACTTGCAGCTGTGTTTTTCCTAAATAAGATAATTTCTATGTACTGTAACTTTACCTACTAAGAAATTTATAAATAAACTCAATTTTTTCTTCGCATATCTTGGGGGACACAACCTTGATTCTTGATTGTCTTGAAAGTCTACATCATCTTTATCAAGTACATAATATCAGTCTGGGAATTGAGTCTTGATGGGGAGTAAAATAACGCAGCAAAGTGTAACAACTTTAGGAGTAAACTTCAGGGTTAAGGTAGGAGGATATTTAATAACGAAGACTGATGAGGGAAACATCACCAAAACTAACGTAATAAATTGCTACGTGACTATAGTCTGGTCCGTGAGCACGTAGAATTTTGTCCAATGACCCCTAGCTACCCATCCTTATCGCTCGCGCGTAATTATGTTGCTATCGCGCTCGCACACTCACTGCGGGTGCCAGTCGCACAGTCGCGACAGCAATATGTCGCGCGAGCGATAAGGATGGGTAGCTAGGGGTCATTGGACAAAATTCTACGTGCACACGGACCAGGCTTTAGTGTAACATAATAGTTGTCATCAAACCTGGAAGTGCATGGGGTGCTGCGCGGTGAACTGCACCTGCGGCCGCTGCACTGGCTGCGTTTGCTGACCAAGCTGCTGCTGCTGCCCGTATTGCGCCCACTACGAGGAATAATATCACATCGTACAAAAGCTAAACACTGCGACATTTCATGTAGTTGGAATAAGTGCTATTTTGCAAGAAAATATGGTTAGTCTAATGTAATGTGCTGACGACTGTTAATTGTGCTGATATAAACAGTTAGATGACTTGTAACTCGGAATTTTTGCGCAAAACCATAGTACAGCACTATTTGTAGCAAGAATAACAACGAATAAAATGAATATGATCATTGAAAGTAAGTAGGTAATCGTATCGATAATACAATAAGATTATTTATATCGATATTTCCCCATCACAAGGAGTTATCGAATATTTATAGGTTTTTGTATTATACCTGCACAGGTATCTTGATCCGTTGCTGCGCAAACATTTGCTGCGGCGGCCGCTGCGGCGATTGCACGGCGTTTCGCAGCGCTTCGTTTTTTTCGTCGCCTTCGAGCTTCACCTCCGCCTTGATCGCCTGCATTGCCGACTGGATGAAAAAAATCATATTTAATAAATACTGACATTCACGCTGATCTAAAAAATCGTCTTGTATTGAATTAGTTCAAGTAATTATTCGTGAAAGCTCGTTCGGTCATGTATTGTTAATCTTTGATGCGAATCTAATAATCCCCTTACACTACCGCGTCATAAATTTGTGCCACGTTTTTACCTTAGGCTGGTTTTAGAATCACGCTGACGCACGCTGACCGTCAGCGCTGATAGCCGAAATGTATGGAGCGTCGGCGCCGAGCGATCAGCGTCACTCAGAAACGTTCCCTTCAATTACATACATTTTGATTTGTCAGCGCCGACGATCAGCGAGCGGTCAGCGCGATTCTAAAATCAGTCTAAGTACTTGAGTCACAGCGCACACGAGGGACTTTTGGCAACGTAAAACCTAGGCTTGCTTTATACATATACGTGTACATAACTAACCTGTAGCGCCATCTGTTGATTAGTGCTAATGATCCTCTGTACGCCGTCGGAGAACATCTGCGTGACAGTTTGCTGCGGACCGCCCTCCACTTTCACTTCGCCCTCTTGTTTCACGTCTTCCAATTCCGACTTAACCTCTTTAGTGGCTTCAATGTTTTTGACTGCTTTTTGGAGTTCCGTATCCATTTTTGTGTCCGGCTTCTGGTCCATATCATCCCTATAACAATAATATTTATATCACTACTAGCTTTCCGCCCGCGGCTTCGCCCGCGTTTTTGTCTGTCACAGAAAAACCTTATCGCGCTCGTCCCTGTTTCAAAGATCGGGATAAAAACTATCCTATGTCCGATCCCGGGACTCAAACAATCTCTATGCCAAATTTCATCAAAATCGCTTCAGTGGTTTAGGCGTGAACAGACAGACAGACAGACAGAGTTACTTTCGCATTTATAATATTAGTAGGTATAGATATCACATAGTAATGAGTTATGTGCACCTTGAATTAATCGATTAGTCCTCGAGTGGTGACATCGTCTTCTGATCAAAGACTTAATTAGGCAGGCCTCCCACTCTATGGATTATTCGATTTAGTGAAGATAGCACCTGGATACAAGCGGCACAGGTTCAAAAGTCATGAAAATCCTTGTGGAAAGCCTTGTTCAGCAGTGGACGACCTTTGCTTAAAACGAAATATGTATGAAATATGACTCACTCTGGATGTATCTTGGCGTGCCTCTCCGCCATTCCATCCTCAGCCAACTCCAGGCCATCCAGGATGTGTTCTGCATCATTGAGCGCTGCCAGCTCGGGATCAGCGTACTCCAAAATGTTGAACTGCTCGCCGATCTCCGCCGTCAGGGACTCTAAGAGTTCCTCGTCATCCTCACCCCCTAGACCCGTTAGGATGTCCACCTGGGTACAACACAAATACGTGGTAAAGTAACTGTACAATAAGCATATAATCCTAACATCCTTTTTCCATTTGGCTACTCAAGCTTAAAAAACTAATAAAAAACTGTTAATTATATTATTGCAAGAAAATAAGTCATAGAGAATAGACAAAAAGAAGGAAGATAAGAGAATCGAATTGAAATTACTTACTTCGCCAATATTCCCAGTATCCTGTTCCAGTTTATCCATGTCTCCCATATCCATTTCGTCAGTCCCTTGGTCTTGATTGGATTCTTGTTTGGTCTCGCCTCCTTGACCTGTACAGAAATTGTCTATTATAAAGAAATAAGAATTTACAAGTTAAATTAAACATTATCAGCTTAAAAATGTAAGGAATATTTATTAAATTCGCGTCACGGAAACAAGATAATCTCATTGAACACGAACTTTTGACTAAATGTTCCCGAATACTGTACTCCACCATTAAAGCAAGCTGACAATGCCTTGTATCAACTTGTAGAACGAATGGAGATAGCTTTTTGTTAACAATCAATATTAGATTTAATTATGTGATATGTGTAAGAAAAGAAATGGAGATCGTAATTTCCTAACATCGTATCAGAAAATATGTGTTTAATTATTGTCTGATGCATGTCGATTTGCCACTTTGAGTCGTTGCTACATGAAATTAGTTACCTCCTTGTTGTGACATGACATTCTGTTTGTTCTGTTCCATTTGATGCTGCGCAGCTGCGTTCGCGGCATTCTGTTGCATTTGGGCGTTATCCGCTGCCACTAAGCGTTGTTGCATTAGTACTGTGAACAAATAAATATACTTGAGTATTAACACTCAACTGCTTTAGTCTCTAACGCATGATGTTTTCACCTATAATTAAGTTTGCATTTAACAAGTGTCATTTTTATAGTTACTTTTGTGAAGCCTCAATGTAACCTTGTTGGTGTTCAAATTAATAAATAAACTATAAATGCATTGTAATAAGGTTCAAAACTTACTCTGATGGTCCGGCCTTTGTCCAGGTTGCAAAGGCGTTCTTGGGCGTAAGCCTACTGGCAGAGGATGCCTAAATGGTTGTCCTTCTACGTTAATGCCTTGTATTGAACCTTCTTCGTTGTTAGCTTCTGTTGAACAAATAAACACGTACATTAGCATTTATTGTATTTTATAAATGAGTGCTAATAAGCTCATTACCTAATTTAGTAAATCAGCACATTTTAATAGTTGAGCATACAATACTCGAAGCGATTTACAATTATTGTGAGAGTGTATTACTAAATCTCGTCGCTAGTTTTAAAAACATGTTTAAAGTTTTTTTATGAAAAATAAGTGTATCATCACTTACGCGGCGGCCACATCTTGTCCGGATGTCGCTGAAGCAAGTCTCTAAGTTGTCTATTGATGTCTTCATTGTTGGTGTAGTGTAACGGGAAGCGTTGTGCTGGGAAGGCACTTCTCGGCGCCTCAGCCGTGGGCCCGGGGGGCGCGCCGGGGCCCGCGGGGGACCCCGCGCCGGGCGTAGGCGGGGCCCCGGGCCCTGCTGCTGCTGGCGACACGCTGCCGTCCGGCGCTCGTAGCCTCTGAATAGCTGCTTTCGGGAAGCAAAAACGGAATAGGTTAAAGTACGTCAGAAGGGCTAGGATACGCGCCGTGATATACTTTATCGACGTTTAATAAATGTATGGGAAAAATCGATAAAATGGCGTGATAATCGCGGCTTATCGCGGCGCGCATCCTTGGCCTACAGATAATGAATACAAATGTATCTTCTCATCAAGCCAGGCACTGTGATATCTTTATAGGTTTGTAATAACAAATTGTGCTATTTTGCAATAAAATGTCGGGTAAAAATCTTATTCCCTTTGTAGTAGAGCAGTTACTAGTATTAGGGTGCTAGCAAGACAAGTAACGCCGCTGATTTTACCATCTGGCGTCATTACTGTGATATTGTCATTGATTTAGAACACTGTGTGATCAAACTGTGCCATTAAAAATTGCCTACATCATGCGCAAACGCATGTACACGAACTAATTGTTTGTTTGCTTCGCCGTCTTTACCGGACCCCATAAAGTAGATATAAAAAGTGTTCACTCACACGTACCGTGCATCCGCTGGTCGTGGATGATCTGCTGCTGCTGCTGCGTCTGCTGCTGGCGCTGCTGCTGCAGGTGCTTCCACTGGCGCTCCTGCTCGGCCTCGCGCGCGCTGCGCTGCTGCCCGCACGTTCGCTCCTGCTCCTACGTCACAACCGACACGTCATCGTCTGCGCTACGCTGGGGTATCACGAGACGTTGGCTGAGCCGTACACTACCCCGAGTAATCTAATGTGCGACTTGATAACTGCTAGGTATATTTTTGTCATTGTCAATGCCAAATACAGTCTAGAAACATCATACTTAAGTAAGAATGAATACTACACATTTTTAAATTGAAAAAGCAGTAAAAAAAGTAATTGAAAAGGCACACAATTTAAGACTGCTATTATAAATAAGTATGTGATTCGTCTATTTGATATACGTCTAAGCCAAAGTGTCGTTCTCAATATTTTCAGAGCATTAGGCATGCTGTAGCTTTGCATGCATATTTATTTTATTTCAATTTGTACAATTGATATTTTACCACAAAACCTAGACCGTTACTGTGCCTACATTTGTACATTTTGTTAGTAAATCAACTCTAAGTATACCAAAATTATATCATTTGAATTAAAAACAACAAAATTACAACAGGGCCCACATTATAAAACGACACTGAAATATGAAACCGCACCTCAGAATAAATTGAAGGCTGTGGTTGGCTCAAAATTAAATAATGAAATCCAATTTAATCACAGTCCTGAATCTATGTCTAAGTTTCATTCTAAGTTTCGTCTCATAACAGGAGCCTAGGTGACTAATTCACTATTGTGAATACATAAGAAATAATTATAAATTGTAACTAAATACCTGCCCTCTTTTTTAAACTTTTCACATGCGAAAAAACTACAGTAAGTAAATATTGAAGTGTTTGGATATTTACACTATATCTGGTATACAGTGAATGAGTACTATTCTACTATTACTACTTTTAACTTCCGACTCCACTCATGCTTGATATTTTTGTTATTGCTAACTTAACTTCATACCATTTTTTCAAGTAACTTTTATGATCTTCAGAAATTAAAAAACCAAACCAATACAGATAGATAAATTAATGAATTCTTTAGTATGACATCTTGTTAAAACATCTTTGTTAATATTTTTACACATTTTGATTAAGAACGCATAAAATTTTATTCTTGCAATGATTATTCTTGTAGTTATACTTAAATAGTAAATACATTAATATAAATATTATGATACAACTTAGTAAAGACGAACAACATTACCTGTAAACTTACAACTAACATTAAGAAGCTGTGTACACCAGCGTAACAACGCAAATGAACCAACTACACTGATCAATGTTAGAATTGTTAGCACACCAAACCAGCCACCGAATGCGTCGTTAAAGCCAACACTACCAAGGCGAAGCGAAAATAAAAAAAATATCAACATTACGGAAACAGAGGACACGAGTCCGGGAGGCGCATTTGTTTTCGAGAGATGTCTTGTTTAAAAAAAAGAAGCTGAACGAAAAATAAAAAATAATCACACAGCTTACAACGCCATCGAACAGCCAAAAAGTTTCGTCGGGTGACGGGAAATTTGGAGCTAAGCCGATCGCGAGGGAGCGCGGGTCACCCGACGCGAGACTCGCGTACACACCGCGTGCGGGGCCGTGCCGACGTCTCGGGTCACTACAGTGCGGGACGTGCTGATTTTACATTATCATCGAACGTATCATTTTTAACGTTTCAATGTTATTAATAGGGTATTTGACACCACCAATCAATTAAAGTACTTTTTAAAACTGTCAAAACGACACAAAACCTATGGGAGATAGATTTTGTACGGCAATACTAGCATGTGACGTCACAATTTTATGAACTCAATGAAAATACTTTTTTCAATTATAATGCAACCAAAAATCGTAATTTACAGGTAATTAAAAATTAACTAAGTTTTTAAGACCAGAAAGAAGTGTTTTTTTAAAAAAGTTGTGCTTTAGAATTATTGGGAAATGGTGTCAAATACCCAATTAATGCACGAGACAAGCACACGAGAAGCGCGAAAGTAAAAGTATGTCGCTGATATAAATTACAACAGACAAAATCGTTTTCAAAATGAAAGGCAAAAGAAAAATGAAACGATCTGCGGAAAGAGCGAAACAACTGAAACGGCGGTTTGCCGCGACACGCTCGGGAGGGTATAGGCGGTGTGTAGGCGAGCACGCAGCGCGCGGTACCGTGTTGCGATCGTGCGCGAGGCGCGGCAGCGTGCGCATGATCTCGGAGGGGGTGAGCACGCGGATGTGCGCGTCGGCCTCCAGGAGCCCGGCCGCCGTCACCGTGACGTTGGGCGCGCGCACCGCCGGGCCGCCCGCGACCGCCGCCCCGCCCCCGCCGGCCCCCGCCGCCCCCGCCGGCGGCGTCGTCGGCGCCCTGCAGCTCTCCGCCTCGCTCGCCGCCGCCGCCGCTCCGCCGCTCGTCTATCGTAACCGTTCGCTTAACAATGGCCGGGGCCGAACCGCAACGCGTTGCGAAAATCATCCCACATCGCTGTCGCAGTTTGCGCGCCGAATGCAGAATATATACTTGTGTAAACGAGGCAAGTGTTTGGTTGTACGCGTCACTTGTTTTGTGGTCGAATGTAGACTTTTTTCATTTAGTGGTGGGTATAAAGATCAATCATTCTACATCGCTATCTCACGCTATCTAGTTAGCGATATGTGATTCAGACAGGTTAAATGAACTAGCTTGCGTCATCTATTTAAATACATATTTCTGGAAACAACACACATCAAAGCGAGCCGCATGTGCAACAGACCGCAACGCACAGATTGTCTTACTTTTTCTACTTTTTCGCAAAATAGTGTAGACAATTTAAAATCTATGTCTTGCGGTTCATTGCAAAGCGGCTCTAATGTGCACGAAATAGTTCACCTCACACGACTAGTCACTAACCGCCGCCGCCGTAGACAGGACGCCAAAAAGCAAATTTTATCGATGCAGTTTCAACCTAGCAATCCCTACCCCTAACTTTAAACTTCGCGGAATACTAAAATGTATTGGGAATCTAAGTTATTTACAGCTGTGCTAAGTTTAGCGGTTAAAATCTACAGCACCTGTGCAATCTATTGGCACTTAAAACATCGAATTTAAAGTGAACCCACTCGAATGTCACTTGTAGCACGGTGCATATGAACTGTACAACCAGTAAAATTGTCCCAGCGANTCGTGCGCGAGGCGCGGCAGCGTGCGCATGATCTCGGAGGGGGTGAGCACGCGGATGTGCGCGTCGGCCTCCAGGAGCCCGGCCGCCGTCACCGTGACGTTGGGCGCGCGCACCGCCGGGCCGCCCGCGACCGCCGCCCCGCCCCCGCCGGCCCCCGCCGCCCCCGCCGGCGGCGTCGTCGGCGCCCTGCAGCTCTCCGCCTCGCTCGCCGCCGCCGCCGCTCCGCCGCTCGTCTATCGTAACCGTTCGCTTAACAATGGCCGGGGCCGAACCGCAACGCGTTGCGAAAATCATCCCACATCGCTGTCGCAGTTTGCGCGCCGAATGCAGAATATATACTTGTGTAAACGAGGCAAGTGTTTGGTTGTACGCGTCACTTGTTTTGTGGTCGAATGTAGACTTTTTTCATTTAGTGGTGGGTATAAAGATCAATCATTCTACATCGCTATCTCACGCTATCTAGTTAGCGATATGTGATTCAGACAGGTTAAATGAACTAGCTTGCGTCATCTATTTAAATACATATTTCTGGAATCAACACACATCAAAGCGAGCCGCATGTGCAACAGACCGCAACGCACAGATTGTTTTACTTTTTCTACTTTTTCGCAAAATAGTGTAGACAATTTTAAATCTATGTCTTGCGGTTCATTGCAAAGCGGCTCTAATGTGCACGAAATAGTTCACCTCACACGACTAGTCACTAACCGCCGCCGCCGTAGACAGGACGCCAAAAAGCAAATTTTATCGATGCAGTTTCAACCTAGCAATCCCTACCCCTAACTTTAAACTTCGCGGAATACTAAAATGTATTGGGAATCTAAGTTATTTACAGCTGTGCTAAGTTTAGCGGTTAAAATCTACAGCACCTGTGCAATCTATTGGCACTTAAAACATCGAATTTAAAGTGAACCCACTCGAATGTCACTTGTAGCACGGTGCATATGAACTGTACAACCAGTAAAATTGTCCCAGCGATTAGCAATCTAAACAAAAATGGCGACGGAGACAAGGACTCATCTTGACATACCGAGACAGTGCGGGCAGCGTGCGACTGGTCGTCGCAACTCGTGCGTAGCGTGGTTTACGGACATGAGGCGATGCTTATGTAATTAAAACTAGCTGGTACTTTAAATGTTCCATTAAAATAATTTGGAGTGAAAACCTTTTAAAATTTTAGGTTAATTTCAAAAGTAAATGTTATTCAAGCGAAACGATATGCGTAAGTCACAATCATCGTCTGCGTACTTCAAATTTATTTAACTCAAATAGTAATGAAGACATTTGGAATGTTTTAGAGATAGAGCGATTTTCGTCAATATAGTTAGTCAGATGATTGACTTCCGCACATCTCGCTACTCACTGAGTCAACACTTCAACAGCGTTATGGAATTCACTCCAAAACTGTAAGTGTGGATGACACACAGTATAACACAGTGGTAGGTGAGTCGGGTTAGCACACACCACATCATATAAACCAAACGCCTCACCTGCTGGGCTTTCTTCATTCGGATCGCGCTGCGGTTGTCTCGAGCGCGTTGGAGATAAGGCGCTTTTTGCTCTGAAGGCAACGCGCGCCACTTCTTCAAGATTTGCTTGCAGCGGTCTACCCAGTTGGGGAACTCTGTTTTCCATTCTGGATGGTTGGTGTTGGCGTATAGAACGGCAGATATTGTCGCCGCCGACCCTAGGCCTAGGTAAAGTTGTGAAAATTGAAATGTTTTATTAGATTATGCTTGTAATATATTGCATGGTGATTAAAAAAATAACAAAAAGTATCGCTGTTTAAATTTGTTGAAAAGCCAAGATAATTTTAATGTGTCCCTCACTGGCAAAAAGTAAATCAAACAAAATATACTTCATTTACCAATGTAGACTTATTTGAAACAGGGGTGTTAAGGATATGAAGTTTCGGTTATGAATACGGTTACGGATATTAGAATAATATTATACCGAGGTTACGGATATGAAAACATTTCGGATTATCCGAGTTTCGGATAATTTCGGTTACGAATATTAGAATTTAAAAAATGTAAAATTCAAAAAGCAAGATGCTGCGCATAGCCACTTTATGTACCTACTACCTGACCCGGCGAACTTTGTTCCGCCTTAATGGCAATAAATAAGCAGACTTTTTTTTATTTCGAACGGGATAAAAAGTATCCTATGTCCTTCTCCTGGCTCTAAACTACCTCCCTGACAATTTTCAGCTAAATCGGTTCAGCCGTTCTTGAGTTATAAGTGGAGTAACTAACACGACTTTCTTTTATATATATAGATTATAGCGACACCTATGATAAAGGTAAAACAGGCGGGGATATTAGATGGTGCCAAGGAATGCCAGACAAGTAGGTGACAAATATCCGAAACTATCCGTAACTTTTGAATCGGTTTCGGTTATGATTATGGATTTTTTTTTATTTCGGATATCCGATAGTTTCGGTTACGGTAACGGATAGCTATAACATCTCTGATTTGAAATTCCCGTTTTCCCTTCGAGCGAAGTTAAACATTAGGTTTTTGCTTGTCGACCCCTGAATATTGAGCCATTGGACCAACATCCTTATTTAATTACTAAATACTCACTCTCATCAGCGCGCATCTTATCGGCGCTCCGCTGGTTGTAGGACGGCGGCGGCGCGGGCGGCTGCTCGGGCCACGCGGCGGGCCCCGGCGTGCCCGGCGTGGCGCTCCCGGGCGTAGCCGCGCCCGCGCCCTCCGAGAATAGCGGGCTTAGGGCGCTGTTGCTACGGAAACATTAGAATGAGGGCTATCGTTTTTATACTTAACAGTTGGCACCCCTGGCGATTGACAGGACCTTACTCTACAGTGGCGCCATCTTGATGAGTGCAAATACGATAGTCCTCCTACCACTTTCGCGCTCACCAGTTGGTGCCACTGTCTTCGCTACTAGCAAGTGACAGGACCTTACTCTACAGTGGCGCTAACTGGTGAGCGCTAAAACGATAGCCCTCATTGGATTAGCTCTGCAATATTATAATATTGCCGTGTGGAGCCGTGTGGTGACGGCAGAGTAGAATACATTTGTCAGCAACCCCTACTCTTCCCGCGGGTGTCTAGGTAAGAGGCGACTTAGGGACTACACTTCAAACAGAGAACGGGCAGCAGCGCTCTCTGACAAACATCAATCTTTTAAACTGCGATCTCCAACCCGCCTGCCAAGCGTGGGGATTATGGCAAAACCCTCCACTATAGTGGAGGAGGCTCATGGTCCAGCAGTGGACTGTAAAGGGCTGTTGATTATAATATTGTGATGCGTCTACCTCAAACCTCTGCAAGTCGAAACTTCTATTGGCGCAGTACACTATGCGGGAAATTGGCAGAGACGAAGCGCGAGTACGCACAACGAAGTATGGGTGACGCACGGCGAAACTAACTGAAGTGCATGTTTACACTATGCCTCCATCAATTTCCCGCATAGTTTAACTGCGCCATATAATTCGAATTTTTTGGTGTCTCCCTTCAAGTTCAACTAAGGCGGCGGCGTCGTGTGCAGGAGCGCTTACAGAGGTTCTACTGTATTTGCAACAAGACGACGATTTGGCGTGGTGGTTACACTCAGTCCACGTGGTCCCCACTGACTATTAGTGTATAATCTATTAATTCATTTACAAAACATAAAGTAGCCGTAACGCATGGAACAAAAGGTAAATAACTTGGTGGTAAATATGTGCTACGTAACGTAAATAAGACATAATACGTCGTTTTTGATTATTTACAAGAAAGCACTTTTATACGATACGAACGAAGTGTTTACATATTTCAATTCAAGACAACAACATCAAAACATACCTGCTTCCAAATTCAGTGTGATGGTAAGGCGAGGCGTACTCCATAGGGCTCTGCAACTGTTGCCGCTGCTGCGAGTACGGCGTGCCCGCCATCGAGTTCACGTACGATACTGACGACTCCTGGGACTCCTGGAACAAACATTTTGCATCGACCTTTTAAACACACATATTATGTACTTCATTCAATAGAAACGGCCGTTGTTTAAATCTATGGAACGTATCATCATCAAAAAAAATTTTATTAAAATCGAAACAACAGAAGAGCGTCATAAAATGGAAACTGCTTTCACAAAAATCTATATTATATAAAAGAAAGCCGTGTTAGTTACTCCACTTATAACTCAAGAACGGCTGAACCGATTTAGCTGAAAATTGTCAGGGAGGTAGTTTAGAGCCAGGAGAAGGACATAGGATACTTTTTATCCCGTTCGAAATTAAAAAAAAGTCTGCTTATTTATTGGCATTAAGGCGGAACAAAGTTCGCCGGGTCAGCTAGTACGTTTATAAAAATGAGTTTATACTCGTTAAAAAGGCAATACTCAAAATACCCGTTGACGAAACAAATGACTGTCGGAAAGAGGGCTAAATCCAAAGTAGTCGGACTACAGACGCGGTCTACGTAAATTGGATAAATACCTGCGAGTCATCAGTGAGCACGCCCTTGAATATCTCGTCGACGTCGTTGCTGTCCATATCAGGAAGCGAATCCCGCACCATAGCATCCAAATTCACGCCGAGCAGTAGGTCATCTTTGGGAGATATGGTGGACGCTTGCGATGACCCGCCCGTTTCTGTGAATGAGGGTGCTTGTTATACAATTCGAAGCTCAATCTAATCTATCAAACGTTATGTTCAATAAAATCGTAAAAATGGCAGCAGAAATGCCAACTGACACGAATTACAAACTGGAATCGGGAACGGATGATAAATGTGTAATGATGTAGGTAGCTACTTATTTAGGTAATTTCGTGAATTTCGATTAAATTAATGAGATAAGACTTTATCTTCCTCTTTNCCAAGCGATTAGCAATCTATAAAACAAAAATGGCGACGGAGACAAGGACTCATCCTGACATACCGAGACAGTGCGGGCAGCGTGCGACTGGTCGTCGCAACTCGTGTGTAGCGTGGTTTACGGACATGAGGCGATGCTTATGTAATTAAAACTAGCTGGTACTTTAAATGTTCCTTTAAAATAATTTGGAGTGAAAACCTTTTGTTCAATATTTAGGTTAATATCAAAAGTAAATGTTATTCAAGCGAAACGATATGCGTAAGTCACGATCATCGTCTGCGTACTTCAAATTTATTTTACTCAAATAGTAATGAAGACATTTGGAATGTTTTAGAGATAGAGCTATTTTCGTCAATATAGTTAGTCAGATGATTGATTTCCGCACATCTCGCTACTCACTGAGTCAACACTTCAACAGCGTTATGGAATTCACTCCAAAACTGTAAGTGTGGATGACACACAGTATAACACAGTGGTAGGTGAGTCGGGTTAGCACACACCACATCATATAAACCAAACGCCTCACCTGTTGGGCCTTCTTCATGCGGATCGCGCTGCGGTTGTCTCTAGCGCGCTGGAGATAAGGCGCTTTTTGCTCTGAAGGCAACGCGCGCCACTTCTTCAAGATTTGCTTGCAACGGTCCACCCAGTTGGGGAACTCTGTTTTCCATTCTGGGTGGTTGGTGTTGGCGTATAGAACGGCAGATATTGTCGCCGCTGACCCTAAGCCTAGTGAAAATGGAAATGTTTTATTAGATTATGCTTGTGGTATTTTGCATGTTAATGTAAAATAAAAAGAAATTATAGCTTATAATGATGGGCTGCCGTTTTTTTATCATTACACTTGCATTGTATGTGTCCAAATCGTCAAATTTTTTACCAAAAAATAAATAAAAACCCAGACGATGAATAATATTTTTCGCTTTACACTGGAAGGAAGTCGAACCTTAATTTCGAACTCCTCCTATGTTCTTCTGATTAATTTCGTTGCGGGTCCAATGACAGTTTAACTTTCCCCCGGGACAAACTTGACCTTCATTGGTTGGGTTTTTGTGGCGGTCAAGCTGTAGATCCTGGCTACACAGGAGTTGCAGTGGTGGGAACGAGAGGTGGGAATAGTCCCGTATACAGGAGTTGCAGCAGTGGGAACTCACTGCCAGAAGGTATATCAAAAATTCAGAATTAAATCTAAGAACACTATTGCTACAAAGGACCAAAATAAGGGCAGCATCATTCTTCGTTAGATACTTAATACTCACTCTCATCAGCGCGCATCTTATCGGCGCTCCGCTGGTTGTAGGACGGCGGCGGCGCGGGCGGCTGCTCGGGCCACGCGGCGGGCCCCGGCGTGCCCGGCGTGGCGCTCCCGGGCGTAGCGGCGCCCGCGCCCTCCGAGAATAGCGGGCTTAGGGCGCTGTTGCTACGGAAACAGAGAAATTAGGCTGAGTTGCACCACAGTAGGAAATACAAATGAGTAGGTCATCTTCATAGAAACGCACCGAGCGCGGTTTGTATGTGAGCGCGCCAATACTATGCGACGCGCAGGCACACACTGACAAAATTTAGCGTGGATTAGCGGTGAGGTGCGCTGAATTTTGTCAGTGTGTGCGTGCGCGCCGCATACGTATTGGCGCGCTCACATACAAACCGCGCTCCGTGCGTTTCTATGAAGATGACCTACTCATTTGTATTTACTCTGGTTGCACCACCTAACTTTGACCGTAACTATGACGATAACCGGTGCTTTTTGTATGGAGTTTGAAGATTTTTGATGTTTGTCATAGTTAAACTATGATGGTGCAACCCAGCCTTCGAGTTATGCCCGTTTTCACCATCAATCCCTAATTTTTAAGTGACCTCTATGGTAACACAAAACAGGAATTTTGTTCTTAAAAATTAGAGATTGATGGTGAAAACTGTTATTAACTTCGCATTTTAGACAAGCATGACTCGTTTAAACATTGGTTAGCTTAGCTACCTCGCCAAATCCACGTGACGAATTTCAAAAACACCGTCTAGATCTAGTGGATAGGCCATTCTGGCGGGAAGTCTCAAAAAATTCACTGCTCGTCTTCACCGCGTTGGAATGCGCAAAGCATTTCCCGACGAAAAAATCGGTTTGTCAACCGCGCGGGTTTAGTATACACGAATTTCAAGAAGTAAATAGGCGCAACTGACAAAAAGCTTGGATATAAAAATTAAAAATAAGAACATAAATAGGTGAAACGTTTAGGTTCATTTTCACGTAAATTCACGATGAGCATAACAATGAGAAATTACGTATACAACTTGGTTGTTGTTATTTCTTCATGCTTACACAGAAAAATAATTTGGCATGACCAAACCATACCTGCTCCCGAATTCAGTGTGATGGTAAGGCGAGGCGTACTCCATAGGGCTCTGCAACTGCTGCCGCTGCTGCGAGTACGGCGTGCCCGCCATCGAGTTCACGTACGATACTGACGACTCCTGGGACTCCTGGAACAAAGATTTTGCATCAACCTATTGAACTCACATACTTCATTTTGAATATTGATCTAAACTGAACCGAAAACGTGCTCACGGAAACGCAAATGGCCGACATAAAAGACGCACAGCGGCCGTTGTTTAATCTATGGCACGTATAATCAATCTTCAAAAAAATAATTAAAATCAAAACAAAAGAAGCGCGTCATTCAATGCAAACGGAAACTACTGGCACAAAATACGTTTATAAAAAGAGTTTATATGCGTCAAAAAGCAATACTCAAAACACCCGAAAAAAAAATAGTGACGGAGATACGTTTCCCTATCCCAATTTGAGAGAGGGCTAAAAAATACAATAAGTAATCAGATTACTGACAGGCGCGGTCTACGTAAATTGGATAAATACCTGCGAGTCATCAGTGAGCACGCCCTTGAATATCTCGTCGACGTCGTTGCTGTCCATATCGGGAAGCGAATCTCGCACCATGGCATCCAGGTTCACGCCGAGCAGTAGGTCATCTTTGGGAGATATGGTGGACGCTTGCGATGACCCGCCCGTTTCTGTGAATGAGGGTGCTTGTTATACAATTCGAAGCTCAATCTAATCTATCAAACGTTATGTTCAATAAAATCGTAAAAATGGCAGCAGAAATGCCAACTGACACGAATTACAAACTGGAATCGGGAACGGATGTCAAAGTCAAAGTCAAAATGTATTTATTGCATTTCATGAATGTTTACAAGATGTGGTTATCATATTATCCAGTACATCATGTTACCCATTTAGGCTTAGCAATTAAATGATTGATTTAGTAATCAACGTGTAACGGATACAAAAATATTTTTAATTTAAGTTTAAGTCACTGAAGTACTCGTTTAGGCTGTAGTAGCATTTTTTTATTAGTAGGTTCTTTAGGTCTCTGAGGAATATTTTTTTATTTGTTTCTTTTCTTAATACTATTGGTAGTTTATTGAATATTCTTATTGCAGTGCAATATGGGCTATCTCTATACATTGTTGTGCGACATTGAGGTATTTTAATTTTGTATTTATTGATAGTTCTAGGGGGACGCAAGATAGGATTCGAATTTTCAAAAATAATCCAATTATCTTTAANTCCTCTTTGAAGGGCTAACCCTTCTTGAGCGTTCTCTAGCCAAATCATTTCAATACAGTGAAACAAATCTTTACTCTAACTTACCGCTGCTAACAGGCTCAGTCTTCGTAGTATGCACGGCGGGTATCGCCTCAGGCGGCGCGGGCGCTTCTTCTGGCTGAGGGCCCAGTATGGCGTTCTTTAACGCTGTCGAGTCTTCCGTATGCTTCAGATTCCCGTCTTCAGTCTCAGTCTTGATCTTGACTGTGCCGTCTGAGTTGGTGGCGGTTGAGTCGTCCTTTTCTTCTTTTGGTTTGAGAGAGTTGAGGAGTTCTATTTCATCCTGCAGAACAAAAATAATGGTGATGATAAAATGTATTGAATTGACCGCTACCTACTGTTGTATGATACAGTAATAGAAGTTATATCTGAAGTTCTGAGCATCAGATTCAAGAAGTAGAACAAGTTATTTTTCTGAAAGTAATTGATATCATAAATATAAAATAAAAACAGTGACGAACTACATACCGCATTTAGCATAATGACAACCGACTGGTCCAAGTCATTGACAGCATTCAGCATAGAAACAAAGTCTTCCTCATCGGAATCCGAGTTTTCTAGATCCAGTTTGAAGTCTCGAAGTTCACGGTATCCTTCAGGAGTGCCACCGCGCACCGATCCTCCGGGACTTTCTGATGGGTTACCTAAGTTTATAAAATCCCAACTAATATTATAAATGCGAAAGTAACTCTGTCTGTCTGTCTGTCTGTTACGCTTTCCCGCTTAAACCTCGCAACCGATTTTGATGAAATTTGGCATAGAGATAGTTTGAGTCCCGGGAAAGAACATAGGATAGTTTTTATCCCGGTTTTTTAAACAGGGACGCGCGCGATAATGTTTTTCTGTGACAGACAAAATTCCACGCGGGCGAAGCCGCGGGCGGAAAGCTAGTATTCATATAAAAACACGATAATTCATAAACTTTAAAAGCATGGAGTATAAAACAATGTAGAAACAATACCTGTAGACGTGACTGTAGGCTTGCTGGGTTCCAAAAGTTCTTTCCCAAAAAACGCTTCTTGCATGTATGAAGGAAACTGTTCCATCAGTTTTGATCGGGGCTTTCTCCGCGGTTTGCGTTTATTGCCCGGCGACTCTACAAAAAACAACATACATTTATGAGAAAAGTTTTTGAAGAATCCAAATCAAACTGCGTTTACACACGTCTGAGTTAACGTCGTAAACGATCTGCAGTGTTTTTTACTCACATGACACGCCTACAAATGGTCACAATTGCAACATAATGCTTGATTTTCTATAACAAAACTCCCCAACTCACCTCCTTGCGTGCCGTCTCCCTCCTTCTCATCTTCGGCCTGGGCTTTCAACGTCGCCTGTCTCATTCGCACCACAAAACCCCCGATCCCCAGCTTGTTGAGGTTTCTCTGGCGTTTCCGTCGCAGGATAGTAAGGCCGGCGTCGTTGGTGCATATCGTGAAGCCCTCTGGGGGCGGGCCGTCGGTCGCAACGTTCCAGATTATACCCTCTTTCAGGCTGGCGCTTGATGGCAGACCTAAGTTGGAATATTTATTGGAGGTCAGTGGTTTTAAATTGAGTCTACGGATTAGACGTCGAGTTAAATAATAGTTTTTTTCTTTATAAATTAACTAATGGCTCCTAAGAAGTTATCTAGTGTGGTTATAAGTGTAGGTTTATGTCAGTCTGTGGTACTTTGTAGGTAGAATTGTTACGGTAAACACTCATAGAAAAGTACAATATAGGAAATGGTTTAAGGCACACAATTTCAATCTAATCTAATGGAATTTAGATTGTTTGAGAGGTCCGGACTACATTATAAGGTTACTACAAATACAAATCACTTACCAGGTTCCTCTTTAACCTCCGCAGTGCTGTCTGGCTTCGAGTCGTCAGTCATCTCGACGTCGGCGTTTTGAACCACTGTTTCAATAGATGCCATTATTTCTAATCCGACATGACAGCGACAAACACAAAAAACTCGCATTAGAATATTGTGCTCACACAATATTGCTAACTACGCAAGCGGCGGTTAATTTACACGTGCAAAAGCATTTATAGCGACAAAAAAATGTTTTAAGTAAGTAATGCGTTATGCTTTTGAAATAGTTGTTTACTTTACTATCTTTATCTGATAACAATAAGTCATTTAATTAATAGGAGAAAGATTTAACAATTTTAATAAACTACCATTAAAAAAACCGTTTTGTAATTATGACTGTCACATCATAGACTCAAAAGCCTTTTAGAATTAATTAACCCGTTAAAATGTGGCACTGAATATCACATTAGCCTTATAGAAACCGAAGCAAAGAACACCCAGTCAAATACCACATCAAATCCCACAACCACCCAAACACCCGACAAACCTGCGTCTTTTTCAGCGTTGTCATTCTTGAATCGTCTCTTCCTCCTCGTATGGGTTATTCCCAAGTCAGCTTCTAGTTGCTTCATATAGTGTGCGCCGTGTTGGGACAAGCAGACGTCGTCGACATAATACTCGCCGCCCAAGCCGAGGGCCAGGGCAGGGCGAGGTGGGGGGCGCGGCGGCGGCGGCGCCGGCGCGGGCGCCGATTCGATGGCGCGGGTTAAATGCGGCGGCGGTAATTCTCGCCCGCGGCATACTATGCACTTGTACCTGGCGGAGATAATACCAGAGTAAATACAATCTTCATAGAAACGCACGGGCGCGGTTTGTATGTGAGCGCGCCAACACGTATGCGGCGCGCACGCACACACTGACAAAATTTAGCGTGGATTAGCGGGGAGCCAGTCGTGGTTGTGCCGAATTTTGTCAGTGTGTGCGTGCGCGCCGCATACGTATATTGGCGCACTTACATACAAACCGAGCTCGGTGCGTTTCTATGAAGATGACCTACTCATTTGTATTTACTCTGATAATACTGCTGTAGACTACTCTTCAACGACTTTGTACTAAACGGTCTCGATAACATTGTAAAATATAGAATAGATAACTAATTTCATACAGTCCACTCTTTTCATTTATAAACTTCTACTACACACACTATCGAAGTAACATATTTGTCTAACGCTTAACTGAGTGCCTGAGGTATGGGTGTTTTTTGTATCGTCAAATGTCAGCGAGACTTCAATTTCGTGTGATGTCTTGTTTATGTCACCCCTCCCGTGCCGCTCCCATACCTCAGGTACTGACTTAGTTATGCACAAGCTGCGAGAAATTACTCATAAGTAGTGATCCAATCTTCGACTTCACAAATCAATGTGATTCATGCCCGTATCAGGCCTGTTCATCTCCGCGAGTTTACATCGAAAACAAAACACGCACGATGGCCCACCTACAGGATACTATTCGACAAGGCCTCACAAACGAGCGAACATTGACTCACGCACGCGTATTCTTGTGTATGATGGAAGAAAATAAAGAAAATGGTGTATTTAACTGTGCAGTATTTAACTACCTAAATAATAATAAAAACACATAATGTACTTTTTTAAGTTGCCTCAAGATACTGAGAGGTAAATAAGTAGTTAATATTATTCATGATAATTCATGCTAAATCATGTATTTCCTCCGCCATTTTCCGCAGTTTGGCACCTCACGTCACATCATTTTACCGAAGTCAGCTATAGCTTCGGCGCAGTGCCGATCACTGACGTTTGTCAACAAATATGAATACGGGCGTAAGTGTGTTCCTGTTTACTATAAAGATAAGCGTATGTCTTTAATGGTCCTTCGAGCCGGATCGTAGATATTATGTTCGGCTACCCGTAATTCGCCTTTTCTTTTTTATCTGTAGGAACAACTGTACAAGAGTAACACCTCAAATACTGTTAAACTGTCAAGCTCACCCGGCTCGGCAGCACGTCTCGGCGTCGCCCTCGCTGCGGATGGAGTCGCAGGAGGCGTGCAGCCAGCGGTTGCAGGCCTCGCACTGGATGATCAGCTCGCCGTCCGAGTACGGCTCCGAGCACACGCAACACATCACCAGCGACGCGCACGGGGCACACTCTGGGGGGAAACAGTTGAAATTAGTACAAAAATATTCAATAATTTGTTATTAATAACCCAGAGACATTAGAAGTTTAATCGTTATGAACGCTATAGCAGTTCACTGTCCAGGAAAGTGTTAAATATTGCACTAGTGCGCCTACGTCACAAATATTGTCAACTTGCGCAAAGAAGCGGAACATGCCGAGAGAAGGCGGGGGAATACATTAGGATCCGCAATAGTACGCTGATTATTTATCTTTGTGTGCCACGTGGTGGCGCGACGTCAGCACTCAAATAAATATAAATAAATAAATATCTTTGGACAATCTCACACAGCGCCATCTAGCCCCAAAGTAAGCAATTAATATGCTTGTGTTATGGGTGCTAGCTTAACGGATATACTAATTTTATAAATAAAATGATTGTCTTGACGACTTGAATCTTCGTCAAGGCGGTTACACACTGCACGGCGCTCCGTCGCAAATTCTGCGAGGAACGGGGTATGGCGGGGGTGGCGGATGATGAACACATGTGGACGCAGCTAGTGACGTCACGTACCCGTGTAGTTGTCGCACCAGGCCAGCGTGTCGCGGGTGCCGCACACGAGGCAGCGGCGGCAGCGCTCGCAGCGCCACGGGCCGCGCGGCACGTCGGCGAGCGGCGGCGCTAGCTAGTGACGTCACGTACCCGTGTAGTTGTCGCACCAGGCCAGCGTGTCGCGGGTGCCGCACACGAGGCAGCGGCGGCAGCGCTCGCAGCGCCACGGGCCGCGCGGCACGTCGGCGAGCGGCGGCGCTAGCTAGTGACGTCACGTACCCGTGTAGTTGTCGCACCAGGCCAGCGTGTCGCGGGTGCCGCACACGAGGCAGCGGCGGCAGCGCTCGCAGCGCCACGGGCCGCGCGGCACGTCGGCGAGCGGCGGCGCTAGCTAGTGACGTCACGTACCCGTGTAGTTGTCGCACCAGGCCAGCGTGTCGCGGGTGCCGCACACGAGGCAGCGGCGGCAGCGCTCGCAGCGCCACGGGCCGCGCGGCACGTCGGCGAGCGGCGGCGCTAGCTAGTGACGTCACGTACCCGTGTAGTTGTCGCACCAGGCCAGCGTGTCGCGGGTGCCGCACACGAGGCAGCGGCGGCAGCGCTCGCAGCGCCACGGGCCGCGCGGCACGTCGGCGAGCGGCGGCGCTAGCTAGTGACGTCACGTACCCGTGTAGTTGTCGCACCAGGCCAGCGTGTCGCGGGTGCCGCACACGAGGCAGCGGCGGCAGCGCTCGCAGCGCCACGGGCCGCGCGGCACGTCGGCGAGCGGCGGCGCTAGCTAGTGACGTCACGTACCCGTGTAGTTGTCGCACCAGGCCAGCGTGTCGCGGGTGCCGCACACGAGGCAGCGGCGGCAGCGCTCGCAGCGCCACGGGCCGCGCGGCACGTCGGCGAGCGGCGGCGCTAGCTAGTGACGTCACGTACCCGTGTAGTTGTCGCACCAGGCCAGCGTGTCGCGGGTGCCGCACACGAGGCAGCGGCGGCAGCGCTCGCAGCGCCACGGGCCGCGCGGCACGTCGGCGAGCGGCGGCGCTAGCTAGTGACGTCACGTACCCGTGTAGTTGTCGCACCAGGCCAGCGTGTCGCGGGTGCCGCACACGAGGCAGCGGCGGCAGCGCTCGCAGCGCCACGGGCCGCGCGGCACGTCGGCGAGCGGCGGGCGCGCGCAGTAGGTGTGCCACGTGGTGTCGCAGTCGTCGCACAGCAGCAGCAGGTTGTCGTCGCCGCGGCTGCCGCAGCCCTCGCACACCGTGCAGTCCAGGCAGCGCCAGCCCAACGTCACTATCACTTGGGACACCTGACGAACGAAACATTTTTTAAGTTGATTCTGTTGTTGACATTGATAACGCTCCAGCAAGCCACTAGCGTCTTTCGAGCGTCGTTTTGCCAGCGCCCGCGCAGCACTGGTTTCGCTTCACCGCGACAATAATGATGATCGGCTACTGAATGCGGGATCTACGCAGCACTAGCGTCGAGTCCGCATGGCGTCAACGCAACGTGTTTTTCGATTTCGTGTTACGTTCACGCCGCGCAGGCGCTGGCGAGACGACGACGATCGCAAGTCGCTAGTTTGGGGAGGCTAAAATATTTATTGGCTTAAAATCAATTACAATGAGATGGGCTGAGTATGGGGCAAAATAAAACATTTTGTTGTTGCGCACATAAGCTGCATTAGTTTCCGAGTGTTGACATCCCAATACATACCTTAATGTTAACGCAATAAGGATGATACGTCTGTCCGCACTGCGCGCACGCAATGAGGCAGCCCTCGGAGTCGGTTCCGACGGCGCCACACATCACGCACACATCTTGCGTCAGCACGAACTTGTCTTTGCTCGAACAGAGCACCAGTTTGTTCTCCATTGCTGTAACATAAGAAAAAGTTATAGATGGATGCATAACATTTTAGAACATATTGACTCATGTTCACTACTATAGATCGTTTCATCCACGAAGACGCGCCCTACCACTTTTTGGGCGAATTTCGTAATGTAATCTCTTCGTCGGAAATTTCAGTCACTGTACTTACAATATTCTGTGTTCGTGTAAGGCTGCTCTGATTCGTTTTAATGAGGGTTTTCGCGTATGAAAATTCCACTAGATGGCAAGACGTAGATATGAGGTCTAACTGCTATAGTTCCAAAATACTGGACTGTCCTGTCGATGACATTGACAGTGGGGCGCCACCGTCAATACCGGATCGCTGGTTCAGATTTTTGCCATGTTGGAAACCATATAGTTGAACGATGGTAGCGCCCCCCTGTCATTGAGTTTGGCGGGACAGTTCAGCGTGGGTCATCTATACGTGATTGGTGAATTTTGACATATCTGTCAATGTCATGTCAAAAATAACCAATCATGCAGCATTTAGACCTCACGTCTACGTATTGCCATCTAGCAGATTTTTCATACGCGAAAACCCTCATTTATTTATTTATTTCCATGTCCAACGTCGCCAATTAATAAGTCTTCGTGGATGAAACGATCTATAAAACAATGGTCTATTACACATACCTGGATCGTCTTCGGAAGTCTTATTGTCAGGCGCCTGCGGCCTCTGCAGCCCCAGGCCAGGCACTCCAAACACCCCCCTCATCTTAGGCTTGGATCCCCTCTTCCGGCCAAAATCGAGCACCGAGCGCTGTCGCTTCTGGAACCCGAGCTTGCCCGCGGGAGGGAACCCACCCTTCAACTTGTAACCACCAATTTTCTTCTTAGCTATCTTTGAGGACACCGAAAAAGGCTTGCCTTTTCCTAGACCCACGTCCGGCTGAAATAGAGAACATTTATTTTATACGCGTCGAAAATTTCCATAAAAAGAGGCTTGATAAAAGTAGCTGTTACATACTTTAGGTTCAATAGCAAGGGGATCCGTTTCTTGCTGCGAATTTTCATCCCCAAATGAGGAATCTTGGGATGTTGATGCTGCAGTGTCATCGTCAAAGGCTGCAATAACACATTCACATGTTAAACTTGCTTCAAAACAAAAATTAAATAAAGATGAAATAAGGATAACTTACATCCGGATTTGACACTCGGCAGAGGCAGATGAGTTTTGCATATTGGACAGTTGTATTCATACAGAGGATTTTGATCCTTCTTGAGCTTGTGTTGCTGCGGTTCCGCTTCGGGGTCACACGTTCCGTGAACATACCTACAATGAAAAATGGAATTAAATTGTTTTCGTAGCAAAGATAGCAAGTTATATGTTATAGCGCGTAGTTGAGTATGTTCCTACTTCCTGCGGTAGAGTTGTGTAAACGGGTATTCTTTTATGTCAAAACGTTAGCGAGACTTTTGATGAGATGTGCTTCAGTCAGATCAAACATGTATGCCGTGACAGCTCTGTTACGTCACATGTCTCCCCTTTCCACACAGATCCATCACCGCGAGAACTTACACAGTTAGGCAAAAAGTGGACAGTACCCTGTAACACCCCAAGAGGTGTTTTTGATCGCTCCAAAAATTAAATCGTTCATGGAGCGAAGCAACCCCATACAATAAAAAGGTACTATACATACTGCCTGCTGAGTGAAGGCCTCTCGAAATCACATATTTTCATGCAGAACAAGGCAGGTATTTGAGCACAGTCGCACCTGATGTTAAGTGAGATGAAGACGTCTATTCTAGATACTGCCACATTTTGCCATTTGTCCAAGGGGGCTGAGCCGTGTAAAGTTCGGTCGCAGAGCAGTCCTTATCACTCGCACGTAATTAATTATATTGATGTCGCGACTATGCGACGAGCGGGCCGCTGTGAGTGTGACGCGAGCGATAAGGATGGGTAGCTTGGGGTCATTGGACGATATTCTGCTCGGCGATCGGACTTCAGTGTTAGGCCCGGTTTTTTGATTCGTAGTTAAAATAACCAATAGTCAAATTTGACAGATGTCAAATGACAAGTGGTTAAATATCAGAAAAAAATGATAATCGAACAATGGTTAGCTTGACTTTTAGTACATTTTTTAACTATTAGTTAACATTCTGTTAATATTTAACCATTAGTAACAAAATTTAACAATATGTTATTTTAACTATGAATCAAAAAACTGGGCCTTAGTTACCTCTTGCAAGTGATGCAGCGGATCATATCGCGGTAGGCGGCGGCGCGGTAGGCGCGGCGGCAGAGCGGGCAGCAGGAGCCCTTGTTGCGCTGCTGGTAGCACGAGTCGCAGACCGTGTAGTGCGCGTGCCAGCGCGACGACGGGCCCGCGCCGGGCGAGCGCGCGCCGCAGTCGGAACACACGCGGCAGCACTGCCGAATGTTACGCGGTTTTATTTTTGTTGAACGATACTCGATTTTAAGCAGTTGTATTTTCGCTTTGACATGAAAGTGATTCTCAAACATAACTATCAATAGTAGCGATACAAACTTTTCAACACAAAAATGTATACAAAAAATAACTTTGCTGTTCGACATGGAATGAATTTTAATTTTATTAATTTTGACTAATAAGAGCTTCGCATTTACATTCATTAATAGCCGCCACTGGCAAGTATTGTCCAGTTATTCGACTGTAGTGCCGAACACTAGTGACCGTAAATGCAGTCCTCATAGTTTCAACTTTTATAATCTTCTGATCAAAGTCGTCATTACAAGACAGTCCTCTAGTCTACTGAACCTCTGATTGGGTTTTACTGGAGGCCTGACTGTAGATCCTGGCTATAAAATTGTTGTAGTAGGGAAAAAGAGTGGTGGGATTAGGCCTTCTCCACACTAGTATCTTTCGAACGGAACGCAACAGCGGGTTGAGAGAGAGGGTTGCGTTACTTGCTCGAAAAATAATTGTATTGGCTGGGGCAAGACATGCTCAAAAGTAAGTTTTTTATAAGTACTCTTGTAACCTTTGTTCATACACAATAAAGACTATTACTTATTACTTTAAAGACGTTAGTGTTGTGGCTGTCTTACCTTGCACTTCCAGCCATATTTAGGCACAGTGGCCATAACGGGGCGCAAACACAGCGCGTGGTAGCTTGTCGCAGAGCTCACAGACCCATTGGCGTATCTAAAGCTATTTTTCAGAGGGGGCCTTGACATAAAGCAGCGGCACGATCTAGCCCTCACTATACATACCTTACACTTCCAGCCATATTTAGGCACAGTAGCCATGACGGGGCGTAGACACAANATATTCTAGATACTGCCACATTTTGCCATTTGTCCAAGGGGGCTGAGCCGTGTAAAGTCCGGTCGTCGAGCAGTCCTTATCACTCGCACGTAGTTATATTGATGTCGCGACTATGCGACGAGCGGGCCGCAGTGAGTGTGACGCGAGCGATAAGGATGGGTAGCTTGGGGTCATTGGACGAAATTCTGCTCGGCGATCGGACTTTAGTGTTAGTTACCTCTTGCAAGTGATGCAGCGGATCATATCGCGGTAGGCGGCGGCGCGGTAGGCGCGGCGGCAGAGCGGGCAGCAGGAGCCCTTGTTGCGCTGCTGGTAGCACGAGTCGCAGACCGTGTAGTGCGCGTGCCAGCGCGACGACGGGCCCGCGCCGGGCGAGCGCGCGCCGCAGTCGGAACACACGCGGCAGCACTGCGGAATGTTACGCGGTTTTACTTTTCCACACAATAGTCAACGTTGGAAGATGTGTACCGGCCAAACGTTGCCCGGTTGGACGATAACGAACACTACCAGTCGCAACACAGTTGTTACTTAGTGGCGGGTAGGGGACGGAATCTGATACATTTTGCCACCCTCATTATTTGCTTATTCAATAGTACTTTTTACTGTTAATATAATTTATGTAAAACTACCTATGTGTAAACAATTAATGCAAACTTACTGATAAGTTATGTTTTTGTTAATTAGTTAGTAAGAATAATGGATGGCTCAATAAAAATATTTTTGATTTTGATTTGAACTTATGGACTTGATTTTTTACTATCGATACTCTTTTTTAAGTGTGATCCGACGACCTAAATATGACAATCGATAGAGAAGACAGGATCTAGTATCTAAGTCAAGAAAAGGTATTTTTTTAAAGGGGACCTGACTGAAGATCATGGCTGTGGCGGATTTACCAGCAGGCTGAGTACGCTGAAGCCTAGGGTGGCAAATTTTAAATGGGCGGCAGATTTAGTTCGTAGGTAATTTATTTCGATTTACAAAATTAATAAAAAATACACACAAAATACAAATTTCGGAAATGGGAGAGAAATTAAAATATTATTATCATCAAAAATCGAACTGATTAGACTGGCCTAGAAAGCTTTATTCATATGTTATATTCCCCCCTTGAACAGCCTACAGGCGGCAAATTTATAAATTCGCCACTATATTATCACATTCATTATGGCTTGAAGATTCAAAAATTGCAGTGCAACGCATCAGCAGAGTGAAAAAGCGTTGCGTTGGTACCACGCGGACGTTAACCCGGCGCCGTCAACGCTGCACAGGCACTGATAAGACGACAAATTAGTGTGGGGGCTGTCTTACCTTGCACTTCCAGCCATATTTAGGCACAGTAGCCATAACGGGGCGCAGACACAACGCGTGGTAGCTCGTCGCAGAGCTCGTAAGCCCATGGCATAATTATCTTGGGCTATTTTTCAGGGGGGCAGCAGCACGACCTAGCTCCTACTATACATACCTTGCACTTCCAGCCATATTTAGGCACAGTGGCCATAACGGGGCGCAGACACAGCGCGTGGTAGCTCTTGTCGCAGTGCTCGCAGGCCCATGGCTTATCTACGGCTATTTTTCAGGGAAGCCGGCCCTTGACATAATGCAGCGGGCACGACCTAGCCCTCACTATACATACCTTGCACTTCCAGCCGTACTTGGGCACAGTAGCCATGACGGGGCGCAGACACAGCGCGTGGTAGCTGGTCGCAGAGCTCGTAAGCCCATGGCATAATTATCTTGGGCTATTTTTCAGGGGGGCAGCAGCACGACCTAGCTCCTACTATACATACCTTGCACTTCCAGCCATATTTAGGCACAGTGGCCATAACGGGGCGCAGACACAGCGCGTGGTAGAGCTTGTCGCAGAGCTCACAGACCCATTGGCGTGTCTAGGGCTATTTTCATAATGGCCTTGACATGAAGCGGCACGATTTAGCTGTCACAATACATACCTTGCACTTCCAGCCATATTTAGGCACAGTGGCCATAACGGGTCGCAGACACAACGCGTGGTAGCTGGTCGCAGAGCTCGTAAGCCCATGGCATAATTATCTTGGGCTATTTTTCAGGGGGGCAGCAGCACGACCTAGCTCCTACTATACATACCTTGCACTTCCAGCCATATTTAGGCACAGTGGCCATAACGGGGCGCAGACACAGCGCGTGGTAACTTGTCACAGTTCTCGCAAGGCTATAAGGCTAATGACGTATCTAGGGCTATTTTCATGATGGCCTTGACATGAAGCAGCGGCACGATCTAGCCCTCACTATACATACCTTGCACTTCCAGCCATATTTAGGCACAGTAGCCATAACGGGGCGCAGACACAGCGCGTGGTAGAGCTTGTCGCAGTGCTCGCAGGCCCATGGCTTATCTACGGCTATTTTTCAGGGAAGCCGGCCCTTGACATAATGCAGCGGGCACGACCTAGCCCTCACTATACATACCTTGCACTTCCAGCCGTACTTGGGCACAGTAGCCATGACGGGGCGCAGACACAGCGCGTGGTAGCTGGTCGCAGAGCTCGTAAGCCCATGGCATAATTATCTTGGGCTATTTTTCAGGGGGGCAGCAGCACGACCTAGCTCCTACTATACATACCTTGCACTTCCAGCCATATTTAGGCACAGTAGCCATAACGGGGCGCAGACACAGCGCGTGGTAGCTTGTCACAGTTCTCGCAAGGCTAATGACGTATGAAGGGCTATTTTTCAGAGGAGTGGGGGGCCTTGACATAAAGCAGCGGAGCCCGTGAATTGAAGCAGCAGCAGCGCGACCTAGCTCCTATTATACCTTGCACTTCCAGCCATATTTAGGCACAGTAGCCATAACGGGGCGCAGACACAGCGCGTGGTAGAGCTTGTCGCAGTGCTCGCAGGCCACGGCGCGCGCGTCCGCTGGAGACGCCTCGCCGCGGCACACCTGGCACACGCGGCACATGCGGCAAGACCAGCCGGAGCGCACCCCTGGCACATAACAATCGTCATTAGGTCAAGAAAAGTACAGGAAGACGATTCTCTCTACTCTAACTAATTTAACAAAGGCAAATGGAAGATTAATGCCCGTTTTCACCATCAATCCTTAAAGTTTTCATAGGGTCACTTAAAAATTAGATATTGATGGTGAAAACGGGCATAATACTCGTTTTCACCATCAATCCCTAATTTTTAAGTGACCCCTATGGTATTACATAACAGGAATTTTGTTTTCATAGGGGTTTGATTGATTGGTGAAAACTGGCGTCAGCCTACACTCCCAAATGGTTTGGGGAAGCCTTATATATTATATTATAGGATAATATGTCGTCGGGCAACGAAATTTTGAAGGAACATTAAACTTTTTAATCGACGGGGACACGACCGTTTTGCCAAGAGGGAAACGACTTAAAAAAAGAATCTCTTGGACCTTACAAATCGGCGCGCGAACATAGTGACTATTTTCATCGCAAAACGAAATCGCATCGCCCTCTTGCACAACAGAAGGTTGTAAGACAACATTAACTGTATTGAAAATAAATATCAAAGCAGCAGCTTTTTGCAATCCGATTTATCACACCCACACACCTTTCTAATGATGTCATAAAAAATAAAATAAAATGAAACTTTTTTTATATGTGCATAAACTAACTGCTCAGTAAAAAACCCTTTATCAATCTCCATAACCCACATATCCATGGATTTCAATTCGGTCAAATAAAACCACTAACAAGTACCTATTCGTGTTATCAACACAGTTCTGAAAGTCTAGTAATTTCCTGGGGTCATTGACCTAGTTGCTTTAAATTCCAATTTACAGCACCGGCGGTATTATGCGTCACGTTTAATTTAATTATTCTCACTGGAATCTTCCTCAGTAAAAGTGCCTTGAATATTACTAAAATATTTTTGGGCACAACTTTCCAAAGACAATCACATATTAGTTAACATCATTTATAAATAAATAAAGCCTTTTTATACCTAAACATGTAATAGCCATAAAACGCCAAACAAAGAACAAATATGTACTATACTAGCTGTTGCCCGCGGCCACGGTAATACTATCTATACAGTATGCCAACTCGGCCATATTTTTGAAAAAAATGTCAACAGCCCCGCGGTACGTCACGGTATGACAACAGCGATAGGGCTGCACATGCTTACCTACAGTACCCATTCTAATAAAATTACATCTGTCTACTTAGAATTTCTATCTACACTCGCGAGCAAAAGTATGGAATCACCCCATTCGTTTTGAGTAATCTTTGTAGCTAAACGACTATGAAGATTAAATTAAAAATGGTACCAGTTTAAAGGTTACATTACAAACTTTAACTTAATACCATAGATGCATAGATAGTCATTGAGTTCTTCAGATCGTTGGGAACAAAACACAAGATGGTGATTCCATACTTTTGCTCGTAAGTATAGTTTTGTGATTGTATTTTTTTTTATTTAGACAAACAAAATACTTTGTGAATGGAATAGGATAAAAATGCGTGTTGTTTTGTGATTAGTAGATTTAATTTAAAAAAATATACTAAAATAATTTTGAATCTACTAATGATAATGAGTACTTAATGACCTTTTACTTTAATTTCAGGCGGGCGAAATCGTTGGCAAAAGCTGGTTTTATACAATATATGTGGGAGTGTGAAACGGAACGCAAGGGAGTGAGTGAGACGGAATGAATGAGTGAGGAAGTAAGAACGACGGGATTTTAAACAGAAGACTGTACGGAAGACGATTAGTATTAAGNGAGCTTGTCGCAGTGCTCGCAGGCTACAGCGCGCGCGTCCGCTGGAGACGCCTCGCCGCGGCACACCTGGCACACGCGGCACATGCGGCAAGACCAGCCGGAGCGCACCCCTGGCACATAACAATCGTCTTTATTAGGTCAAGTCAAGACTCAAGTACAGGAGGACGATTCTCTCTAATTTAACAAAGGCAAATGGAAGATTAATGCCCCTTTTCACCATCAATCCTTAAAGTTTTCATAGGGTCACTTAAAAATTAGATATTGATGGTGAAAACGGGCATAATACTCGTTTTCACCATCAATCCCTAATTTGTAAGTGACCCCTATGGTATTACATAACAGGATTTTGTTTTCATAGGGGTCACTTAAAAATTAGGGATTGATGGTGAAAACTGGCGTCAGCCTACACTCCCCAATGGCTTGGGGAAGTCTGATGTTTGCATAATAATATGTCGTCGAGGTTTTAAAAGCAAAATTAAACGTTTAATCGACGTGGACACGACCGTTTTGCCAAGAGGGAAACGACTTAAAGGAAGAATCTCTTGGACCTTACAAATCGGCGCGCGAACATAGTGACTCTTCATCGCAAAACGAAATCACATCGCCCTCTTGCACACGAACAGAAGGTTGTAAGACAACATTAACTGTATTGAAAATAAATATCAAAGCAGCAGCTTTTTGCAATCCGATTTATCACACCCACACACCTTTTTAATGATGTCATAAAAAAATAAAATATAATGAAACTTTTTTTTATAGGTCCATAAACTAAGCTCAGTAAAAAATACCCTTTTCTATCTCCATAACCCACATATCCATGGATTTCAATTCGATCAAATAAAACCACTAACAAGTACCTATTCATGTTATCAACACAGTTCTGAAAGTCTAGTAATTTCCTGGGGTCATTGACCTAGTTGCTTTAAATTCCAATTTACAGCACCGGCGGTATTATGCGTCACGTTTAATTATTCTTACTGGAATCTTCCTCAGTATAAGTGCCTTGAATATTACTAAAATATTTTTGGGCACAACTTTCCAAAGACAATCACATATTAGTTAACATCATTTATAAACAAATAAAGCCTTTCTATATCTTATTCATGTAACAGCCATAAAACGCCAAACAAAGAACAAATATGTACTATACTAGCTGTTGCCCGCGGCCTCACCCGCGTGAAGTTTAGTTTCTCACAGATCGTCATAAATTATAGCCTATATGTTAATCTGGGTTATGAACAATAATACTGTAAAATTTCAACAAAAGTTTTTGCGTGAAAGAGTAACAAACATCCAGACATCATGACATCCAAACTTTCGCGTTTATAATAGTAGGAATAGTAGGATTAATGGTGAGTAATTTTTTTATGCAGATATCTGCTTCTTTTACGCATACAGAGGTCAAAACGATCTTTTTTTTGTTATTAAACTGAATCATACCTGGCAACTGGGCTAAGCCGACGCAAGTCCCGTGATAGTGCGCGCCACACGTCACGCATGTCATGAGGTTGGCTATATCGCCGATCGTCCTACACGTCCTGCAGTCGATATCAGCGGGACCTAACACGAAACCAATGTGTTATTTACGTATTTTCAATAAAAAAATAGAATTTACGTGTGAAATAATACTCACAAACAAGTGGCACTTGATACAAATGGTCCTTGCAGAAAGAAGATTTCGTCTGGAAGTCCATGTAACCCCCAGACGCGAGAACACACGGTAGGTGGAAGTACTTACTGCAACTCATCTGCAAAAAAACATCATTATGTATCATTAATCAGATAGGCTATAAGGCCCGGTTTCCACCAAGGCAGTGCGGAGCGGAGAAGCGTTTTGAATAACTAATCGGATTTAATTATTTCCACATCTTTTCTCCGCGCCGCCGCCGCCGTTAAATTCTCTAGAAAAATTCCTTCTCCCGACACATCTCCTCTCTGCTCCGCCTTGGTAGAAATAGGGTCTTAACCTTCGAATAAGTTTTGTCATAGACCATCTAACCGTCTTACCTTACAAGGAATACTAGCACCATGTCGCGTACAAAAGGCACATTTCCTCGACAAGGCAGCAGTGACTATGCCCTTGACCCGCGCCTCCTCCAACTGATCTTTATCTTCGTCAGCGTTGGCGACCACTTGGTCGTGGAAGGGCGGGCTGAACTCAAGGCAGCATCGGTGCAGGTAGAAAGCCCCGGAGGACACTACCCCTGTTAATTCTAATGATTCTACGTGTCCAATTATTGACAGTTCGTCAGTATGCTCCATGTTGTATAGAGGTGTTCTGAAACAAGGTGTTTTATGTAGAATTTTTACAAAAAGTGACGGTTTGGAAAACAGGAACAGTAAGCCTAGGCGCAGACCACCGATTTTTAGTTGGCCGATAGTTGGGCCCGATTTTAATTTGTTTGAAAGAAGAATCGGCCGATACCAAATCGGTGTAGTGTCAGGCCTGTTCATCTCCGCGAGTTTACATCGAAAACAAAACACGCACGATGGCCCACCTACAGGATACTATTCGACAAGGCCTCACATACGAGCGAACATTGACTCACGCACGCGTATTCTTGTGTATGATGGAAGAAAATAAAGAAAATGGTGTACTAAATACTGTGCAGTATTTAACTGCCTAAATAATAATAAAAACACAGAATGTACTTTTTTAAGTTGCCTCAAGACACTGAGAAGTAAATAAGTAGTTTATATTATTCATGATAATTCATGCTAAATCATGTATTTCCTCCGCCATTTTCCGCAGTTTGGCACCACCTCACGTCACATCATTTTACCGAAGTCAGCCCTATAGCTTCGGCGCAGTGCCGATCACTGATGTTTGTCAACAAAATGGTGCTTGACTCTTGAGACAGGCTAAATTACACCATATTGTTAATGACATTGAGCATACATTTTTTTAAATACCTTCGCGAAGTAAAACTTCTGTACGTAGTACTTATTATTATTCTGTGGTAGTGTGCGCACTTTCACACGTCATGCCCATACTGATAAACAGCCCGACCCAACTATCGGCCAGCTAAAAGTCAGTGGTCTGCGCCTAGGCTAAAACAAAAAAATATGCAAACGTTATTAAAGGAACATAATTATGCCTCTTGTTACTCACTTGCATTTGGCGAAAGCCTTCTGCCGTCTACTTAAAGGTAGTGCTGCCGGTTGTTGGGTAGGATCTACAAGTTCCGGGGGCGGGGAGGCCAGCCCGGGGGGCACTGGGGTGGACGGGGTGCTCGTGGGGGTCGCCGCGCTCGTGGGGGTCGCGCCCCCAGAGTTGGACACTCCTGGCGTGGTGCTTCCATCTCCTTCATTGATGTTACACAGAATCTGCTTCATTTCGCCTTGGCCCAGCTGACTGCGCTCGCTAAGGTTGCAAAGAGCGCACACTTTCCCTGGCCTAGAATAGAGAATGTAATGAGATTTTTTTTTTGTGATATAATGAATTTGAGAAGAAAGTGAAGTACCAACCATTTTTCAGGCATAAAAGGCGGTTCTTCCGGAGCTGGCATGGTAAAGTCGTCCTCTTCCATCCCTTCCTCGAGAACATCGTCGCGGCTGCCGCGGTGTCTCTTCGCCCCTCTCACAGAGCCAGGGTTTCTATACCTAAAAAATAATACTCATGAGACTTGTCCTTGTCATAAAAATCGTCTAATGAATTTGAGCTATCAATTCAAAGTATTTATTAGTAAAGAATAAATAAAACTTCAACGGTGGCCTATTTTTCTGATTCTGATTCGTATAAATCAACAAAAAAGACAGGGAAAGGCTCTAGAACTCAGTTGCGTACTTTCAATCAGTGTACTTGTATGAGCCTGCTACAGTCACACTCACAGCTCACTATTATTGTTACTTACATTAACACACATAGCACTAAGGCCTGCTATACACGGACAGCTTAAAGCAGTTAGTGTCGGCAGCTTCAAGCTGCGACTGCATAGCAAACTACGGAAACAGTTGTAACTACTTGAGCGGTTCTGTGTATGTGTGTACGTAGTGTACTGTAGTTTGCTATGCAGTCGCAGCTTGATAGCAGCAGTAAAAATACTAAAAGCTCCAGTCACCTCCTAACAATCTTGCCCTCTTTGACCAACTTGGGGCCTTCCTTGCGCGGCCTGCCGGGCCCCCGGCGGGCCGACGTGAAGAAGGGCCTCGCGTAGGGCTGGTGGTGGAAGAACGACGGCTGCGGCACCCCGCCGTGCGGCGACGCCGGCTCCTCGCCGCGCGGCGACGAAGCGCACGAGGTCGGCGTCGACCCCGGCCCTGCGTAGAAATCTGTCGAGGGGTTAACATGGGCTAAAGCCCGGTCAGTGAGCACGTAGAATTTTGTCCAATGACCCCAAGCTACCCATCCTTATCGCTCGCGCGTAATTATGTTGCTGTCGCGCTCGCACACTCACTGCGGGCGCCCGTTGCAGTCACGACAGCAATATAATTACGCGCGAGCGATAAGGATGGGTAGCTTGGGGTCATTGGACAAAATTCTACGTGCTCACAGACCAGACTATAGCTACGATAATTGACAAACACTACAGCTAATGATTTGATGTTTATTGTCTGTGGTGCACATCTTTTCATAAAGTTAGGTTACTAAACCTTTGATTGTCACCTATCGTCCGCTTTGCAATGGAGCTAAGTTGAACCTTAACTTCGAACTCATCCTATGTTCTTCTGATTAATTTTGTTGCGGGTCCAATGACAGTTTAACTTTCTCCCGGGACAAACTTGACCTTCACTGGTTGGGTTTTTATTGGCAGTCAAGCTGTAGATCCTGTCTACATAGAAGTTGCAGCGGTGGGTACATATTTGTAATTTTTGTGTGGTGTGAACCCCGGTCCTGTGTAGTAATCTGACAGAAAGGTTAAGACAGCCAGCCAGGATATTGAAAAATACTACAGATTCTTAGTGATAAGACTGCCTACCTAAATTATGTTGTTTTAATTTACTGGAACTGTTGTGTATGGTTAAATGGTTATACAAGTTGAGATATAGAAGTTTAGTTTGTTTCACCTAGGCTTACTATTTACACAAAGTCAGAGCAGCATGCTCAATCAAAATATGGGAAAGTAAAAAGTTTGTCGTGTGAAACATATTTTTTATATTATGATAGGTATAAGAATAAATAGATACAGGTACCTATCAGTTGTCTCAACACTCTGCCAACAGTTGCATCTAAACAACAATTTTACTAAGAAATTCATAAAAAAACATTCAGACTTTTATTCAAATCAGGAAGATCCAATATTTATCATGTTAATTGATCACCTTTTGCACATAATCATTTCACAAGAGTGACCACATTTATCGTAGAAATCATAGGTACACATTAGGTTCATAGGTACATTATAAGATTATATCATTTATTATTAAATGTAGTTAATTATTTGTATAGAATGAGATGCAAAATTTCAGAAAAACCAGTACTACATGGCTTTTACACCTATACATGACCTAAGCAATACTTTGGACAACTACATGTCTAATTCTTTCAGTACCTCATGATGACTTGGTGTGATTACAGTGATGACCTCATTTACAGCTAAAACCAAAAATATTGGAGTCCAAGGACATTAACAACATTGGACCACACAACTCAATATGCCAAATTAATCTTCAAATAAGCATTTCCTCAGCATATTTTGATCTGGACATGTAAAAGAGGTGAAATAATGTAATGTCAAACAAGATAGTAAACAAAGTTGGTGGATTTTTCCACAAAATGTAATTAAAATATTCATCATCAAAATTCTTGACATGGGTATGATTATCATCAGTCACCCAAAGTTAAACAACCAAAGTGCTCAAATAAACAATAGATCAAGGGCTCAGGCGATAGGGAGTGGAGTTATCTGGCGTACCTGAAGACGGCGGGGCTTCGCCTTCATCCTCCGAGCCGTCGTCACCGAGGAGTTCTACATCCAGGACACCCTCATCCGGTACGTCCATCTACGACACAATTTCGCTTATAATACACAAAAACATACAAACACTACAAGTTTTTTGGTTATGACGAAATTATTTCCCAAAGCATCAAAGTAATGTAAATGAAGACCGCCATAGTGAACGACAAGTGGATTCCAAACTAAACTTTGTAACTCACCGCATACGATTGCGACGGACGCGAAATGAGTTAACTTCACGAAAATAAACTTGTTACAGAAGTAAAACGCATCGTTTAAATATATTTTACATTACAACACAAAAACTAATGAAAATAACGCGACATTCGTCGTGATCGCGAACGAAGCGCACAATATAATAGTGTTGTACCAAAATTATCTCATTATTGAAACGTTTCGATTTTAAATCGATTAGAATAATTATTAGTTTTACTTGAAAACAAGGTAAAGATGTTTTGTTTATGAATAAATTTATTCATTCTTTATTGGAATCTTTTAAAAATAATTTTTAATTTATTATTTATATAAGTTAGTACTTTGTGTTATTCATAATAAATAAGACTAGTAGGAAACGGAACGTTGCTGGGATCGCTGACGTGTTCACGTTTCCCACCACAACAACAATGGTTTACTTTGATGTGTCAATGTGTGTGTAGTTTGAAGAGATTCAGTGAAATAAAAACGTGTCATTTTATAAGCTATAAGAATTAATTTTCTCGTATAAAACACAATGAATTATTTAATTTTTGTAACGCTTATAATATCTTTAATTACCCATAGCAAATGTACATTATTTGAGAGTGATTCTTGTTACTCATTTGGCAGCGGCAATGTTTTTCCCGGTGGAGCCAGAAAAATAGATCATAAACTTCAATTTACTAAAGCTATGAGTGAGTTATATTAAAAGGTTTATTTTTATGATAATATAAAATATGAATATGCAATTCTGAGTTATTTTTATTCTTGGTTCTCAACTTAAATGATGTTTTCTTTTATCTCAGTCTCAAAGCCGGCACCTGAGTGGGAGGCCACAGCAGTTATTGATGGGGAAATAAAACAATTATCTCTATCCAGTTTCAAAGGAAAATATTTAGTATTCTTCTTTTATCCTTTGGATTTGTAAGTATTTAGAAAAATACTTGTTCTAGTAAATACCATTGAATTGCTTAGTATTAATCAAAGAGATAAAAATATTTTATCACAGTATAAGTAATTATATTTGATATTATCTGTTATCACAATAATTTTGATTATATAATTTCATTAACTTCCTTTTTTTCAGCACATTTGTATGTCCTACTGAGATTCTCGCATTCTCAGAGAGAATTGAAGAGTTCAAAAAAATTAATACTGAAGTAGTAGCTTGTTCTGTTGATTCACATTTTACACATCTGGCTTGGATCAACACTCCTCGAAAAGAGGGTGGGCTTGGCAAAATAAATATTCCACTTTTAAGTGATCTTACTCATTCAATTGCTAAGGATTATGGAGTATATTTAGAAGATTTAGGGCACACATTGAGAGGTTTATTTATTATCGATGAAAAAGGCATTTTAAGACAAATAACCATGAATGATTTACCTGTTGGGCGTTCAGTAGATGAGACACTCAGATTAGTACAAGCTTTTCAATATACTGACAAGCATGGAGAAGTGTGCCCAGCAGGTTGGAAACCAGGACAAGACACGGTGAGAATCTCATATTATCGTAGTAATAAGTTTGCTATATCACATGGTAGGTACATAATACTAGCAGCAAATTAGCTCCATTAACTAATTTGGTATTCTACTAGCTACTTAAATGACTTCATGGCATTTCGTCAAATTAAATAGTGTTTGGTTAATAGTATGATGAATTCCTTATAATCTACACGATTTCTAAAATTAATGGTCAAAGGGAGGGTTTATTCAAAAACATTTTTTTTTTCAGATAATTCCAAACCCTGATGAGAAAAAGAAGTATTTTGAAAAGGTGGCTAAAAATAAACAAGCCTAAGATTAAGTTCTAAATCTTTACCCACCCACATAGATTCATGATCGAAGCTGTTTTGACGAAAATGAAAAAGGGTTTGGGAAATTTAATTGGTATAATTAATTTTGTTCATACTTTCTACAAAATCATTCCAAACAAAAAATTACAGGATATTCCATATTTTAGCAGATTTTGGTCATAGAAAATAAATTAGAATTTTATTAGTCTTAACTTAACTATCCAGCATAAAAACATAAGTTGTATATTTTTGAATGGGGTGTTTTGTCATGAGAGTCAAAAGGGCTCATAATAACGTAATAAGGTGCTATACATTCTTTAAAAACATCACTGTTATTATCTTAGTATTTTTTAGACTATCAGTTTTTAGAAGTAAACTATCATAAGATTTTTCTCTTGTTTATCAAGAGCTATTACATCAAAATAAAACATTTCAATAAGACTGACTCCAATATTTTTTATTTTTGATACTATTGAGATTTAATAAAAATATAAAGTTGGAATACAGCTATTTATGATTATTTGTTTTTAATCTCTAGTTACTTTTCTACCCAAATTATTTTATATTTTTACTATCATATAACTCATATTATAAATCGATTTCACCGATCATTCAGAAAACACGTATCGACTTTTATGGCACATCCCTAAAATGTCATGATGTCATGTTGTATTTTTTTTATTACTTCACTGCCTTGGAAATTTCAGAAATGAGCAAAATGGGTGAGCTCCAGTGATAGCTCAGAAGCCTAGGCGCAGACCATCAAACTTTTAGTTGAGCCCGCTTTTAATTTGTATGAAGAATCGGCCAAATCAAATCGGTGTAATGTGCGCACTTCCATACATGCCCCCATACTGATTATCTGCCTGACTCAACTATCGGCTGATGAAAAATCTATGGTCTGCGTCTAGGCTAAATTTAAATTTCGATGTTAATTATTAGTAATAATACTTCTATCCAATATAGCTTGATTAGAATGACAGCTGCCATCAAAAGTAACGACATAACTTTGTAGTATAGTTCCAAAATACTGGACTGTCCTGTCGATGACATTGACAGTGGGGCGCCACCGTCAATACCGGATCGCTGGTTCAGATTTTTGCCATGTTGGAAACCATATAGTTGAACGATGGTAGCGCCCCCCTGTCATTGAGTTTGGCGGGACAGTTCAGCGTGGGTCATCTATAGCGATCAATGAGAGCTAAATATTGGCGGACAAGAAATAATTCACGTCTGACCTACAAACAATATTTTCGACGACAGTGCTTCCAATAAAAATGTTAATTTCGTGTAAATGCAGCGTTAAATTACACCAATAAGTAGTAATTCGAAATTATAAAAATCAAGCTAGAGTATTAACGACGTCTCTACAAGGTTATCTCGAGTTACAAAAATGTTAGTGTTGGGACATATCGACAAATGACATATTAAATTAAAACTATTTTTTAACATATTTAACAATTTTTTTTTCTAACTAATTTTTTAACATATTTAAGTCAAGTTATACGTTTTTCTAAATGTTCACTATTAAAAACCAAAAAACATTTCATTCTTAAATAATAATCAAACATCGGAAATCAATCACCGGTAATTTTTTGGGTATTCATAGCACCGTTGCTCTAGAAGAGATGCCCACCGCCCTATAGTTGACCCACGCTGAACTGTCCCACCAAACTCAATGACAGGGGGGCGCTACTATCGTTCAACTATATGGTTTGCAATATGGCAAAAATCTGAACCAGCGATTCGGTATTGACGGTGGCGCCCTACTGTCAATGTCATCGACAGGACAGTCCAGTATTTTGGAACAATAATACTTCTATCCAATATAGCTTGATTAGAATGACAGCTGCCATCAAAAGTAACGACATAACTTTGTAGTAGCGATCAATGAGAGCTAAATATTGGCGGACAAGAAATAATTCACGTCTGACCTACAAACAATATTTTCGACGACAGTGCTTCCAATAAAAATGTTAATTTCGTGTAAATGCAGCGTTAAATTACACCAATAAGTAGTAATTCGAAATTATAAAAATCAAGCTAGAGTATTAACGACGTCTCTACAAGGTTATCTCGAGTTACAAAAATGTTAGTGTTGGGACATATCGACAAATGACATATTAAATTAAAACTATTTTTTAACATATTTAACAATTTTTTTTTCTAACTAATTTTTTAACATATTTAAGTCAAGTTATACGTTTTTCTAAATGTTCACTATTAAAAACCAAAAAACATTTCATTCTTAAATAATCAAACATCGGAAATCAATCACCGGTAATTTTTTGGGTATTCATAGCACCGTTGCTCTAGAAGAGATGCCCACCAGTGGTGCCAGATTAGGCGAATTATCGCCATTTAGGCTACCTTCGGGGGTCAAATGGCGACCAAAAAATGCAAACGGCTACCGGTAGCCATTTAGGCTACCTAGAAAAAAAGATCGGGCTATTTAGGCTATTTCAGGATTACCTTGGAAAAAGAAATTTTTCATATAGCAAAAGTAACGAAACGTAATATGCACATCTACCTAACACTTAATCTGAGACATCCATCGTTCTTTCCATTCGGTCATTCTTTGTAAGAGTGTGATAGAGCTATTGCGTACAAGTATAATAGATATAATAAGATACTAGCTTTTGCCCGCAGCTTCACCCTCGTGAAATTTAGTTTGTCACAGATCGTCATAAATTATAGCCTATATTATGTTATTCTGGGTTATAAAAATTATATTGTAAAGTTTCATCAAAATCCGTTCAGTAGTTTATGCGTGAAAGAGTAACAAACATGTTAACATCCATATACACTTTCGCGTTTATAATATTAGTAGGATAGGTATCTCATCTCATGGACTTGGCGTAACTTTAAAATAAACGTGCTCAGTACATAAATTACGCGCACACACGATTTAAGAAAACAACATGGCCGCAATATAGGCAATCAGCTGACAGGTGTGTGTGTGTGTGTGCGCGCGTGCGCCTGTGTGTGTCAGCTGATTGCCATGCTGAGCCCCGATTACGGTAATTTTTAACGTCAACAATCCAGACACGCTTCTCGATTCTGCGATACGATTGGTCGTTCAACAGCGTACGTCAGCTGTTTTGACCAATCGTATTGCAGAATCAGAAACGCGTCTGGATTGTAGACGTTAAAAGTTACCGTAATCGGGGCTCTGTTTTCTTAATCTTGTATGTACTCGGCACAAGTCAGGTAGTGACGTCATATGAAAATGTTGCCAGAATGAGTAGGTACTGACCAAACATTATCTATCTCTTTTTTCATATGTCACCATGGGTGAGTTAGAAAGAGATAAACAGCTGTTTGTCATTGATGTGTCGATTTGATATGTATTTGTATAAGCAATTTTTGTATACTTAGCTCAAAAAATTAGGCGAATTAGGCTACTTTAAGAAACAAAAAATATTAGGCGATTTAGGCTACTCGGTAGGAAAAATTAGGCGAATTGAGTTAGCTGATATCTGGCAACCCTGATGCCCACCGCCCTCTAGCGAGAGGAAAAAACCACTGAAGAACACTGATGATAATGACTACGACTTAGGTTGTACACCCTTGACATGAATTTTAAATTTTACTGTCTTTAAATTTAAATCATAATTGTCATTTTTATGAATAAAGATATGAAGAAAAATTGGGTGCATTTTTTTATATCATTTTTTCGAAAACTTATCGATACATCTATGTGAACCGTACGAAACATACCCAGCACTAGTCACATTCGTTTGACAGCCGTCATTCTAATCAAGCTATATTGGATACGATGGCAACCGAAATCGCCCGAATTGATCTGCCCCTTAGACGAGTGGCAAAATCTGACATTCGCTATTCGGACGAATTCGATTTTCGAAAAGTGTGACTTATCTAGTCTACTAGACCCACTGATCGCGTTCGAAGCACCTGTGCGGCGCTAAACTCGTCACGACATGTAACAAGACAATGGGCCAACTATCCGGCCGCCGGATATCCGGCTATCCGGCCAAGCAGCTCGCCGGATATCCGGTATCCGGTATCCGGCCAAACAACTATCCGTTTCATCTATAATGTAAACCAAAGCAGTAATGCCAACCTCACGAAAATGAAGTAGGTTCCACAATATCGAAATATGACGATTGAATGTGTAAACCAAAATAAGGCGAAGTTTTGAGGTGGTTTGAGTTTTGTTGCATAAAAATAATCTTTAACTTTTTTTTTTTTAATTTTATCGGGAGTGCTGGGCCCCTGGTCATAGTGGGCCCCTGGCCATAGTGGGCCCCTAGGCACTGGCCTAAAGTGCCTTATGGATAATACGGCACTGCTTCCAGGACACCACGTACTACCGCAGCCACGCACTACAAAATTTTGCATCATTTCTTGTAATAAAACAATGATTATTTCCTGTAAACAATCACAAATAAATAAATAAATAATAAATAAATAAATCTTTGGACAATTTCACACAGCGCCAGCTAGCCCCAAAGTAAGCAACTTAATGCTTGTGTTATGGGTGCTAGCTTAAAGGATATACTACTTATATATTTTTTTTTTTTAAATACATACATATTATACATAGTCACACCCAGACCCGTCACAGAAATTAAAATTCATCATTTCAATTTCTGCCCGGCCGGGAATCGAACCCGGGACCTCTCGGCATAGTAGTCCGTTCTGAACCACTACACCAAACGAAATTAACTGCCTAATAAACAAAATAAACAACCGCCATGATGGGCCGGATTGGGCCGATGTTGCCACATGGTACCGATTCCCCAGGAATTGGGATTGTAATTCCCTGATTCGCCAACACATTAAACCTAAACGGCCAACAATTTTGTGATTTTTAATTAAACTAGGTAATCGTAGTTCAAATATTTAATTATTTATTTGTTTAACTTATGATGTGGTTAGTGAATTGGCTATTTCGAAGAATTTACTAGGAGATTTAAATCAGGAGATAGCAGTACTACAGTTCACACAAAAAAGAGAGGTAGGGCCACAGAGAGCGAGACAGATATAAGTAGGTATTTGACTCAAGTTTTTGTTCCAAGTTTGCCCTCCATTTTTATCTTTAGCTTCATGGTATGGATCTAAGTATGGAAGCGCCTGTGCACTGTGGTAGCGCTCTTGGGCTTGGGGCTTGTACCCACACTACCCACAGCCATTGTTTAAAAAAAAAGTGACTGGTTGTCAAATTTTTGACAGACAGCCACAACACAACAAGTGAATCTCAGAAGTGAATTTGCATTTGAAACAAAACAAATCAAAATTCGTTTTTGGTTCATTTATATTTTCATAAATCTGTTTACTTACTACCTTATTTCTCTGCTTCCTTACAAGTTTCTGGTACAATATTTATATTCTCTTTTTAGTTCCATAGGTGATTAGGGTGACGAATAGTTATGCGAAAGTATTTTGTTTACATGATGGTCATGTCCCGTGCTGCAATTTATTCTGCGCAAGACACGTCAGCTTTAAAACGAGCTTTGAGCCTCATAGCAGACTCGGACAAAAGTACCTTTTTTTACAGTATATAATTTATTTATATTAATTTATCAGTCTTTCCTACCACTTCATTGTTATCAACTATTTAATATAATAAATAAATTGTTATTTATTTGTATATAAATAATATACATTTTGTGTATGGTCACTAAAAACATTTAACAATATAATTACTTACTGGAATTATTCTATCCTTCCAATTTATTTTAACATTGTTTGTTAATTTTATAGAGCTCAAAAAACCTGTACCGCCAGTATCTTTGAAACAATTTTCAACAAATAATCAAACCCTAAATAAAATGGTTGATCCCAAAAGAGTTGTAGGCTATGAGGACATGTTGAAGGTTATTCACCAGCCTGAGAAAGTGATCATAGATGTCCGCAATCCTGATGAAGTTAACGAAACTGGAAAAATACCTTCGAGTATCAACATTCCATGTAATGTTTGAATTTGATCAAGGTTTACATTATGTAACATTTGTAAAATAGTATTCACTTATTCCCTTTTACTTTTCCAGTACATACTGTCCAGGATGTATTAACTAGCATGTCCGATGAACAGTTCAAGCAGCAATACCAACGCAACAAGCCATCATCATCCGATGAGCTCATATTTTATTGTAGATCTGGCCGTAGATCAACAGAAGCTTTGGATAAAGCTTTGAAACTTGGATACGCAAAGTATTACTCTCCATACTCATTATTATCAAAGTTTTACTAAATTATTTTCAATTTAAACTTACTTATTTTTATTTTACAGCTCTAAAACATATCTGGGAAGTTGGAATGATTGGTCCAGCAGACAAAAATGAGGCTGTGTTGTTGTGCAATAAAATTGTGATGTATAGTACATTGTTTCTGCATAATATTTCTGTAATAAATTTCTGGTTATATTACACTATTGTTATCTTTGTATTCAATAGAGCTGTTTGCAATATTTATTATACACGTCTATAGGTAAGTAGGTACCTACTAATGAAATTATGTTGCACCAAGGTTGAAACATAAAATTCTTTATTAGCAAAGGTATAAACTGAACATAAAATATCTAATAATAAGCAAAGTTAACATTTCATAGTATCTGACAATGACTAGGGATATTCAATGTCCAAAGCTACAGCTAAATCTTATGCCATTGATATTTGTATTACTGCGACTTAGTTGCCCAATCGGTCCAACTGCCAAGATAGTTTTTAACACTGAAAAGAAAAAAGTTATTAAAATAATGTTAACATTTACAATGGTTTTATATTTCTCCAAAATGTTTAAAAACTACTTATAACTTACTTTTTATATCCTGCATTGATGGCATTATGCTGGGCCTTTCCAGATCTTTTTCCAATCATGCAGTAAAAAATGATCTGTGTGTCTTCAGATGGTTTTGGTCTCTTGTATCTTTGTTCAAAGTCCTTATCTGGCATTGTGCAAAGCACTGATGTGACGTCACCCACTACAATATTTTATAAACATTATTTTGATGATAAAGATGTTTTACCTATTACTATCTGGGCTTTGTATGTTATTATGACATAAAGAATGATATAATAGAATGGTAAGTAATCTTAAGTAAGCTTTTATACTAGCATTTATCCATATCCCAAAGATTGAACTGTTTTTAAGCAAATTAATTATGTTATAAAAAAATGTAACTTACATGGAATGTTGATGCTGCTGGGAATCTTCCCGTGCTCTTTTACTTCATCTGGTTCTCTAACGTCTACAATTAAAATACTACTATCTGAAGTAGCTTTCTTTACATAATCAAAGTCCACAGTCATGTCTTCTGGATTTGTTTGTAGGGAGTACAGACGATGGTTAAGATTCCATGTAAAAGCCGAATATTCTGTAAAAGATAACCAATTTATTAAAAATACTTTTCTAGTGAAATTTAAACGAAAAGTAGATAAAATTCCAACTTACTAATATTTGAGTTGATAACAGATTTTGAAGTAGCCGCTAACGTTTGCGTTAATCTTAGTGCGGGTATGATTCCGCGAAAAGCAAACCTTGGTAACATGATGTTTTTTATGCCTGCTTTGAATACTGTTTAATATTCCTCGAACTTTATGCAAAAATTAAATCTTCCCACAAAACAAAATGGGAAAGATTGATTTTTTAATGACAGTGACAGACCAATCACAAAACTGACAGATACGGTGTAAATTATTTGACCGAGTGGTTGGGTTAGTCGTATTGAGTATTGGGTTAGTCAGGATGGTAGCTCATATTATAGCTCACTTGTCGCACTGATATCAATTGGCAGTTTTGTAGACATCCAAGACAAAATATACAAAAAAAAATAAAAAAGTTAAAAAAAGTATACATCCATCATCCATCAAAAAAGTCAACCTGAAGAATTATTAGCAATTTTTCAATGTTTTTATAGAATAGGAAATGTGATACACTTAGTGATACATCAATAATTTGATTACCTATTCGTTTCCGTTAACTCCTGTTACATTGTGTAAGGATTATGTACAAATAATCCATCAAAATACCCATGAATCCCTCGTTCATGATTGCTTCAATGATGTCAAGACATAACATGCATTAAATTTGTTTGAATCCTGTAATAAAATGCAGTATTACTTTTCTCTATGATAAAATGCTTGGTTTTGTCTTGTACATTTCTATTAAATGTGTCAATGCTTGTTTTAAATTTTCAGATGTGTAAAACTTTAACACAGGAACAGAAACTTTAACAGAATCTATTATTGAGACATCAATGTGAGATGATTTCGTGTTGAGATCTGTCAGCAGACCAATATCAATAATGGGATCCATGCGACCTACTGGGAGGTTTCTATCCTTCACCAACAACATTCAAAGAACACAGAAACAATCTGGTATGTGTCCTATTTATTTGTAGTTGTGGTCAAGCTAAACCACATTCCATTGCTATGAATCATGTTGCAATGCAGTGCCCTTGTTAGACATCCTTGTTGCACACTGTGCAATACTTTGGAATTTGCATGCTTATTGCATTATTGTGTTGAAAAATTTGATGGTTACAATGTCTAGTCAAGTGTAGCAGTTCATAATTTATGGATGATATAAAGCTATTTTACAATAAACATTGTTAAAATTGAATTGAATGCCTGTCTCATACAAGCCATGCAATATGTGTTATATTAGCTTATGTAAACCTTCACCTGCTTTCTCCCTTAAAGTTAGGCTTATGTTTTAAAACATTTTCCTTTTCTTATTACAGTACCTAGTGGATTTCCACAAAGCTTATCTGGCAGTGAGACTGATGTTTCTACGTCCAATGAAAATCTGTCTAGAGAAGAGCGGTATGTGGTGCGCCACACAGCCCGCGTGGAGCCCCAAGGGCAGGAGAACCAGAGTGAATCCAACAGCAGTAATAATAACAATAGGAACTCTTTGAAGGTGCCATGCATGAATTTAATTTCAGCGAATTTTATAACGTAAAATAAAATGACAAAAATTTTTTAACACCTTTCATAGATGAAGTTGTTGTCTCAGTTTTTTAAGTTGCTGTGTCTGATACTAATGTTGTATGTGCATGAACAGAGCCCCGATTACGGTAACTTTTATAACGTCTACAATCCAGACGCGTTTCTGATTCTGCGATACGATTGGTCAAAACAGCTGACGTACGCTGTTGAACGACCAATCGTATCGCAGAATCGAGAAGCGTGTCTGGATTGTTGACGATAAAAATTACCGTAATCGGGGCTCAGATTTTTTTTTGTATATTTTGCAGAACATGATTAGATTGATTGCCATTTGAATATGGAGGACTAAATTGAGCGTTAATATTTGTAGGAAAGTAACAGCAGCAATAGAAATTCACTCAAAGACTCTGTTGGTGGAGGCAACAGTAACAGGAGCTCTCTAGATGTATCATCTTCATCATACAACACACTTATTATTCACAACCAGGATGATTCCTGGCCTCCTCGACCCACTCCAATTCGGTTAGTATACCTTTAATAACAATGCTGCTAATAAATAATTTTGCTGGTAAATAAAAGTTAATTGTAAAAAAAATCATTGACAAATTATCTCTAAGTAAATAAGTTATATTTAGGCACTGAAAGTATGTGTTATATTTTAGCAAAATTGCCTTTCTTTCTGTAGATTACTAGCAATATCAATCTACTGCATACATTTTTACTAAATATTTAGAGTTATTGTAGAGAACACGAACGAACAAGCAGTGAAGTGAAACACAACCCTACTCAGTCTTCTCCGTACCACACACTCAAGAAGAGTGAGGTTGGGAAGAAGCCCAGTGGTATTCCGTTGCCCAAAATGCACAAGGAGCAATCGGTGACTACGACAGCGAATTACATCGACATTGGGGGGCAGCGGATATACACCAGCCCTCCTGATCATGGAGTTCAGGTATGTTTGGTAAAGTTTATTGAAGATAAATAAATAAATACATGTTAATGTGTGTATATTCATAGAACTGATGCTCAGCAATTGCATCAACTTTAAAACTCCTCAAAATAAAATAGTAATTGCATATCCAACAGGGACCAGTAGGTTTCATATTATTTATTTGCTTTAAGGTTTTACAATAAATTGTTGAGCATGCAGATTGCAGAACTTAAAGATATATGTACTGTCATCTTCTCTGATTCTTCATTTCATTTCTTCTAATTAAATAAATGACTTACTTGACTTATGGTCCTATGTCCCCTAGATGGGGCAGAGGGCGTCCACAACAGTCCTCCATCGCGTTCGGTCTTGAGCTATGTGTTTGATCTCGCTCCAAGTCTTGCCGATCTTCTTCGCCTCGAAGAAGATCGGTAAGACTTGGATAAATAAATGCTAGGCGCAATAAGGATTACTGTGTTGGTGCCAGTAGTAGCCACTGTAGAGAAAAATCTTGTCGCTCGTTAATCGCTAAGAGCGCTTTTACATTAGGGCGTTAGTAGCGCGACAGCAGCGCGGCAGCGGCGTTTTTGTAATGTGAAGGGAGGCATCAGCTGTCACATAGTATGAAATTTTCGGCAGCGCGTCGGCCGCGCGTTTGTTGCGCTACTAAGGGTGACATCAGACGGACTGCATCGCAGCTACCTGTGGCTGTGATGGCGGTCTAAATCGCCTAATGTGAAAGCGACCTAAGACAGTGGCGCCAACTGATAAGTACAATTAATTTGATAATCCCAAGATTAAAGAAAAAAAAACATTTTTCTGTAACATATAGGAAATAACGGAGATACCAGACGACTTCCTAAACCAGTCGTCGGTGCTCAAACACCTGGCGAAGGAGGTGGCGCAGTCGCCGAGCCCGCGCGGGCCCACGCCGCCCGCGTCGCCGCGCGCGCCTCCGCAGAAACCTAAGGGCAAAGCCTCTAAGGCCAAGCTGAGTAAAGAGAAGCTTAACTTGTCGAGGTCGCAGCCCGATCTGACCAGGTGAGTTGCTTATCATCATCATCATTTCAGTTGAATATAGGCTTCCCCCAATGATTTCCAGACTGGCTGGTTGCTACCGGCTTGTATCCAGCGCCTTCCTGCTACCTTTATGATGTCGTCATTATTACAGAGCACCATTCAAAACTCTATTCAATTTCTGTCAGATTCTGTATGTTTAACCAATCAGAAGCTTCAATCCATGCTTGAATCAAGTTTAAAACAAGGGCACATCATTCTACGCCCCTTTGTTAATTATACAGTTAGATATTACATAGTACAAGCTTTGCTTAGTTTGGGACTAGAGGCGCAGTGTAAAATGTCCAAGGATATTTATTTATATTATTTGCTTCGAAATCAATAAATAGTCAATTGAATTGGCAACCAAATGTTGCCAATTCAATTGACTATTTATGCATAAAAAATACAAACGTATTGGCATAAAAAGGAAAATTCGTATTCCGCATAAACGTTTTTTTTTTGTAACGTAGCAGCAACTGCTTCGTGCTTTTGATCTATGAGTGCCTAGTACTAAATTCGAAACGCAAGCAGAGGGATCCTGGCTACATAGGAGTTGCAGTGGTGGGAAAGAGAGGTGGGAATAGTCCCATGTAGAGGGAAGTAACATTCTGACCCACAACAATATTTCCCAGTGTGGGCGTTCGCGCGGTCCCCGGCGGATCTGAGTCAAGCGGCTGGTGCAGCGGCGGCGAGGGCTCGGCCGAGGAGCCCGACGACGCCTTCGCTGCAGTACTAGACGCCCTCGCGGCTGAGAACCACCAGCTCAAGCGACAGCTGGCCGACGCTTGCGAGCGGGTCGCCAAGACCACCAAGGTATGTGGTCATGGCCATTAAGTCATTTCAGGTTCAGAGTCCAGCGGCGCCGAGGGCTCGGCCGAGGAGCCCGACGACGCCTTCGCCGCAGAATTTGACGCCCTCACTGCAGAGAACCACCAGCTCAAGCGACAGCTGGCCACCAAGGTATGTAGTCGTGGTCATTAGATACGGCTCAGAGTCCATAGGCTGGTGTAGCGGCGGCGAGGGCTCGGCCGAGGAGCCCGACGATGCCTTCGCTGCAGTACTAGACGCCCTCGCGGCAGAGAACCACCAGCTCAAGCGACAGCTGGCCGACGCGTGCGAGCGGGTCGCCAAGACCACCAAGGTATGTAGTCGTGGCCATTAGATCCGGCTCATAGTCCATAGGCTTGTGTAGTAGCGGCTGAGGAGCCCGAAGACCCCTTCGCTGCCCTATTGGACGCTCTTGCGGCAGAGAACCACCAGCTCAAGCGACAGCTGGCCGACGCTTGCGAGCGGGTCGCCAAGACTACCAAGGTATGTCGTTGTGGCATTAGATCCGGCTCAGAATCCAGCTTAGCTGAGGAGCCCGACGACGACGCCTTTGCCGCAGTATTTGACTCTCTGGCGGCAGAGAACCACCAGCTCCAGCGACAGCTGGCCACCAAGGTATGTAGTCGTGGCCATTAGATCCGACTCAGAGTCCATAGGCTTGTGTAGTGGCGGCGAGGGCTCGGCCGAGGAGCCCGACGACGCCTTCGCTGCAGTACTAGACGCCCTCGCGGCTAAGAACCACCAGCTCAAGCGACAGCTGGCCGACGCTTGCGAGCAGGTCGCCAAGACCACCAAGGTATGTGGTCGTGGCCATTAGATCCGGCTATGTTTCCAGCTTGGATGAGGAGTCCGACGACGACGTCTTCGCCGCAGTATTTGACGCTCTCGCGGCAGAGAACCACCAGCTCAAGCGACAGCTGGCCGACGCGTGCGAGCGGGTCGCCAAGACTACCAAGGTATGTAGTCGTGGCCATTAGATCAGGCTCAGAGTCCATAGGCTTGTGTAGTAGCGGCTGAGGAGCCTGACGATCCCTTCGCTGCCCTATTGGACGCTCTTGCGGCAGAGAACCACCAGCTCAAGCGACAGCTGGCCGACGCTTGCGAGCGGGTCGCCAAGACCACCAAGGTATGTGGTCGTGGCATTAGATCCGGCTCAGAATCCAGCTTAGCTGAGGAGCCCGACGATGATGAAAAACTACTGAACGGATTTCGATAAAACTTTACAGTATTATTGTTTATAACCCAGAATAACATATAGGCTATAATTTATGCCGATATGTGACAAACTAAATTTCACGCGTGTGAAGCCGCGGGCAAAAGCTAGTTCAAAATAAAAATAACAATTATAGCCTGANAAAAAAAAAAAAACATTTTTCTGTAACATATAGGAAATAACGGAGATACCAGACGACTTCCTAAACCAGTCGTCGGTGCTCAAACACCTGGCGAAGGAGGTGGCGCAGTCGCCGAGCCCGCGCGGGCCCACGCCGCCCGCGTCGCCGCGCGCGCCTCCGCAGAAGCCTAAGGGCAAAGCCTCTAAAGCTAAGCTGAGCAAAGAGAAGCTCAACTTGTCGAGGTCGCAGCCCGATCTGACTAGGTGAGTTGCTTATCATCGTCATTTCAGCCATAGGACGTTCACTGCTGAATATAGGCTTCCCCCAATGATTTCTAGACTGGCTGGTTGAAACCGGCCTGTATCCAGCGCCTTCCTGCTACCTTTATGAGGTCGTTAAATACAGAGAACCATTCAAAACTCTATTCAATTTCTGTCAGATTCTGTATGTTTAACCAATGAGAAGCGTCAATGTATACTTGAATCAAGTTTTAAACTTAAAGGACACATCATTCTACACCCCTTTGTTGTTAATTATACAGTTAGATATTATTTGCTTGGAAATCAATAAATAGTCAATTGAATTGGCAACCAAATGTCGCATAAAAATACAAACGTATTGATAACATAAACGTTTTTTTTTGTAACGTAGCAGCAACTGCTTCATGCTTTTGATCTATCAGTGTCGTGCTAAGTTCGAAACGCATGCAGAGGGAAGTAACATTCTGACCCACAATGTTTCCCAGTGTGGGCGTTCGCGCGGTCCCCGGCGGATCTGAGTCAAGCGGCTGGTGCAGCGGCGGCGAGGGCTCGGCCGAGGAGCCCGATGACGCCTTCGCTGCAGTACTAGACGCCCTCGCGGCAGAGAACCACCAGCTCAAGCGACAGCTGGCCGACGCTTGCGAGCGGGTCGCCAAGACTACCAAGGTATGTGGTCATGGCCATTAAGTCATTTCAGGTTCAGAGTCCAGCGGCGCCGAGGGCTCGGCCGAGGAGCCCGACGACCTTGCCTTTGCTGCGGTACTTGACGCCTTCACTGCAGAGAACCACCAGCTTAATCGACAGCTGGCCACCAAGGTATGTGGTCATGGCCATTAGATCCGGCTCAGAGTCCATAGGCTTCTCTAGTAGCGACGAGGGCTCGGCCGAGGAGCCCGACGACGCCTTCGCTGCGGTACTGGACGCGCTCGCGGCAGAGAACCACCAGCTCAAGCGACAGCTGGCCGACGCTTGCGAGCGGGTCGCCAAGACCACCAAGGTATATGGTCATGGCCATTAGATCCGACGCAAAATCCAGCTTAGCTGAGGAGCCCGACGACGACGCCTTTGCCGCAGTATTTGATGCGCTCGCGGCAGAGAACCATCAGCTCAAGCGACAGCTGGCCGACGCTTGCGAGCGGGTCGCCAAGACCACCAAGGTATATGGTCATGGCCATTAGATCCGACGCAAAATCCAGCTTAGCTGAGGAGCCCGACGACGACGCCTTTGCCGCAGTATTTGATGCGCTCGCGGCAGAGAACCATCAGCTCAAGCGACAGCTGGCCACCAAGATATGTGGTCGTGGCATTAGATCCGGCTCAGAGTCCATAGGCTGGTGCAATAGCGGCTGAGGAGCCCGACGATGCCTTCGCTGCAGTACTAGACGCGCTCGCGGCAGAGAACCACCAGCTCAAGCGACAGCTGGCCGACGCGTGCGAGCGGGTCGCCAAGACTACCAAGGTATGTAGTCGTGGCCATTAGATCAGGCTCAGAGTCCATACGCTTGTGTAGTAGCGGCTGAGGAGCCTGACGATCCCTTCGCTGCCCTATTGGACGCTCTTGCGGCAGAGAAGCACCAGCTCAAGCGACAGCTGGCCGACGCGTGCGAGCGGGTCGCCAAGACTACCAAGGTATGTAGTCGTGGCCATTAGATCAGGCTCAGAGTCCATACGCTTGTGTAGTAGCGGCTGAGGAGCCTGACGATCCCTTCGCTGCCCTATTGGACGCTCTTGCGGCAGAGAACCACCAGCTCAAGCGACAGCTGGCCGACGCTTGCGAGCGGGTCGCCAAGACCACCAAGGTATGTGGTCGTGGCATTAGATCCGGCTCAGAATCCAGCTTAGCTGAGGAGCCCGACGATGACGCCTTTGCCGCAGTATTTGACGCTCTCGCGGCTGAGAACCACCAGCTCAAGCGACAGCTGGCCGACGCTTGCGAGCGGGTCGCCAAGACCACTAAGGTAAGTGCCATTCCCATTACAACCATTTTAATTTGCATTCCCAAATAGACAGTAACAGAGTCCTGAAATGTTACACTATTATGTACGAGTAAACCAGAAATAGCTATAGCCAATTTGATTCATCCAACAACTGCCACTTAATCCTACTTCCTACTACATAATATTATAAATGCGAAAGTTTGTGTGGATGTTTGTTACTCTTTCACGCAAAAACTACTGAACGGATTTCGATAAAACTTTACAGTATTATTGTTTATAACCCAGAATAACATATAAGCTATAATTTATGCCGATATGTGTCAAACTAAATTTCACGCGGGTGAAGCCGCGGGCAAAAGCTAGTTCAAAATAAAAATAACAATTAAAGATGAAATAATGCGAGCAGAATTGCGGCAGCAAAAGGTCTCCGTCTCAGCATGTGTCACAAGCAAGTAGTTAGACTTTTTATCAACTTCCACTCAATTCACATTTCAGGTTTAATCTTATTACCACAACATAAGCTACCAGAGACCAGAGCATTGACCTTGACATGTCCTTTTATACTGTTGCAGCTGGAGGAAGAAGTCGAAAAGGTCCGCACTGCCCACGAGGAGCTAGTTGGCTCCTGCGAACGTCGGGAGCGCCTGGAGAGGGCCGCGCGCGTGCGACTGCAGGCCGACTGCCGCCGCTTGCACGACCTCAACCGCGCGCTCAAGCAGCAGGTAACAAATAAAAGAAAAGACAGCTGGGTGAAGTCACAGGTGCATTAATTGGAGAACCTCATATCATAAGATATCACTGTTCATAAAATATATTGATTCGCACCCAAGAATAGATGATTTTTGGAAAGAAAATCATCGCCTACATGACATCAACTGCGCTCAAGCAGTCTGGTAACAGGGAGCTGGGTCTGCGTCGGCGCATTTACTTGGAAAATAGCACTTAACACACCACACAAGATGCCACAATATTAATATAATTTGCCGCGTCCGTATTCCTTCTTAATATCACGTTGTAATAAAATCAAATCAAAAGTCTGATAATCCGACTGCCGCCGCCTGCACGACCTCAACGCTCGCTCAAGCAGTGATCAAGCTAGTGATCGGCGCACGCGCATTTGTAAAATAGCACTTAACACAACCACATAGGATACCCAACAAGCTGCATGGGGCTGGTGAGAGGCGCAGACGCATTTACTTGGAAAATAGCACTTAATACTACCACATTGATACCACAATTTTTATCTATTTGTACCGCGTGCGTATTCCATCTAAAAATAAATCGTCTATCTTCAGGTGGATCTCTTGTCGCAAGGCGTGCGCGCCGAAGGCGACAGCAATGCTGAAGCGTTGCGCAAGGAGCTGCAAAATAGGGAAATGCTCATCGCCCAGCTCATCACACAAAGTAAGCATCTAGAAACATTGCTCGAAAGATTGGAGCGTTAGATTAAGGCATCTTACAACATTTAGGCTGGGTTGCACCAAACGTCAAAAATCTGTCAAACTCCATACAAAACCAGTTTGAAACCGGTTTGAAATGGTCGTCTCTCATGTGTGGTCTCTCAACGGAATCTGTGGCAGAAACTTAGATGCAACTCAAAAGTAACTAGAAGTTGAAGTTTCGTTGCAATTGCGTTTCACCGTGTGTTCTGGGCCTTATAGTTACGTTTAAAGTTAGGTGGTGCAATTCAGCCTTAATTTATAGCTGTAGCGCTTAACTGAGTCAGTCATCGATCAGTGCCTGAGGCATGGGGGCGGCACGGGAGTGTTTTTTATTACGTAAAATTTCAGCGAGACTTCTGATTTGTATGCTCTGTCACGTCATAATATGTCAAAATCACTCCCATACCCCAGGCACTGTCTCAATTAAGCGTTAAATCTATAAAATATAGCACCTCTTACAAGTACATAACATTCCGAAAAGAGTACTAATACTAGTGACGTATCCACCACAGACAAGGAGCTGGCGTGCGCGAAAGAGCGGCAAGAAATCGAAATGTCTGCGCAGCGGGCAACACTGCAGGAGCAGCGGACGCATATCGACATCCTCGACACCGCGCTCACCAACGCGCAGGCCAACGTCGTACGCCTCGAGGACGAGGTACGAAACTATTCCCACCACTAGTTCCCACCGCTGCAACTCCTGTGTAGCCAGGATCTACAGCTTGATCAAATATATAAAAGGAGAAACTGACTNTAATATGACTGGAACAGTGGAAATATTCCATTCCCGATACTTTTAGTGCAGCCCTCGTACGCGCCGCCGCCGCCGGCGAAATTATGCTTTGGCGGTGCGGCGGCGGTGTCGTGTTCAGGAGCGCTAATTGAGTCAGTCATCGATCAGTGCCTGAGGCATGGGGGCGGCACGGGAGGGTGCTTTTTGTTACGTAAATTTTCAGCGAGACTTCAGATTTATATTAACGTTTACGTATTTACGTCATAATATGTCAAAATCACCCCTCCCGTGCCGCTTCTATACGCCAGGTACTGTCTCAATTAAGCGTTAAATCTATAAAATATAGCACGTCTTACTATAGTCTGGTCTGCGAGCACGTAGAATTTTGTCCAATGACCCCAAGCTACCCATCCTCATCGCTCGCGCATAATTATGTTGCTGTCACGCTCGCACACTAACTGCGGGCGCCCGTCGCAGACGCGACAGCAATATAATTACGTTCAAGCGATAAGGATGGGTAGCTTGGGGTCATTGGACAAAATTCTACGTGCTCACAGACCGGGCTTTAGTATATAACATTCCGAAGAGAGTACTTAATACTAGTGACGTGTGTCACCACAGACAAGGAGCTGGCGTGCGCGAAAGAGCGGCAAGAAATCGAAATGTCTGCGCAGCGGGCAACACTGCAGGAGCAGCGGACGCACATCGACATCCTCGACACGGCGCTCACCAACGCGCAGGCCAACGTCGTACGCCTCGAGGACGAGGTACGAAACTATTCCCACCACTAGTTCCCACCGCTGCAACTCCTGTGTAGCCAGGATCTACAGCTTGATCAAATATATAAAAGGAGAAACTGACTGACTGACTGACATATCAAGTATCAACGCACAGCCTAAACGGCTAAACGTAGGCACTTGAAATTTGGAAGGGACGTAGCTTAGGTACCGTAGAGGTGCACTAAGAAAGGGATTCCCGAAATTCCCACGGGAACGTGAATTAGCGGGGAAATCCTTTTGTATGAAAAATCTAAACCGCTTAAGTTAGACGCTTGAAATTTGGCATGCAGGTACCTTAGTAAACTTCAAGCTTAGTTACAACAGGATATTGCAAAATTCCCACGGAAACGGGAGTTAGTGGGAAAAAACAATTGTATGAAAAAATCTAAACCGCGTAAGATAGATGAAGGGGGTAAAACGGGATCCACGCGTACGAAGTCGCGGGCGGCCGCTAGTCGCCAATAAAAACCCAACCAGTTAAAGAAGTTTGTCCCGGGAGAATGTTAAACCGTCATTGGACCTGCAACGAAATTCATCAGAACATAGAAGTTCAAAGTTAAGGTTTGATTTCCCTCCAGTACAAAGCGGATGACAGGTGATAAAGCAAAGGTTGTACACACAATCCTGTAGTGTACTGCTGGTAGGCAAGAGCGAGATGGCACGCTGCAGGAGGCACTGTTTTAGTCCAAGATAAATGTCTTAGAATAGAAACAGCGCGACGCCTTAAGCCATGTATTCATTAGGCAAAATTTTTAATAAACTGTTTATGTATGTAGTGTGAAACAAGTTTACCATAAACACAGGTTTCTGAAACTTGGACGTCCACACTTGCTCTCCAATCATAGCGGGGAGCACGGCAACATGTACCTATCATAAACTAGCTTTCCGCCCGCAAGCTTCGCGCGCGTGTACTACATTATCTACATATTTTACGGAACCCTATTTTTTTCCAAAATAAAATTTAGCCTATGTTACTCGTGGATAATGTAGCTTTCGAATGGTGAAAGAATTTTTAAAAACGGTCCAGTAGTTTTTGAGCCTATTCATTACAACCAAACAAACAAACAAAGTTTTCCTCTTTATAATATTAGTGTAGTAGTAGTGTAGACAATGTTTCATCACCTATGTTTATGGACTGTTTATAAACAGTGTTTACTGTTTATCAACAAATGTTGCCTAATGAATACATGGCTTTACTTGTCCCTGATTCTAGTATCCTTCGTATGTCAGATTTTTCAACAGAATAATGACTATTCTAGTGTCGTCACGCGAGCGGTTACGTGGAGCGCGTGATGGGCCTGCAGCGAGCGCTGGCGTCGTTGCAACAAGCGTCCGACCGTCGTGAGCACACCGAGAGGAAACTACGGGCGCAATTGGAGAAGGAGTTGCAGACTTTGAGGTAAGATCTTTAGTCAATATTAGCTATTGTATAAAACACGCATGTTATGGCAAAATCTTCATTTTCATCAAGGTATAATAAGTGTAAATGGACTACAGACGCAACCGCAGGCGACACAGCAGCTTGTTGCGGTTGACTACAGTGCTACCTGAAGTCATGGTTGTTGCTTTTTATTCCAAGCGTGGCGTTATCCGTGACTGCACAATGCATGGATTGCAACAATGCCTCAGTTACTCCCATACTTATGCGTTGTACGTGTGAACTCTTTGCGGTTGAATAGTTTATTGTATTCGCGCTCGCACACTCACTGCGGGCGCCCGTCGCACAGTCGCGACAGCAATATAATTACGCGCGAGCGATAAGGATGGGTAGCTTGGGGTCATTGGACAAAATTCTACGTGCTCACAGACCAGACTAAAGAGGTACAGAAATGCGTAGCTGGATCTGTGATCGACACCAGAAATGGGTACCTGTGTGTAGTGTGTACGCACTTACTTATGTGTACGCATCCTTTCCCCATATTAGGCATAAACCACTACTTAGTATATAAGCTTAGGATAATCTTCATTCTATACGAATAAACTACAACAATAAACTACAGTGCTCACATCCAACTGTTTCATTGTGTCTCCCGATCGTCACACATTACACTGGAACTGACCGACAGTACCTTCATGTTTGTTTGTTAGGAAACGCGAGTGCTACTGCGGCGGGCCGGGCGCCGGCGGCGGCGCGGGCGGCGGCGACGAGGCCGAGCTGCGGCGCCTGCTGCGCGAGCGCGACGAGCGGCTGCTGGCGCTGGAGGGCGAGTGCGCCAAGTGGGAGCAGCGCTACCTCGAGGAGGCCGCGCTGCGCCAGGCCGCCGTGTCCGCCGCCTCCATCCCCAAGTGAGTGCAGTCGTCCAGGCTGCGGCGGCTGCGCGAGCGCGACGAGCGGCTGCTGGCGCTGGAGGGCGAGTGCGCCAAGTGGGAGCAGCGCTACCTCGAGGAGGCCGCGCTGCGCCAGGCCGCCGTGTCCGCCGCCTCCATCCCCAAGTGAGTGCAGTCGTCCAGGCTGCGGCGGCTGCGCGAGCGCGACGAGCGGCTGCTGGCGCTGGAGGGCGAGTGCGCCAAGTGGGAGCAGCGCTATAGTCTGGTCCGCGAGCACGTAGAATTTTGTCCAATGACCCTAAGCTACCCATCCTTATCGCTCGCGCGTAATTATGTTGCTGTCGCGTTCGCACACTTACTGCGGGCGCCCGTCGCACAGTCGCGTCCGCCGCCTCCATCCCCAAGTGAGTGCCACAAATAGACGAAAAAAAAATTGGTCCTTCGAGCCGGATTTTTTTTATCCACAACGAGGAAGCTCTTGGCCTGTATCTCACCTGATGGTAAGTGATGATCAGGCCGAAGGTGGAAGCGAGCTTCACCCGGAATCCTCAACCACGGAGGAACTGGCTATCTTACCTCTAACTGCCGGAACACAACAATGCTGTTCTTCTTCTTCTTCTTCTTTTCGTGTCGACAACAAACCTACACAGTGTCAGCCCAAAACTCCTGTTAACATTGTTGTTATGGCGACAGACTTAGGTAAGATGGTGGTAGCTAGCCAGGCGGACTTAGAACAAGCCCTACTACCGACCAAACCGAACAAAAAAATCTGCCGCCACGTGGAATCGAACCCGGGACCTCTGCGTTTGAAGCAGGTGTTCTTATCACTAGACCACAGAGGCGGTTGGCGGCGGTTGGTTTCATAAGAGAATTTAAAAAAATACTAACATTACCGTCCGTCAAATTTAATGCTTGTGTTAGGAGTGGGTTTACGACAATATTAGTACATCGGTCGGCGGTTTAATACCAGTGTTCCTCGAATCTAGAACTGGCAGTCAGACACCAACAACGATGGACCTTATGGACAGATTGATTGAAAAGTAACGGGTGTACTTACCTTGTTTTCTTGTATCATATTGCTACAAACTGACGTATTGTTACATCAACAGGGACGCGAAGATAGCAGCTTTAGAGAAGACTTCAGCAGAATCGGAGCGTCTGATGGCGGAAGCGCGTAGCGAGAAGATCCGCCACATGGACGAACTGCACCTAGCGCAGAAGAAGGTCGCCGACCTCGAAAGCAGGTAGGCGACGATGTTTCAAAAACCTTTAAACACTTTAAAAGAGCGTGTGAAAGCGCTGTGATCGGCCACTTCAAATTCAAAGTATAAGGGCTTGATGTTTCTCCAACGCTTGTTTTGCCCTACACAATCAACAAAAACATGTCAACATACAACAAAATTGTCTACTAATTTTGTTTGTATGTAAAGTTTTGTTGATCTTTAATATCACTTTGCGTCACACCGTAGTTTATTTTCTGAATCCGTTTCGGGAATAGGATGAGTGCGCCAATTTGTGCCTATTTCAGCTCTCCAAGTCTGATGACAAAGAATTAAAATCAAATAACATTTCACTACTGGACAAATGCCTTCCTCAAGTATTTCCACGACAACCGTTACCACAGTGCCCGTTTTCAGCTAGGTGCTTCTCGCGACCTTTACTTGATCTTCGGTGAACGAAGAATTAATCTAAAATTGTATGACTATGTTATTTACAGAGTCAAAGAGCTGGAATCGAAGGTAGCAGAACGAGACGCGATGATCAAGGTGCTGCAGAAACACACTAGCTCGGCCTACGATAGCGGTGCGTCTCTCAGGAACAACTCCAGTAGAGAGGAACTAGGTAAGCTTAGTGTTATAATAGTATGATAGCGGAAGGTAGAATAATCCTAAAAATTACAACAATCATTTGCACGCCGCTACGTATGTTTTGAACATGACTGTATTTTACATGTGCTACAATAGTTTAAGATCTGCGAAGTTGAAAACTACGTTTATTTATTTATTTATTTAATAGGACAACCAACAAGACATACACTGGAAGACAATCAATATTTACAACGTATTTAACTTAATCTAAGTGCTGCCTTAATTATAGGTTGCCACGGCATGCAATGTTATTAATATTGGTTAACAGGATAGCAGGATTGTCGACACAGCATATTTATTTGATTTAGTATTGATATAAGTACTTGTAGCTAAGGGGATATTCCACCTCAGGCCTCTATTGGCCACTAGTAAATAAGTGAAGGTCATCCTCTTGCATTGGAGACTAAATGACCTGATGATGATGAGTGTTGTTACTTGTGAGCCTATGGAACGTGTAGCGGTAAGCAAAACTCTTTGCGCCGGGTATAGGCTACGGCGGTTGCGATGGTAACCGGGTTGTTGATGGCAGAATAACGTCAGGTAGTAAAATAGGAGATTTTACAAGATATTATATTTTATTCTCAGAATACAGAACAAACCAGAAGGAGTGTTCGATAACATTTCTACGCGGCAACTTGTGTCCAAAATACTTCCCCTCCCGCGCCCCTCTACCCCCTTTAGTGTTACTAGCGCCGTGTGACACCCCCATTTTCGGGGTAAAATTATGTAATTTTTTAATGAGATGTTAAACAAGTAAAAAATAAGTAAGTGAAATAAGTACACACGGCCAGCCATCCATAAAGTACGTCACACGAATTTCATGATTTTTTGACCCCCCCTCCGTCCTTGTCACAGGTGGTCACATTTCTGAGACCCAGGGGTCCCTAGTGTGACGTCACATGTTTTGCAATTTCACATCGAAAAATTAATAAATTAACAGCAGTTCCGAAATTAGTTTTATTTCCATTTAAATTAAGTACTTACTTTTTTTTATGAAATCAACATTATATCAAATATTTGAAACAATTGAAATGTGATGTCACGAAACTTAGGGCCCCTCCCACCCCTTGTCACACCATGTCACACTTTGTCAACCCCCTCCCCCCCTCTTTACGTGTGACGTACTTTATGGATGACCCCTTATCTGGGTTTATAGCAATTCGCATCTTAAATTTTTTTTAATTCGTTCTCAGGCTGCGGCTTCGACAGCTCATCCTTACGGCTGGACTCGCAGCTGGCGGCGCTGGAGTCGCGGCTGGAGCGGCCCGTGCCCGCCGTGAGTTACCCCGCCCCCCTCCCGCAGGCCCCGCCGCCGCCGCACTCCAGTCCCCGCCCGCACGCCAGCTACTACTGAGCTGGCCAGTGATTAGAGTAGGCGCACACCGTTGATTTTTAGTTTTTTTTTTTATACAATATGTAACGGATACACCGTCCGATCCATTAAGGTGTTAATAGGTATCGAGTTAAGATTCCATTTGTGTAATAATTTTCATAAAATATTATTAAAAAAATACCCCATGAAAAATAAATACAAAATTTCCAAAAATAAAAATGCTTACATGGCAATCCGAACGGCAGTGTAGAGGGTACGCGGGAGGGGTAGAGATGCGCCGGCACGCGTAGCGACGTCATAAGGTCATGACCCCCAGCGTCTTAAAAAAAGCCGCGCGGCGACAGAGTGTTAACGCTTTTTGAAAATTTCCCCGTTGTAGGGTAAATCATTGCTAAACTTATTGACTTTAAAAATCGATTAAAAAATTGTTTTTTTAATTACGTAATTTTGATACTTGTTTTGGTAATGTTGTTAAAGCTACTTTATGACCCTTTCGGATCGGACGGTGTTTTTGTTACATATTGTATATATGGCTACGCTGTGCCTTTGATTTTTAGTTGGCCGATAGTTGTGCCCGATTTTAATTTGTGTGAAAAATCGAATCGGCGTAGTGTGCGCACTCCCATACATGCCCATACTGATCAACTGAAAGAAAGAAAGAAAGATACATTTATTACAATGGACATCACACAAATACAGGCAATTACATAGACATGACAGTGCCACATAATAATGGAAGAAGAAAAAATAAAAACAAGTGTAAACTGAGCAGTGCCACCCGACTGAACTATCGGCCGACGAAAAATCAACGGTGTGCGCCTACTCTTAACGATAAACTATCGACGGTGAAGGCCAAACTAATCGTATCGAGCCATAATGTCAGGTCATATTGAGCAAAACTCTCGATAACGGAAATACTATTGATAGTTTTACGCCCGGTAGTATCGACAGTTTTTGGTTATTTCTGACAGTTTTTGAAAAATAACACACGGCGATATTATCGATAGCACTATCGATGTACTGAAAACTTTTCGAATTCAACTATCGATAGTGGAACTGTTGATGGTTCCGCAACACTAAACTGAGAGATTCTCATTGAAATATTGGGAACAAGTGGCTATTGAGAAGGTCCCGCTTGCACCCCAGCCCCCGCCAAGTAGTTGATAATATTATAATTCAGTAGTAGTGCAGAATGGGGGACTCAGCCAATAGGAACACTGACAGTTTGGCAAAGAGTGTAGATAGGCTCGAATTATAAATAACACACAACCTACATTCTCAAGATATGGTACGAATATTTTTGGGAAACAAATACCTAATAAAACAAATGAATTAAAAATCACATTCGACAACATGGCTTTCCCATTTATAACTACATTCAGAAAGTTTTACGGATAATTAAAAAATAAGTAATATACAAATCCTACGAAATGAATTGCGATAAACTATTAAACTAAACGAATATCTGTGCCTTACTGTAACTCTAAGCTCGACGTAATTTATATTTTTATCTATGCCTCTCGCTTGCACTCCTAGGGTAAAAGTGAGACGCATGATTATGACTTTATCCATGAACAATTTATAATCTGCTCAATGACGATATTCTGTAACTCTTCTAGAATCTACATTCTGTAGGATGTTAAAAACATTCCGAGTATATTCCGTTTCCTCTAACATTCCTTCGTCGATGTACAAACGAACAATCACAATAACGCTTAGTTTTTGTGTTTTGTGTGATTATAGTATGTGTGAAGTGATTTACGCCTAACAAAGCTTTCTAACCAAAACTGTATACGTTGCAATAATAGAGCTACATAACATAATTATTATACAAAATTGAGTACATAGATATTCTGAGAAGAAAATATATAAAACTTGTTTTTATTAAAAGTTTACTGGTGATCGGGCATTGTAATTGACTAAAAATATTTAAAAAATTGCTAAAAACTCCTCAACTACTTGTCATAGTGCCTTAATAGTGTCTTAAATAAAACACTTAATACTGATGGTGCCAATAAATAGTTACATAAGTATATTTTAGGAATCTCTAATTATGATATTCTATTGGACTTATTCTCCACTAGTTACGAACCTAGTCTAGTTAATGTATGTTAAGGTGCTCTAGCGATATAGGCCAAAAATCGGAAAGAACGTACTTAGTTGATGGCGAAAAATAGTGTTCATTAAGTTTATGTACATATTTAGGTTTTCTGTAAGCCGATGTAGAGTCGGCAGCTGAGTGAACCCAATTTGAACATAAACTTACTAAAAATCGCTTAGTATTATGGATGTGCCAATTTTATAAATAAAAAATGGCGATTGTGTTTGCGTCAGTTACTTTGTAACTATGATGTTGGAAGGTATTTTTCGTCACCAACTCGCAAAGGACAGTGCCAATCCATGTATGGAAGTTGGACCAAGTGCTGCCCAGAATGAAACTATAGTGCATTTTGTTCCTCAGGCCAATACTAATTTGTAAACCGGAGCGCACTGAAATCTATCCCTGGAGTTAAGAGAAAAAAAGCGTTTTGTTTGGAATTATTTACATACAAAATATCATCGATGTATACCTACTACGCATAAGATTTCGCGATTTTGGCATTAAATAACACTCGTTATGTTGAACTTAACCATACTACATCCGTACACCTTACTTAAGTACGACTTCTACATTATTTATAAGTGATCAAGGGCTGTTGCAGTAGTTTGGTTAGTTGACCGAAATTAATTATTTCCAAAATAGAGCAAGAAGTTTTAGCTTACAATAACTTCAATAATCGATTGTAATACACCAATAAATTGATTTTTCGCAAGGATAGAGAACTAAAACTTCTTGATTCATTTTGGAAATAATGATTTCTGTCAAGTAACCAAACTATTGCAACAGCGCTAGATCGCTTATAGAGAATGTCTATGTCGCACTAAAGTAAGGTGTACGTATGCAGTATGGTTAAATTCAACATAGCGAGTGTTATTTAATGCCAAAATCACGAAATCTTATGTGTAGTACGTATACATCGATGATATTTTGTATGAAAATATTTCAAAACAAAACTCTTTTTTTTCTTAACTCCAGGGATAGATTGCAGTGTGCTTCGGTTCACACATTAGTATTAGTCTGAGGAACAAAATGCACAATGGGTTGATTCTGGGCAGCACTTGGTCCAGACCCTGGCACTATCCTTTAGACACAGCTCCTTTGATATCCAAAGGAGGTCCATTCTTGCCTTCAATAATTCTCAGAAAATCAAGCACCTGATAAAATAACAGAGGCATGTGTCACAAAAGTATGCCAAAGTTAGAATAAACAATGTCTGGCCTTTTGTAAAAATTTTATTTATTATCNTTAAGGAAAGACAAAATGAGTTAGGATTACAAAGCGTGAAGTTTCAGTGATTTTTATGGGTTTTTTTCGGTGGCTAATAACTGTACTTCTAGGAGCCAATTACTGTGATTTTGGGGCCAATAGCTAAATTTAATGTGATCTCTGATATTTTTAAAATTATTATTGTAATTCTTATCGTATAACACCAAATAGGTACTAGCTTAAATAGCAGCAATATTGTTTTCTCATAATAAAATATAAAAAGGAAACAAAAGTCGAGTCTTTGTAACATTTTACACAAGTTAACTTACACAACGCTCTTAAAGGGCCAATAACTGTAGCAATCACCCTACGTGAGTTTCCATATTAAGCCACGTACCCTTTAGAACGTAAAATAGAGGATTTCTATTTGTTTCTAATAATTAGAGTCATGTTGATATTGATAATGTTGATGATCGACGCACTCGTTGTGATTGAATCCAAACCAAAATCCTCGGTTTTTAGCTCTAGTAAATTAGAGGGCCCTGCAGTGGACACGAAAATGACCTGAAAATGATGATGAATGTTATGACTGACGTACCCATCACCATTGTTCCAGTGGGCCTGTCGTCGGGCGCGTCATTCTCTAGCGCGGAAGGCGTGGGCGCGGGCGGCGTGGCGGGCCGCTACCGCCACCTGGCGCGCCGCAACTACTCGCCGCACAACGACAACTCTAGCGGTATGTACTTAAGGACCACTTTTGCTTGAACGGACACAGAAACAATTGAAATATGTATAATACAAAAAGCCAAAAGTGTTACTCTGAAAAGAGAATATTTATTTTTAATAAACTGCTTTAGTAACAATCACATATTTTACATAGAATTAAATAGGTAATTACCTACCTGAAAAGAGAAACAACATTTAAAGCTATTTGCTTCACAATTAAAATATTCCTTTAGTTTTCCGTACAGACGCCATTAAACAAAAACAATCTGTCAAATCAAACTTTTTTTAAAAACCATAGTGTATCATTTTAATAGCAATGAGGGTCTATAGTGAGTCTCATTACATAATATGTATTTATTTATACAGTGCCATATAAAATTGGACTAACATTCTTAGCTCACTAGATGCCGCCACCTTCGTCTTTACTTTGGGCAATTAAAATAATCTGAAGAAACTGTTACACAATTTCCATATAAAGAATTATACAAATTAGGTACTCTGTGATGACGGATACAATGAGAATTGGTACAAAACCTAATCAATCAACGTAGCGAAGTCTCTGTCTAAGGGAAAGTTAAACGATCATTCGACATATTGTCCACAACCTGGGCAATGGACAATTTGACACCATTCCCCAATAATTCGAAATCAAAACTCTTCTAAAAAGGGGTCATCCATAAAGTACGTCACACGTAAAGAGGGGGGAGGGGATTGACAAAGTGTGACATGGTGTGACAAGGGGTGGGAGGGGTCCTAAGTTTCGTGACATCACATTTCAATTGTTTCAAATATTTGATATAATGTTGATTTCATAAAAAAAAAGTACTTAATTTAACCCATTAANGTACAAAATCTATGGGAGAGTTTCGTTTTGACAGTTTTAAAAAGTACGTCATTGATTGGTGGTGTCAACATGTCTATTTTAATATCAACATTAACAGCAGAAAAATTAACGATACATTTTTCAAAACCATTATCATGCTCAATGAGGGCTATCGTTTTAGCGCTCACCAGTTAGCGCCACTGTAGAGTAAGGTCCTGTCACTTGCTAGTCGCGAAGACAGTGGCACCAACTGGTGAGCGCGAAAGTGGTAGGAGGACTATCGCATTTGCACTCATCAAGATGGCGCCACTGTAGAGTAAGGTCCTGTCACTTGCTAGTCGCGAAGACAGTGGCACCAACTGGTGAGCGCGAAAGTGGTAGGAGGACTATCGCATTTGCACTCATCAAGATGGCGCCACTGTAGAGTAAGATCCTGTCAATCGCCAGGGGTGCCAACTGTTAAGTATAAAAACGATAGCCCTCATTATCTGGGTTTATAGCAATTCGCATCTTCCGCATTTTTTTTTATTTGTCCCCAGGCTGCGGCTTCGACAGCTCGTCCCTACGGCTGGACTCGCAGCTGGCGGCGCTGGAGTCGCGGCTGGAGCGGCCCGTGCCCGCCGTGAGTTACCCCGCCCCCCTCCCGCAGGCCCCGCCCCCGCCGCACTCCAGTCCCCGCCCGCACGCCAGCTACTACTGAGCGGGGCAGTGTTTAACGATAAACTGTCGACGGTGAAGGCCAAACTAAGCGTATCGAGCCATAATTTGACGATAGGTCATTTTGAGCAATACTATAACACAGTTTTTTAACCTTTTTCATGACGCGACCCCCCTGGGTGGAAAAAAATTTTTGCGACCCCCCGACCGCTTGCTTTTTTTCATGAATTTTATAATGTTACAAATATGTTGTAGGAACCGAATATTTAAATCCATACAACATTTATGCATTTGCATAATTATTAGATTTCGAATAAATCTATCTTTATAACTTTACTGTTTTTTTACTGAGGTAGTTTTTACGATCTCTCGCGACCGGGGGGTAAAGAGGCTTGGCGACCCTCCAGGGGGTCGCGACCCACAGGTTGAAAAACTCTGCTATTACGGAAATACTATCGTAGTTTTACGCCCGGTAGTATCGACAGTTTTTGGTTATTTCTGACAGTTTTTGAAAAATAAAATACTATAACACACGGCGATATTATCGACAGCACTATCGATGTACTGCATACTTTCCGAATTTATCTATCGATAGTGAAACTTGATGGTTCCGCAACACTAAACTGGGAGATTCTCATTGAAATATTGGGAACAAGTGGCTATTGAGAACATCTCACTTGCACCCCAGCCCCCGCCAAGTAGTTGGTAGTAATTGTAATTCAGTAGTAGTGTAGAATGGGGTGACTCAGGCAATAGGAACACTGACAGTTTGGAAAGGAGTGTAAAAAGGCTCGAATTAAAAATAACACACAAACTACATTCTCAAGATATGGTACGAATATTTTTGGGAAACAAATACCTAATAAAACAAATGATGATTAAAATCACATAATATACAAATCTTACGAATTGAATTGCGAAAAACTATTAAATGAAACGAATATCTGTGCCTTACTGTACTATACCTCTCGCTTGTACTCCTAGGGTAAAAGCGAGAGGCATGGTTATGACTTTATCCATAAACAATTTATAATCTGCTCAATCACGATATTCTGTAACTCTTCTAGAATCTACATTCTGTAGGATGTTAAAAACATTCCGAGTATATTCCGTTTCCTCTAACATTCCTTCGTCGATGTACAAACGAACAATCACAATAACGCTTAGTTTTTGTGTTTTGTGTGATTATAGTATGAGTGAAGTGATTTACGCCTAACAAAGCTTTCTAACCAAAACTGTATACGTTGCAATAATAGAGCTACATAACATAATTATTATACAAAATTGAGTACATAGATATTCTGATATGAGAGGAAAATTTTATATAAAAAATTTTATTTTAAAAATTTCTACTGATGATCGGGCATTGTAATTGGCTTTCTGCCTAAAAACATTAAAAAAATAGCTAAAAACTACTTTTCGTAGTGCCTTAATAGTGTCTTAAATAAAACACTCAATACTGATGGTGCCAATAAATAGTTACATAAGTATATTTTAGGAATCTCTAATTATGATATTCTATTGGACTTATTCTCCACTAGTTACGAACCTAGTCTAGTTAATGTATGTTAAGGTGCTCTAGCGATATAGGCCAAAAATCGGAATAACCGTACTTAGTTGAGGGCGAAAAATAGTGTTCATTAAGTTTATGTTCATATTTAGGTTTTCTGTTAGCCAATGAAGAGTTGGCAGCTGAGTGAACCCAATTTGAACATAATCTTATTAAAAATCGCTTAGTATTATGGATGTGCCAATTTTATAAATAAAAAATGGCGATTGTGTTTGCGTCAGTTACTTTGTAACTATGATGTTGGAAGTTATTTTTCGTCACCAACTCGCAAATTTAGACACAGCTCCTTTGATATCCAAAGGAGTTCCATTCTTGCCTTCAATAATTCTCAGAAAATCAAGCACCTGATAAAATAACAGAGGCATGTGTCACAAAAGTATGCCAAAGTTAGTATAAACAATGTCTGGCCTTTTGTAAAAATTTTATTTATTATCGCGGTCATGATTTTTTGTATTATACAGTTTACTTGCGTGTAACAATTTTCTTTATTTTTCTATTTATTTTTTAGGTTAAGCTATTAGTCGACAACATCAAATACTGTACTAAAAAAGTATTTTGATTGCAAATCGAACTATTGTTAGTAGTACCTACATATCCACATGAAATGTTGTAGCCCTTGGAATTGTGTTATTTCTCTGTTACCTAATTTATCTTTAAAATGTTAAAGCTAAAATTATGGTGTTGTAACAAACAAGTATTACACTAGCAGATAGACATTATTCTATACACATGAGGCTTGGCTTACAATAAGGATATTTTAAGTAAAAATAACACTATTTTTGTAAGATGTATTCTGTGTGTATTTTCAGAAGCATGTTTAGAATAAAGATAATGTTTTGTTTGTCGTAGTTTTACTTGCTTTACCTAACCCTAAGCGAACAGAGTGTTTTGCGTGCTCACAAGAATTAAAAGTACATAATATTTAACAGCGTTAGCAATGTAACAATTTTTGTTGGAGTGTGTCAATGATCCTGCTAAAGATGTTTATCACTCTAAAATCAGCACACTACCCATAATTTGAATAAAAATTAATTTTAATCAGTGTTTAGAATATTAAATTATTCTAATTTTTTCAAAAACCTACAGTGCTTGTATTAGAGTGGTGTCGTTATACTTTCTTCGGGCGTCGACTTCCGTGCCAGGTAAGAACTAATATTGTTTGTATTGTTCATTGTGCCAGTTCATTAACTCGGTAACTGAGTATGTAGTTGCTCAACACCTGTTTAACATAATATAACTACATTATGTGATTGTTATTGCTTTATAACATTGAAATGTAGAGCACACTTTTTGGATACATTGTTTACGAAACACCCGTCTGGGTTACAGAATACAGACATTAATTTCAACTGAAATTATTTCTCTTTTAATTGTTACTGTTTTTACCTTTTAAAGTTACACTCGATGTAGTAATATTACAACAAACACAAACTGTACTTCGACGTAATCACGAAACGGTACATTTTTTCATAGTAGACAATACGTTATTTACATTTATTATTCATAGCTGACCCGGCGAACTTCGTACCGCCTTAGCGTAGAGATTTTCTTAATATTTTTTTCCGTAAGAACCATCCTTGGACTTCCACAAACATTTAAAAAAAAGAATTATCGAAATCGGTTCAGCCGTTCACACGTGATGCCGTGACAACGCGAAACGGGTTTCATTTTTATATATATAGATTATTCCTCTGAATTGAATCAATATTTGGACCAGTCAGTAATTGTAAAGTTATGAACCAAAGATTACAAACATAGAATGCCACAGCGTGAATTTTGGTGTATTGTCTGAACAATTTACCTGTTTATAGCGAGGTCTCTGCTGCTTCCCCGGACTCAGTACGGTGGGGGCCCGCGGGGGCAGCGGGCGGGGGGAGGAGGCGCTGCTGCTGGAGCGCCAGGGCCGCGCCTCGCAGCAGACGCGCTCGTCCAGCCTGCCGCCGCCGCCCTCGGCGTTACCTCGCCCGCCCAGGAAGCCGTCCGCTAGGAACACCAGATACGAGCGCATGGAACACAGAGACGCACGAAAGGTAGGCTCATCCAGATTATCGACAGCTTCAGGCTGCGACTGCATAGCAAACTACGAGTACATTATTCTACTTACATACACGGAACCTTTTGAGCAGTTGTGACGGCTTAGAGAATCAAATCTAGTGTCTTGAATGGTTCTGCCTGCTCGGGTGGAGTGTTCCACAGATTCGTGTCATAAGGCTTTGCTAGTAAACGCTCGTCCAGCCTGCCGCCACCGCCCTCGGCGTTACCCCGCCCGCCCAGGAAGCCGTCTGCTAGGAACACCAGATACGAGCGCATGGAACACAGAGACGCACGAAAGGTAGGCTCATCCAGATTCGTTCGTTCGTTTCAGCCGAAAGACGACCACTGCTGGACAAAGGCCTCCCCAAGGATTTCCACAAAGGCCGGTCCTGCGCCGCTCGCATCCAGGCACCTCCCGCGACCTTCACCAGATCGTAGGTCCACCTAGTGGGAGGCCTGCCCACGCTACCTCTTCCGGCTCGTGGCCGCTACTGAAGAACTTTCCTGCTCCATCGGCCATCAGTTCTTACGAGCTATGTGCCCCGCCCACTGCCACTGTCAGTCACTTTGGTACGTTCAATACGAGCGCATGGAACACAGAGACGCACGAAAGGTAGGCTCATCCAGATTAGAGAAGCAAATCTGGTGTCTTGAATGGCTCTGCCTGCCCGGGTGGAGTGCCCCACAGATTCGTGTAATAAGGCTTGGTAGTAAACGCTCGTCGCCCGTAGAATTTCAGGCTTGCCAGAGCCTCTGGGCAACTTTATGTCTGAGTTGTATTAAAAAGTTCAGTTTCATTATAATTTTCATTTTCTTTCGTAAAAAAATTTGGCACGAAAGTTAAAAGGCTAAATGTGCGTGTAACGTCTCTTATCTTACCTAATTATAATTTTAATTTTATTTCGCAAAAAAAATTGGCACGAAACTTTAAAGCTTATTTATTTATGCTAAATGTGCGTAACGTCTCTATCTTACCGTAGTTAGTGGTAGCTTTTGTTCTCTTTAACAAGAAAAAAATACCTTGTGTCGGCATGAATTGGAAGTTAATTGCATCGCTCTGTTGGATTTTAACCTTACAAGTCAATTCCAACTTTTTATTGAGGTAAAACCATCAGGAAGTTAGTGCATTATGAATAATTCAATAGCATTTATTGAAACAATAATTGCATTTATTTTTTACTATGTTTTTTGTTGTTTGTTTCATTATTACGATATTTTATACAGTCGCTATTGAATGATCGAAGATAGATTAAAATCAATTTAATAATACGTTAATTGATATTACGATTGCATTATATTTTTTGACTTAGAATCGAATATTCTTCCTCTTACATATCCACCTATTCTCTTTTTAGGATTCTGATGGATCTGGGTCCATAGCGTCGAGCGCATCCCGTAGCTCGCCGCTACCCTACGACACAGTGAGGAAACTGCCCTCGGTCCCGACTTCAGCGTCCCTTCCCGCGGCGGAATCCCGGGAGTCCCTCGTGCGGCCCCGGGATTCCAGCCTCCCTTCGCCCTCCAAGCTGGCAGTGTACGCCGCTGNTGCCGCTGCCAGAAGGCGGTCGGCGGAATCTGCGAAGGACAACAAAAGAGGACATCACTACAGAATTCAGTTCTAAGCTTGTTGATTTAGCCAATGACAGATGAATTAACACACCCTCAGGTAAAAAGTAGTCTTCAAGTTTTTTCTGGAAAACTGTTTACTTACGTGCAGTGCTTAGAAGCCAATGAAGTTTTTTTTGAAGAAGAAACACTTTGAAGAAACCCTAGTTGTCAACAGCTTGTTAATATTTTAAAAGGAAAAAATTAAAGAAGAAAAAGAAACTCGAAGTTCAATACCCATGATTTAAAATGGCTAAGATAAATGGTGCCGAATATGTAAGTAAAACGACAAGTTGCGCTTTTCAGACTAAAGACAGCTTGGCTCGTGTTGGACGAGTTAAACGAGTTAGCCGCCTGTAGCCGGGCTACTTTTACTGCCTATCCGTTTAAACAGCAGGTTCAGAGTGGAACACTGGCAAACTTCTTGACGAACAATGTATTGTGAGTAGATAAAATAACTTGACTTACATGTATATTCCAAGATACGGGGTAACTGCCCCTTTATTACTAAATTTTTCAGGAGCTATAATTTAGCTGTATTTATATCAAACAAATTAATTAAGTAGCACAGTTTAAAAGTGTCCACATTTAAGAAGGAAGCTGATAAAATAGTCAATGGTTATAGAACAATAGTAAGATGATGTGTTTTGAGTTTTGACCAATCTTCATGCAACCTCGTTATAATATTACGAGTAGAATATCCTAGAAAGTAAAGTAATACCACAAAATAGAAAAGTGTTACGTTTTGGGTATAAGTAAAAGTAAAATTAAATATTAACGTGTGTTTGCGTGTTTGTATAAAAATTACATCTATTTACTTTGTTAACAACAGGTCCTGCTAAAATTGGTTTTAATTCAGTTAGCAATGAACTGGTTTGGGTACTATTTGAATTTGTAATGAGGATTTAATAAACACTTCTGGCCTGGTTAAAATTAGTCTAGTCATTAATACGTCCATAAAAACCTCGGATGTAAATCGGTTGTACTTAATAATTAAAAATAATTTAAACTTACAAAATAGTTATTATTTAGGTAAGTAGGTATGTAGAGGATATTTTGTTCAACAACCAAATAACAAAGTATATTTTATTTTATCGCATTTAAATTGTCAAAATAGCTCAAATAATAATTAAGTTTACAACTATGGTATTATCAAATAAGACTTATGATGAGTTCGAAGATCGTTGCATCTATTTCGAAATGAAATTGTTTGTACTACGGTGATGGCTCTAACACCTTGACTTGTCTATATTCGCACTGTGTATATTCCCATAATAAATAAAGCTACGTAAATTAATGAAATATATTTCAGAGAAAATTATAAAATACTTCAGAAAAAATATAATTTAAAATTGCTAAAGGAAAGAAGAACCACAAAATATCTTGTGTTAAACTGTCTGTTTCTGAATATATGCAAGTTATATTAGTTTTTATACAAATTTTAAACACATTGTGCGTCTATAGATAACGTCCTGACTGACAAGATATCTGTAAAATACTGAGCTCATTTTAATCATGTAGAGTCAGCGAAATTGTCAACACTTACTTATTTGTTAAGTATTATGTAGTGTAATACATACCTTGATGGTGTCTTAATTAATTAAACTTTATTTTAGTTAAACTTGGATATCAATAAGCGCTGACTCTACATTTATCATACATAATTTATCAATTTGGTTGTTGTGAACTTCATTGTGTGGATTACATGTAATTATAATTTCATGTTTTTTCAAATTTGTTTGTTTCTCGTCCCACCTTTTTATGAAAGAATGTGTGGTTTTATAACAAAATTTGTGTATTGCAAATAAATGAGACGATTGTGTTACGTAGTGTTTATTATTTAATAAATTACGAATGCGAAAGCGATAAATCGTATTATTTAATTGGTCAATAAAATAAATAAGTTTTGAAAAATATCCCAGAAGATCGTCGTTACCCTACGTCTATGTTTAAGATGTGTGAGATATTAATGAACACATAAAGGATAATATTATGTAACAGGTTTACAGGCGTGTGCAAGGCAGTCCTGTAAGGCAACTCTCTCAAGAGAATGTGTCACGTTTTACCAACAATAAACTTTTGTTAAAAACATCAAACAGTTTATTTAAAATCAAGAATGTAGTAGTTGAATAAACTGATCCGTTGCTATTCATAGGGCCCCTCCGTTTTTGATTGAGCTGTAGTAGGGAGTTCATTCTGTGTATTCTTATGGTAATGATCTACAGCCTTGATCCTGACATTGCGCCTGCACGGCCTCGATCGCTCGCGCAAGGCAACGTGTCGTGGCAATATTTGCACAATTACTTATTTACAGATAGAATAAACTGTATTAAAGAAACGTGCAATACCTACATTGTTTCTAAAAATAAATAAATGAAACGCTTGTTATGAATTTATTACCTTTTGTTTAAAGCTGAGTTGCACCACCTAACTTTGACCGTAACTATAACTATAACCCAATCCCATTCATTACATTTCATTTTAATCGGCTGAATCGGCAAAAAAGGATCGAAAATATTTAAACACCATGATAAAAATAAAGATAAAATTCACCGGAATTTGGTCGCATGTTATCAACGGATCTGGCGCATGTGTGGTCTTGCCCCGGGTTTATTTGTGTAGTTCTGATATTTGGTCTGTCAAAATATTATTATCCGATAAAATGTTGTCGTAAATATTTACTTAAAATATTTAGTATATTCTGTAAAACTGTACCGCCAGGGAGTGAAGCCTTTTCTTTAGTTTTTGAATGCTTTCAGACTCAGTTAATCAAAGATCGCAATAATCAAAGTAATTAAATGGAATAAGTATGTAGTTAGTAAATATAAGTGTCGACGCGTATATCGAAATACGAACTTAAAAATATACAGCAGTAGAGCAGGCAAGGTAATATTTTCAACGTGTACCGTTATATTAAAAGTATGGTTTTACCAGTAATCAAGTGGACTGAACGTGTAATGGTAATTACAGACGATTCGAAAACACAAACAAGCTAAAACGTTCATAATTTCCGCGATACGAGAAAGAAAATAACGTCGGTACCTAATTACAGAGCTCTACCTATAGCGGCGAATGCTCCGCGTGCTCGACTTAGTGCCATAACACACTTTTTTTTTAAAGTTCGAATGCCGCCATTAAATTAACATTGTCGAATTACCTCCTCATAATTCGGTCTTTTAACTCAAAATTGCTGAAAATTCCCGGACCTTATCGTTTTATTATGTGGTGTAACTAGGTATGCGGTAAAGGCAAGAAACTGAAGCAGTTTGAGAGTGATTTTCAAACCATCAAATGGGTGGAAATCTGGATACAATCAGTTCTTAGGGGGTTAGTCTTGGAGACAAAATGACAACAAGAACAAAAACTAAATCTTCATCCAATCTGTGTAATTTTTTGAGAAATAAATTCAACAATATTTTTAAAAGCTATTCTCACACATTCGCATGTTCAATGGCCTCTCAAAGTGTGTCGACACTGGCGACCTACGATTACTTCGGAACCGGCCAAGACCGGTTTTACGATTCGCAAATGACAGCATCGAATGCTTACTTCGTATGTACTTAGCTGAATAAACGCGTGATCATGACTGACTTTCAATAATTTTTCGCTGAAATAAACTCGTAATCCGTCAAAAACATGCAACTAAGTTTATTAAAGTTTAACTAAAATACAAGATAGAGAAAGCAAGTATAACATCCGTTTTAAGCATCTAAAAATTCTGAAGAAAAGATGAACAGGTCTAAAAAGCTCAATATTTCAGCTATAAAAAACTTAATGGTAAGAACGCGTAGTTCTTTGAAAACATTAGTACCTACAATTTAAGTTCTGTAGATGGCGCTCGCTATCGTAGGTACGCTTCGCTGTTCGTTCATTTCGATCGATGCTCGTGCAATTATTTGGTCAAGGGTCTCAACTTCGTTGAAACTTGAAAGTGCAGCATGACACTGACACCGAATAAAACCTTAATTGGGCAGAAGATGTATCTAAAATGGGCTACTGTCATAACTCGCAGACCGCACAGATATAACGGCACGCAGACCAGTTTCTCTGACCAACTTTCACTCGCTGATGACGTGCTAATTCTCATGTGCACACTTAACTCTGCTGCAAGTGTTGCAACCTTCTAGCTACAAACTAAATAGACACGATTTTGCCATTCTTGTAAATCTACTCACAAATTCGTTATGGATCATTTATAACTTTTAGAAAGAATCTGAAGAGCGCCAAATGTTGTAACCGTCTTGAACTCTATCCTTTACTTATGTGCTAAAAATTCCGTAAACGGAGAATTTGTCGGAAACTTAATCTAGATTTTAGTGGGAGATGATGATGTGTGGTTTCTAAGTTACCTAACTGCCAACTATGATTATTATAATTTAAGTAAGGTAAAATTACAGTAGGTTCCAACATTGGTACCTTCTTCCCTTGCATTGAAAATTTTGAAAACTGGAACTGGAAAACTGAAAAGTCAATCATTGCAAAATAAAACGAGCAATTAGTTTGTTGTCTAAACTTATAACTAACAAGTATCGTCCTACGTTTAATTTTGCATTCGAACTACGCGGTCACGATTAATTTCCTGTAATAAAGTCGATTTAATTGCAAAAGATGCATCCAGAGGAAATTATCTTACAGATTTCTCCATGGTAGGAGACAAACGAGTTGGGATATAAATGCTCTCTGTATTTTTTTGTACTGTTAAGAAGTGGTTTTACTAGCTCTATTTGTTTACATTTGCTAGCCACTTACGGTTACCTCCAGTTATTCCCAGTTAATAAGGTCGGTGTTGTATAACGCGTCCGACAACTAGTGTGGTGATCGATTCCTCTTGACCCAAATGCGGTGGGTCAAAGCCATGTCGCGGCGTCTCGGCGGCAGAATAACAATGATCATCTCGCACGCTTGGGCCTTTTCAATATGCCCTTTAAATAGCCCTATTATGTTTTTCCCTATTTATATTAATTACAGAGGATGGCAGTTGGCAGTAGGATTAAAAGCCCTGAAAAGCATTATTGTCGTCTCATTTTTTCTAAAGGTGGACAAACAACCGTATAGTTACAAATAATCTTATTTCTTCGAGAAGCTAAAAAATATATAATAACAGATTCAATCTTTGACCTTAATACTATTTTCAATGATGCAGTGTGTTGTCAATCATAAAATGATATTTCATACAAATAGGTACCTACCTACTTAACTTTACCTACTTAATAAAGAAGATAAACTGCGAAGTAAATTAAAATTGACCTCTAGATAAAGACTACGCAATCTACTACTAAATACGTAGGTAAGTGATATTATTTAATTTGTGAATAATAAGAATACAGGCTTTTTTCTTGGAACTCGCACAGATAGCGCAAAAATTCGTAACCTACTTTAGGAACAGCGACTCTACCTGAAAAAAACTGAAAATTCTCTTTAATAATTTAATATCAAAAGCGAATAATTGTTTAACTGATTAACGACTAAAATTAACACCTTCCAGTAGCTATACCTGATTGACAATGTTTAGATCTCTTCCGATATGCTACGAAATTACGAATTGCTACGAGCCTACGATCTGCTGAAAACAGGCCTGTTATTGGACTTAAAATAAAGCATAAATTAAGGATAAAAATGACATCACATTAGAAAATGGAACTCCGGATTGATCCGTATGTTCTAGGTGCAATTTTGATGCTACCTATGATTGCAAAATAATTAAGTACTCGTAGTAGTGATTCGAACTCAGGCAAGACAAATCTTCGCAGATTTCATAGTGTCTTACTTTGTGTGTGATTACGCACGTTCAATACTTATTCAATGTGACTCTATTTACTCAAGCGTGTGAAAATCTGCCCAGTCTAGACGGAGGGAGTATGTGAAATAATACCCGAAAAATTCTGTCCGAAAATTATGTAGAGACGCTGCTCTCGCCTCGCCACTGAAGCCGAAGTAATACGGTCATAGAAGGACTTAAATGTACCTACCTTGTTTAGTTACTGTGTTACATAAGTTGTAAGAGTTAAGTGATTAGGTGGTTAAAGGGTGTCGTGACAATTGAGAAGTAATATACCGACACAACCGATTAATTAGTTAAATTCGCAAATCAGCTCGATACTTCTGGAAAGAGTAGTGACAGGGAAAATTGAAAGGGACCGATGCCCGTCTTCACCATCAATCCCTAATTTTTAAGTGACCCCTATTAAAACAAAATGCCTGTTATGTGTTACCATATGGGTCACTTAAAAATTAGGGATTGATGGTGAAAACGGGCATAAGACTTAAAGAAAAGGGCTGTCGAAGTATTGAAGAGGAGACTATCCTGAACACCGCAGCAGGATAAAGAAGTAACGAAACAGAGTGTAGATCTGGCCTAAACGGAAGTAAACAGTCGTAGATCAACGATAAATAAGAGCGGGCAGACGCGGCCGCCTCGCGCATCTAACCCAATTCCGCGGTATCGGCTTTCACAACGCGTTGCATCACGCGGCACAACGGTACAATGGCGCTGGTACGCGTACGAACTTGAGCGGCGCGCGCGCATATCAATGTTGCCGAGAAAAGTTACTTTCGGTGGAGCTGCCACGGATTTAGTGAAAAATAGAAAACAATAGAGCCCAATTTAGGTATAGGAACATAATTCTACATTTAAATTGTGCGGTGAAAATTCATTCATAAAAATGAACTTCATACCTTACGCTACGCTGTTGTAAATGTTTATTGTAATATAGTAGTTAATCATAATACCTACATGTTAAATATTATATTAACTACTTCTACTATTTTACGA